AAAAAGGCATCCTTGTACAAATTGGTGCATTTGAAACATGAATGAAATTGAATAATGTGATATTCATCATCATTCTACTCCACTGCGCAACCTTTCTCAGTTGATTAGCCGAAATGAATAGTTTTCTTAGAAAAACCTTTTTACATCTTTATTTTTATATTCAATTGCGCAAATTTCCTCCTATTTATTACTAGACAAGAAATTTTATATAAAAACTACATCAAACTACATCATTTCTTTTTAATCTTTTAAAAACTGCATTACACAGAGATGTACAATAGACAACTTATAATCAAAGGTAGGAAAATAGATATTATTCAAGTAATATTAAAATAATTTCAATAACACATATTAAAAATTAATCTCTATACAGTATAATAAACTGTTGTTTTAAATTTCACTTTTTCCAGCTGATAATTACTTTTTAATAAATGTAATATTCTTTATTTTCATGTTTTCCGTACATTTATCATCAGGCATTTGCCTCAAATGTAAGGATTTGAAGGATTTTATTGAAATATTCAGAGTAAACAAATCGCATTCATTTGGTGAAATATTAGGTTGATACCTAAGGTAAGCCTTTTCTTGTTCTATTGTATATTTTATGTACAGTGAAATAAATACACTTGTTTCATCAAATTTATTTGATGTTGTTCTAATTAAATAAAAAAGACGGATAAAAAGGGATAAGCCAGAAGATTATCTATATGTCTCATAGTAGGTTAAAATGTAGAAAGAGATTACTAGAATATCGCAAAAGTAAAAGAGTATAATATTTTATATCGCTGTAAGACTTGCTTAGAGAATCGAAATATTATTAATTAATCTTTTCTTGCAGTATTCTCTCCGTTCTTTCCATTCACTCTTTCTCTCTCTCCCTCTTTCTCGTCACAACGAGTTTTCAACGTCTCTTGATATCTTCTACACTCTATTCCTTAATTTACCTTTCAAAATTAATTAAAAACATACAGCATAGTCTATAATAAAAAGACAAAGAATGTCTGGGGGAAAGTTAACTGAACTGAAAATGAGGAAACTAGACGAGAGAAGAAAATAATTTGAAAGGATTGTAATAGTAACTAATTTCTCTTTGTAATTGTTTTTTCTTCTATTTTCGCAGATAGTTAAAGGCTATTGTTTAGTAAATTACTTATATTGTATATAGAAACTAATTTCTCATTTATTGAGTACATACAGCGTATTGAACTTTCCTTTTTTAAACATATATTTTATATATGATTATAGATCAGCAAAGATATTCTTTATGTTTTAGCTGATATGTTAAAACTATATGGATATTGGGAGAATTGTAATTCAATATAGTTATAATATAATCTATATAAAATGTACAAAGAAATTTCTAATAATTAGCTATTTTATTACAAAAGATCTAAAAAAAGATACAATAAGTACATTACTTATTATTAAAGCATACAAAGACAGCCTTTAAGTGTAAATATAAATAGAAAAAATATTTAGAATATACATAAGCAATATAAGGAAAACAATTGCATTTAGATATATCTAATGAACAGAGTTTAATAAAGGTTACAATTAGCTCATGAAAGGTTATATCTACGTAATAGAAATGTATAAATAAATACGAAATTATTATTCATATTTCTCAATTATTGACTCTACTAAAATTAGAATATTGAAAATGCCATTAGCAATAATTTATAATGAATCAATTCTCTATGAATTCTTTTTTACGTTCTAGCTGACACTATTTGCCAGAAAAGGGTCAAGCTTTTGATTTCTAGTAACAATTTAAGCAATAAGACTCCTCACCTTTTTTCTTTACAACAAAACAAATTATATCTTCCTATTTCTTCTATTCGACTCATCTTTCCCAAAGAGATATTGTATACAAAGACTATCGGTTTTAAACTCTATAATTAAACAGTAATTTTTATCTTAAACTTTAGAATCTATGATGTTGGTTTTAACATAAGGGGTATACATTATTTAATTAGTGTAAGTAAACCAACATCATTTAGCCTTTTCTCTCTTACGCCATTCAATTTACCCCTTTTAAATATGACATTAGAAAGACTTTCACGAGATTTTAATGAAAGTTCACGCAAAAATGGGAAAAAGGGTGTTTTATTTTCTCTTTTATTAATTCTCTCTAGTTTACCCCACTTCATAAACAATTCAAGAAATAAATTGAAAAGGGGAAGACATATGAGATTTTTATATTGTATTTTTTTATCATTGTTCGTTATTTACTCAATCAAAAAAACTTTGGTCTCTTTCTCTCCCTCTCTCTCTCTCTCTCTCTCTCTCTCTCTCTCTCTCTCTCTCTCTCTCTTTCCTTCTCTACACTCAATGATAAAAATAATGATAAAAAGTGTCTTTCTGGACAAACATTGTTAATCTGTGATTTTTTTTTCTTAATGAAAAGAAAGAGCAATCATAATTCATAAATAATTTATATACAAAAATTTTATGGCTACGTTATGTCAGTAATATTGTTTATTTCGGGTAATAAAAACCTTAATAAAACCAGAATTTATCACTTCTTTATGTTAAATAATAAATCAATTAATAATTAATTAATTTAGATTTAAATATTATAAAATTAAGCAATAAAAAAGTTATAAAAAAAAACACAATATAATAGTTTCGTTGTTCATTTTATGGAGAAATAAATAACTACGTCGCCATCTTTCGGTAATGTTCAGCAATAATTTCGCCATAAAAAAGACGTAATAGAAGCGTCTCTCTTTTTTTTCTTTCTCTCTCTCTCTCTGTATGTGTCTCACTTATTCTCCATTCTCCTCCTCTCCCCTTTTTTTTGCTTTTCTTTTAGACTGAAGATAATTGGTGCACTTTGAGTTATTTTCAAACTGGAAGAAGGAAATTAAAAGAAAGATAATGATTAGCGATTTCTATACTTTATATTAATGATAATATTTTTGTATAAAATGTCTATTATCGGTTAAAGGTAATTATATGTTACAATAAGGAGAGAAATAATGATTCAGGAGTGATTAATATCTATAATTTCTATCGTTCCTCGTACTAAATCTTTCCTGGAATTGGTCTAAATATTTCAATAGATATTTATGGAAAAAAATATAGAAATAGCATAGTAATTAATTAATAGGTATAAATTCTAAGAGCATTAATATATAAAATTAGTATTTTACTGTCAATAATTATGGAACTGACCCCTCTTAAGAGAATTAATATCTACAAATTGATTACTAAAGATTAGTGTAAGAGGAAGTAATAAAATACAAGTGGTATTTTACTATTGTAAAAACAAAAGCCAATAATAGTAGTACTTGTGCTTAGTCATCATTCTTTTGATGATAATAAATTCTGTTTATTTATTACTCATTTTGATTATTAGAATGGCGGGCTAATTAAGCACAAAAGTATAGTAATAAAGCGAAAAGGGTTTAAATTGACTAAATATGACTGAGGAGCTATTGGTAATGTAAAAACAACCTTACTTCACGCTTCAGATGTTGCCTATTAGCGCCCTTAATTCATTCTTTTAAATAAAATGCTAAATGAGCAGAGCCGTCGCTAACGAGCTAATCCGGTTGGAGAATTCCGTTTCGATTCGTTTAATTAAAGTGGTTGTGGACGCGCTAAAAATGCGCCTATTTTTCCCCTGACTGAACCAGATTAGCGATCATTAACGATAATGGCGTTTTTACGCGCTGACAGCTCGCTCCGTCTTAATATCGTGGAGCATTTCCGTCGCACGATTCCGAGCCGTCCAAATACGATTTCGCCGACAGTTCTATATCTCTTCCATTTAATTATATCATTGCTCTGTCGCTAATCTGATTATCTCGGTCGGGCGTTGGTTGAGGAAAAGAAGAGGCAAAAGCGTTGATTATATATAAAGATTTTTTTTATGTTACCTTATACCTTTCATCTCCGTAAATCGTCTTCATTTCGGTAATGGACCGATTTCTTTTGCGCGCGCGTCATTTCGTAATCTTTCCACATTATCGGATTGGGGATGGAATTTGTAAAGGATCAATCGGACTTATTTATGCGAGGAAGGATATTGCGTTAATTTTCTACTTATGTATCTACTCTACATGTATATGTGAATGTATTTATGCAATAGTTTATATAAAGAGAGAATATCTACTGTTTATAGACTAAACTTGGAATTATGCTTATATATATAAAGTATATATCTGCTGGTATAAGAATAATAGTGAATACCGTATATTGAGGATATAAATACACGTATGCAAATTTCTTTATCTTATATAATAGAGCCAGTTGCGTTTTCTTTATTTCAAAGACAAAGAGGATTCGCTGTCGTATGTCATAAATTTGAAGATCTTAAAGATAGATATCCTGTCTATATAATTCTCTACAAATTCAGATTAATATCCATACATCCGTAATTATTATATCATATAAAATTTATATATAAATACTGTATAAATGTTTATAATATACACATATATAAAATTATGTATTTACATATACATTCTTTAAGATAGTTCAAAGAATAACGTACTCAATTTGTTTGTCAGAATGCATAGATTTTTTTAAATCCCTGATGATGCCTATGATTTTCTGATTGAGCAAGTGCTTTCTTTCTAGGATAAATCTTGTAATTAGACTCTTGGTTTATCCAAGCGTAAAATGTTTCATTCTAATCTATCACTCTATTCATCCAATTAAACTCTTAATTCTCTTGTACACATTAGATAAAAAGAAATTTATTTCAATTTGTCATCTTAATTCTATTTCAACATTGTATATACAAAGAGTCTAAATATAATCCCTTAAATGAATCCGCTCATTTACATATTAACCATATAACTGCCCTTAGGTTATAATGTTTGAATTTAGCTCACTATACTCTTGGTAATTAATCTAATGAGACTCGTTAATTAAAGTAAGAGCATCAGAAAATTCTACATTTCTAACTCTATTTCATTAATATTCAGTAGCAGCGGTGCTCCGGCGCTGATTGGCCGATTTGCAGTAATATTATTACCCGTAAAGCGGGACCGTCTTGTAATCAGTCTGTTAGAAGCTCTTGTACCACGTGGATGTAAAAATGGACCGATTGACTCAATTCGTCACTAAGACTTTCGATAGCGGAGAGGATGAGAAGAGCAATGAAGAATCACCAGAAAATGGTTTAGATTTAAGTATTAAAAGTCGAGTTGAAGATGAAAAGACTGTGACTGATGATTTAGAGGAAGGCGTCGACAAAGGTTAGTGGACGACGGTCATAAATAAGCGTCTAACCCCGCGAGGGGTGTAAGAGTCTAATTTGTAAATGCACATAACTCACTACAGTCGTCTAAACGCGCTTCGTCACGTGTTGGTGGACGTGCTGAAGCGTCTAATTTAATTAAGTTTTACGTTCGTCTTGTTAAAATATGAGGAAAAAGTACGGCTATTTTTAACAGATGGGTCCTCGGAAATTCGATATTATTTAATGCTCTAATAGTTTGATAATTGTACATAAAACGTCATTGTATTTTTTAATTAAAGGATTTCACTTGTCAAAAGAACATAAGACGCTTCGACCTTTGCATATTCATTAACAATTTTGCCTCTTTTAAAAGGCTAACATATACTTGGCTAAAAGTTAATAATGGACCGCTAAAAGTAGCGGCCAGACGGTCATCGTAATCCGAAACGCTTTTTTTAAGCGCGCTGCTTTTCAAAAACGCTTTTAAACGCCTTCGGCTTTGTATTGAATAACGTAGCACGCGACTTGATAGAAGCTATTCCGCTTTTATAACTGTTGATTTAAAAATCACCATTTGTATATCTAGAAAGTTTAAAAAAAATAAGATAAAATCTTGTTACAGATGGCGGAAGAAAAATGGGAGACGACGAACTGCAGAACAAAAGTAAACAGAGAAGAACAAGGACAAATTTTACGTTAGAGCAACTACACGAGTTGGAAAGGCTGTTTGATGAGACTCATTATCCGGATGCGTTTATGAGAGAGGAGTTGAGCCAAAGACTAGGATTGAGTGAAGCCAGAGTGCAAGTAAGCCATTCAGTTAATTCTTTTTTAATAAAAACGAAATATTTTTTATTTCATTTTCGATTGTTTTTGAATATTATAATTACTATTAATTATAATATTAAGTAGAATACTTGTAGATCTAATAGAAATGCCGCAAAAAACAAACATCTTCTTACAGATTCTACGTCATAATTGAGTGGTAGGGGGATGGGAGGATATATATTTATATTATATTATATAACATTACTCAAGCGGAAAACGTAAAAATTACATTAACATGTATTACAAACAAAAATAAAACAATCTTACTAGAAATTGGACAAGTTAATAACAGAATTTTTTTAAATATGATAAAACTAATGAATCTAAAACAATAAATAAATTAATATATAAATAAATAAACATACTATTTAAGTAAATGAACAGATGCGTAGAATGAATGAATGAATGAATAAATAAATAAATCAAGTACTGTGATATATATGTTTATATATCAATAGGAAAGGCTAAATTGAGCGGGTATTCGCCGAGAAATTTGCGACGACGATCAATTACGAAAATGGCGTGTGTCCGAAATAAAACGAATTACGGCTGAACAACTTATCGGATTAACGCATTAGGTTCAATTAGATAGAAACATAAAGGCTTAGCCGTCCCTAATTTTCATCCCGCGGGTTCCTATTTCGTTACCGTCTCTTTTCTAATGACCTTTCAGACAATACAAACAAATCATGCATAAATAATGAGCAATATTCGACTTTATTCAATTTACACATTTATTAAGCAATCTTGCGGCGATAAATTTTTCACGAATGTAATGTAGATAAATGCTAATTATCGACTAATGACGTTATTTAGCGAAAGGGGTGTGGTCTCTCGGGAAGGCGGAGCCATGTGGCTTACGTCATAAGTATTAGAGCGGCTTATATTTATACGCCTTCGGGACATTTTTTTTATTACTAATATATATGTATTACATTATCGAAATAATCAAATTTTATTCTCTTTATCTTACAAGGTTTGGTTCCAAAACCGAAGAGCAAAATGTCGCAAGCAAGAAAGTCAAATCCATAAAGGTAAATAGTTTTTAACATGTTCATTCAAAAACAATAAGCGATAACGTATCTCTTTGTATTCTGCAAATTTAGATTTGCCTCTTTCCCTTTTTCTATCTCTCTCTCTCTCTCTAGATATATATATATATATCTTATATTTAACAAGTACAGCTACTTCAATATCATCCAAGACGTATGAATATCTATATAAATATATATATATATAACTAGATAGCTCTCCTCGATAATTTCCCCAAATATAAAAAAGAAATCTATTTGCACCTTGTATATAGATTAATAATTTATCCATATATTGGGGTTTATATATATACAGTATATATATATATATATATATATATAATCTGTGTGATACTATGTTTATATACATCAAGAGACACTATTTAAGAGCGCGAACCGGCAGTAATCTGTGATCACAAGTCACGTTCGACAGTAGCGTCTAATAAATTGAACTCCTTTCTATTAGCGCCCAGTACAATTATCGCGACTTCGCCAAATTGAAGTAATTGAATTAGCAGATCAATGTAATTCAATTGATTAGACTCGCCTATTGATATGTGAAGGGACGCTTGTGCAAAGGCGTCGCTTCGGTATTGTTTACCAACGAATTATCTTGTTAGAGCAATTGAATTAGATTTATTGAGAAACTAAATTGAATGCAATTCGTATATACTTGATTAACGAAAAAATTAATTATAGAAAATATTAAGCTGAATTCGATTTTGGTGGTGCCGATTGTTTACGTTATCAAATTGGTTATATTAATTTCAAAAAATATATTCTTCAGGCCTACTTCTAGCTCCAACAAGCAATCTAACAAGTCCACCTGTAGCGTCATCTTTAGAAGGAAACCGCATGACGCCGTATGTCAACTTGCCGCCGCTAAGCGCATCTCGCCTTCCTTTCTTTCCACCTTTACCAGATCGATTGTTCCCTCCTTCGCTCGATTCAATACCGTTGCAGCATCCACTTCTCTTCTACCCTCACCTAACGCCACCTAGCGCATATGCTGCTCTCAATTTAGCTTTACAGGCATCCGTCGCCGATTCAGCTTTAAAGCAAAGCCTAAATATGGATGATATGAGACTGAAAGCCAAAAAACAGATGACTACAGCCTCTCTGGGTCTGTAAACTATTGAACAAGGTCCATCTATTTTATGTGACATACTGTATAACTAAATGCTGAAAAAAAAATTAATGTTAATCATTGCTTTTTACTTTTTTTCCTCGTCATTGTTCATATACAAAAAAAAGTTGTAGTGCAAATCTGCATGCACAGTGCTTATGTATATAAAACTGCAATATTTCGTTTTGGAGTAAAAAAGACAACAAAACCAAAAAAAAAAACTCAAAAAACAAAAAACAAAGATAACTTATTTACAAAAAAAAAGAAGCCAACGTTGTAAAACACATACAAAAAAAACACGTCCGTCTTTATATATATATATATATATATATATATGACTTTTTGAATAAGCTGTGAAGATGTAAAAATAAAAAAAAAACCATATTTAAAAAAAAAAAAAATAACAAGTCTATTTTTTTGTGTACAGATAATATATTATTAAAAATGAAATGTGTTCAATTCTATTTAAGAGAACAATACAAGTGTTTGTTTATTTTTATTCCTTTACTATTGACTTATAGTTTTATATAAATATATATATGTATATATATTTGATAAAAGCAAAACAAATATGTTGTAAATTGTAAAGGAAACGAACAAAAAAAATCTAATCTCTTTTTTTTCTGCCTTCATCTTATCTGAATGGAACCCTGCTATGTTCTATCAACCAAAAAAATACAAGCGTAAAATAAAAGATTAAGTACAGAAAAGTCTTTTTCGTATTAGAATCAATTTCCTTTTTTTATTTAAAGATTTTGAAAATTCGTTTACAAGAATATCTTAAATTCTTTTCACCTTATCATCAACTTGTTTTTTCTTTTCATCATACGCTTCGCAGCATATTATCTTAGCAGTGCTTCCATCTATCTTTAAATACAGTAAGTAACGACTCATTATTGCTTTTACTAATTATCGTCTACTTTATGAAAAAATATATAATAGGATAACCTTTAGATGATTATCTGGGATAAAGGGACTGATAATAACTTAAGTATACACTAGCATAATTTGGGATAGATTACAACAGTTATCTCTGCTAACCAACTGTTTTTTTGCGAACAGCTTTAGGAAATAATAACATACTCTACCTAACCTCCTAATCACACGCACCGGATAACCTTTATGGATTATCTATGGCTTAGCAATATAAAAACTACCAATAATAAAGTTATAGCTAAATCTTTTTCTCAATTTGATGATAAGTGTATTGTATGCACTTTAATTTAAATAGAGAAGAGATTAAAACATTCTTGAAGAGAAAATGAGAAGAAAAAAATCTATACACTTATAAACGTAAATAGGTAAATAAAGGATTGTAAATATTTAAAAAGAGTCTGTTGTTTTCTAACCTCTCACCGAGCAATTCAATTAACATAAATAAACAAACAAAGTTCTGTATAACAGTTTAAGAAAAGAGAAAAGATAGATTGATAGTATTTGAAGAAAGGGGAAATGTTCTATTAATTAATTATCAATTTATCATTAGAGATAAGTCGTATGTATTCTTTTAGTCACTCACTCACTCACTCGCTCGCTCGCTCGCTCACTCTCTTTCTTTATCTCTCTCTCTCTCTCTTTTCAAAAGCTTCAATGCTAAGGGGGAAAACAGATTTATTGGAAGCAAATTTTTCGTGAACATCTCGCAAATTAATCATTGATCCAGTTCACATCTTCCAATATTCCCATGATAAGTTAATAGCACTCACAAATTGAAATCAATGTGTTTTGGTAGCCGAGGGTAATCTAATGGGGTAAATATAGAGAAGGAAAAAATTCGAAATTCTATAGAGAATATGAAATCGAAGACACAGCGTCTTTTTTTTATTCACGTCTATCATTACACTCCATGTAAACAATAAGCAATTAACATGGAACTTAAAAAAAATACCGCTAAACTTTAACTCCATCCACTTTGTAATTGAATCTACAACCAATGACAACAATCGGAGAATCATTAATTAAGACCAACTGACAGATAACCAATTTGACGGGTTACGTTAAGGAATTTTACACTTTAAACAATAGATGGCGCCACGGAATAGCTTTAGGGAGTGCATGGGCCAAAGTGACAAAGAGATCGTACATGTAAGGGGAAAGTAGGGCCACAAAGGGGTTAAAATAACTTGTCAATAGAGGGCGCTGTAAAACGATTTTTCATCAGCAAATCAAAGTCAGACGGAAACTTATCTTAATTTCGCTTCAGCTCTCCGAAAAATCTTCATTCTCGCATTAATCAAATACCGCATGCAGAACAAATTTCATTGGAATTTACATACGATAAGATTCACTATGAAAAAGAGAAACAGATCTACGAATATTTCATCAATTCGATTAAATGGGGTTTTAAACTTCATAAATAGGTATCTTAACTTGAGAAGTATTTGATAAATCTAATAATACATTTATGTCAAAATAATAGTAATAAATAATGTTCCTGTCATTATCCTCTAATCGCGGCGATATTTGGAACGATAGAAGGATAATTAAAATAATTGTAATGAAGACAAGTCTATAAATATTGATGACATTTTCATTTTATTTGCCCATCTCTCCACTGATTGCTTGTCAATGATGATTTACGAAAGCGTCAAATCAGGCGGGATCCGATCGATGAATATAGAAAATTAATAGAAAAAATCGCTGTTGACTTAATTCTATTCTGTATAATTTAATTTTCTCGTGCCAAGTTCCAATAAAGTGTTTAATAAGTCATTAGTAGACCTTTAAAGCGCTACGATGAAAGATATTCTGAACTTTGTCAGAGAAACGTTCAAATATTATTGAATTTCTCTTTTAATTCTCTTTCTCTTTAAATAATTCAACCGTTAATTACACAGTTCGATATTTTAGTTTCTTTCATCTTTTTAAGACTAGCAGAAAGTGTTAGATTTAAAAAAAGGTTTGTTGTTTAATAGTGTCAATATCTACGAGAAGAGTACTCGAAGCCGAATACTAATTCGATTTTCGATCTGAATATATTCACTTAACGCAATCTTGTCCGCACAGTAGTTGCGATAATTAGTTGATTGATGTATTTATTGGACTCCCAATAAGACGCCTTCTGCATGCAAAAACTAAAGTTGACGAGAGAATGAGAAAGTGTCAATGAAGCAGAGAGAGAGTGTGTGTATGTGTGTGTGTAAGAGAGAGAGAGACAAACACACACACACACACACACATGCATACATACATACATACATACATACATACACATACACACACAGATAGGACAGGGTTAAAAGAGAGAAAAGGATGAATAATATTACAATACATAAATAAACATGCTATAAACAAATTCCGTTATATCCGCCCACACCCCCACCTCCTTAAATATCGTTATAGAATTTTGTTTTGAAAAATAGTAAATTGTAGACGTCAAAAATATGCCGATAATGCATTAATATTTAGGGATCACGCAATGTTCTGGAAACAGCTGTTGAATACCATTCTCTCCCCATCTTTCAATTCTTGTATGCTTTATAATTTACTATGATTATTATAATTGGTATAATTTTCGAATCGTTTAAAAGCAAATGCCTACAGCAATTTTCATTTTAAAAAACAGACAAAAATCCCCACTTCCGAAAAATATAGATCCACTTTTTTAGGATAAACATTGGATTTTTCCTTTTATATGACTTACAGCACGCTCTGTTTGCTTTCTAAATATTACAGTATACTACTCTATTGTTTTTATTGCATCTTGGAAGGAGGACCGATCGACCTCGGCCTCTTTAATGTTTTATCTTCCAATAGTTTGTTTATCGGTGCTGTTTTCCGCTCCGTCAAAACATAGTCTGTAGTGCGGTACAAACATAATTGGCTGGCTACTAGGCTTTTTATTGGCTGTATTAAAAAAGCTAGTCTTACATGCTTGCTATTTTCAGACTGAAAATGGGCCCGAATTAAGGACGGTAAAAGTCGTAAAGAAATTCCAAAGACGTCTATTGATGTTTGTTTGGCTTTATGTGTACTATGTCGTTTTGTTTGTTTTCGTTTTGTTGGTGTAGACAAACGATATAGAATTCATATTGAATTGTATAAGAATGTGTATTACGAATAAAAACGATTTCGCATCATTAAACGCCAATCAAAGCGTCTCTTTAGACGGCCCGGAGTACAACCTTATCACGCCAGCATGCAAATAAGTTCGCCCTTTATCACCCGCACCCGTCCAGAATACGAAGCGTCTATTGCGTCACGAGGCTGCGAGAACGAAGATAAGGCAGGATCTTCAGATAAATTTATGACTGAAAGACGCCTCCGGAAATGAGAAGGGACGCCTTATCTGACGTCTTGGCCGCTGCTTGTTGACTCTCTCTACTGGTAAACTTGTAATGTCGTGAGGGGATTACGGCAACCGGCTTTGTTTATATTGACTACAAAACGATAGGAGAAGGGATGGCGCAGTCGTCTTTTCAATATTTCGAACGTCTTTCTTTAGAAGCTTTTTCCAATCTCCTCAAGTTCTCCTTCAGAATCGAATTGTCCGGTTCCTGCTGTTCCGCTTGTTTGTAGTGCCATTCAGCAAGATCGTATTCACCCTGTACAATATATACATCACATGTATAACGTTTGTTTGTAGTCTAACTGATAAGTCGATCGTATATACAACCTGCGAATGATGGAAAGCGCCGAGATTGAGATGAGCTTGCGAATGTTTCTCATTATACAGCAAAGTTTTTCTATAATGCTGCGAGTGTTTTTTTTTATCCCAAAGATAAAAAGCAAGAGTAGGAAGTGGGCGGAGGGGGGCGTAGAATAATCCAAGACAAAAAAGAAACGGTGAAAGACATGGGCGGGTTGGCAAAAAAAAAAGAAAAACCGTTTAGATTTTTTAATTATTATTCATATAATTTTTTTCTTACACAAAAACTGATATTATAAATCATTATTTCTAATTGCAATTCATTTGTTACAGTTAATTAAAAATAAGGTGTTTTTTTTGTTAAACTTACAACTGCAGCATCCTCTTTCATTGCTAGATCTTTGTAATGATCTGCTAATTGGAAATGTAAGGAAACTAGAACACCGTTTCGTTCGTTTCGCGCCAATTGCAGTGCAGTTTTTAGAAGTCCTATAGCCTATTGAGGGGAAAGAAGAGTGGCTTAATAGATTGCTTCTGTCTTTTCTTCTTCTTTTTTATAAACGAATTTAAGTCTATACCTCAGGATGTTGGCCCTGGACGCCTTTAATCCTGGCCAGCTGAGCCAAGCAGAGTATGTCGTTTGGAGATACTTCAATAGCTCGCATGGCAGACTTTTTTGCAGCATCCAGCTGATTAGCTCGTAAAGTTACCTGCGACTGCAAAACAAAACCAATTATTTACAAGTAGCCGGATATATCACAAAACAAACATCTGCAAATCGTTTCTTTTACTAAAATCGTAAATCTGTCAATCGAAAGAGAGAAAAACAAATAAACTTACGTGCAGCAACAGAAGATCACTATCCGAATTATCATATTCCAGACCCTTATCTAAAAGATTAATTGCTTTTACGATGTTACCGGTGTTGTAGTAGAATGTTGCCAGTTGATGAAGGGCCTTCGGCGTGTCCGCCTCCCTTTCCGCCCTTTAAAGGATCAAACAGGAAAGATAAATAATAGAGAAAAGAAAATGAGGAGACGCTCGTATAAATCATCGCAGACAAACCTCATAACGTATTCTTCAGCCTTGGCCCTATCGCCCTTCTCATAATATGTACGCGCAGCGTCTAGCAGTGCTTGTTCGTGACGCCCATCTATTCGCAAAGCTCTTTCGTACTGCCGCAATCCTTCATCCGACAACCCTGTTATAATTTGAAGTCGATTAAGCTCTACCGACAGTGGGAAAGGGAAAACTTAGTGTTTGGACGCTGCTAGTTTACTTAACTATTGACTATATAACCCCTCCACGCATCAATTATTTGCGCAAATATTTCCCGATAAGGACCCTCTTGTAAGGATTGTTAGGATTAGTCCATTTCGATGTTGGAATTCAGCTAAAGTACAAATATCAATAAATGCGCTAGTTTGCCGTTTTCTTACCTTTTTCTTGGAGAGTTAATCCAAGATTATAGATTGTTCGAGCATCGTTCGGTTTGATCAAGGCCGATCGTCTTAACCACTTTTCGCTTTCGCTGGGTCTATTTCTGGCTTTTTCAAGGGCTGCCATTGACGTATACACGTCCAAGGAATGATCCAATTCATTCGCCTTCCACAAATAGGCTTCTACTAAATCCAATGACTTGTTCATCCTAATGTATATGTTGGCCAGATTTAGCATGGCTCCGGCGTGAGTCGGCTCTATGGAAACGGCCCGTTGGAGATGAATTTCAGCCAGAGTATCATTCCTAAGCAGCAGTGCGAGATTATTGTGCGCACTTGCGTAATCCGGCCATAGTCTGAGAAGAATAAGCATTTCTTATATACTTTTATCGAGCGTAAAATATATAAAGAGTCCAATAAAAAAAATGTACCTTAAAGCCGTCTCGTAATGGCGTATAGCGTTCCCCGGATCACCGTTATCCGATAGAACGTTTGCCCAATTGTAATGCATTTTGGCGTTCTGAGGGACATCCTTTACCCCTGATCTGCAAGAGACGAAAAGAAAAATATCATTACTGATGGATTGATTGCCTATATTCCACCCATATTCCATTCTCTCTTTTTTTTATCCGCGGTTAGAGCCCTCTAAGAAGTTCTACCTAAATGGCACTATAACTTTCGACTCTGGCCAATATGTTTTCACTCGCTTCGGCATTCTATTTACAAAACATAACGACGCAGTCAGCTGCTGCCAACATCCTTCCTTACGTCACTCAAACCCGCTTCTGATCAGTAATGCGTGAATAATTGCAGGCTTTAACAGTAAATTAATTAGGAATTAATCATCGTACTCCCTTCGTCCCTTACTCTTTCTTTTATATAGTATATTGGAAAATTATTGTCTGAAGGTAATGTATTGTACATTTAAACAAGCCGAACGCTTCCCATGCCGACCCCCCACTTTTCCCTAAGGAAACTTACGAAAACAAACTCGTCCTATCTTTCCACACTGCCGTTCTTCTCTCGGTACGAATTGACAGTATCAATAGCACGAATATTATTGCAGCTTTAGTCAGTTTCTTGTTTCGTTTTGATAAGGTTGTAAACTGCTTTAGGCCTAGTGTAGTTAGCAGAACGTAACCGATGCTACGGAGAGAGGAGAAAGTGCAAAATTAGTTTAGTTGTTTGGTGTATATTGATAGATAAATTGGAAGAGGAAGAGAAAAAAGAAGCTAAGTTTCTGTTTTGTACGTTGGCTTTTCCTTTTCTATCAACTATAGTTCTTACCTCGGGGCATATAAAATTCTTTCGGCAACGACAAATCCAACAGAAAAGAAGATATTCATAGCCGGCACAAACGGAAGAAAAAGCCATAAGGCGGCGACAATTGTTCGATTTTCTTTCAACTGGAGTACAGGTGCAAACAATTAAGGCTACATAACACCTATTTTTCTTTTTTATATATCCTCTTTTTCAAGGACATAAAGTCGTATATCGACGGATACAGTTAAGAAATATGAATAATATTTCTTTAGTTTATTGCTTGTTCGCTTTTATTGAGCCCTTATTCAATTACCCAACTTCTCATTTTACGTTAGACTTACCGGTAATCCGGAACGAAGTATTCTAAAGCATGATAAGACTAAGAACGAGATGAAAAGCAGCGACAATAAGTTTCTTTTGTCGAAAGGTCCGTCGATTGGAGGTAAACTTTCCAACTGCCAATCATAACTAAGTTGCTTTGGGTAAACAAGTAATTGGAGGTTGAAATAATAAATGTAGAGATTGTTGAGTATCCTGTTAAATGGGGAAAATTGACTATTAGATCACGTGATTTAAGCATAAAAAATAGCTGAGAGGCGACAATTAAACGCTCTCGACCACGAACAACCGGTAATTTTTGTTACATTCTACCGGTTGCCAAGAGCAAAAATAAATAAAGCTTAAAATTGCCCAAATAGGGTAAAAGAAATTCAAGCGAACATATTTAATCACGTCCTATAATAAGCTATAATTTTTTTCATTAATTTTTTTCAATCCTCTTCTAAGACGTCGGAAATTAAAAGGTGACGATAAAATTCGCGACGGTCACGGGCGTCTATTGGGCAATAATTTTAATTACGATCCGGATTTATTTCTTAAGCTGCCCATTGAAAATGCCCACACGCTAAATCCGACCCTCCGAGAATATGTTGGGCGAAAATTGCAGCCGTCACGAATATTGCTGCCGATTCAATTTTATCCTACGCTCTTATAGCCTACAGCATTAATAGCTGGTGTCGTCGAACCGTTTAAGTTTCTCTAACCTTGTCGCCAATTTCTTCTCAAAAGCATTTGGATTGTCCATTCGAGTAAATTGTGGAGTGGTCCAACCTTGATGTTGCAATCTCAAGAGTACTATCAACGCTCCCTGATTTTCAAGGAAGATGTAAGCGTTTAATTCTTTTCGTTTAGCACATAATTAAATTTACTTACGCCAATCGCGTAAATTGTTGCAACTTTTTTCTTGTTTCTATCAAGGAGGAGAATCGAAAGTTATTTTTAAGACTTTTTTTTATAAAAGGAAACACTAGAGAAACTATTTTTAAGAAACGGAAGAAAGAAGGGAGAAAGGAAAAAAATGAGGCATCGTAAATCAACCGATCGGAAGACGCTATTGAGCGCCAAAAAAAACGCTCTTCGAAAAGCCACTTGGCATTCTATAGTTCGTCGAGCGTCAAACGCAGATGGCGTCTTCTTGTGACGCAATCGTCGAGTGACGTCAGGCGCGGAAGTGGCGTATTGATTATGAACGAAAGCCTTGTTTAGCATCGGATATTGAGGGGAACGAGAGACACGGCCCGCGTTCATTAATGCGGCCGGTCAGAAGACAGTTTTATACGGTCGTTTGATCCGGTAGGATGACAAGATCTCTCTCATCGCCAAACGAATCAACCGAGCGTAAACGAGTCTCCAAATCGAGAAGACGGCCGATTTGCATAGCGTTTCGGCCCGGTTGCATAATCGGACAAATTTCATTCTGTCAAATAGACGCTTCATTGACGCTAATTAGAAGCGGTCAGGTATGAAAAAATATTTGATCCGACTCAGTTAGCTCGGACACTCGTTACATCGTTCACTAGTTACAGAGGGCAAAGAATAGTGGGAGGAGAAGAACAACGTACCTCATTAACCGTAAGACAGTGCAAATTCCCAATACAGTCACGCCATACTCCTTGAAAAGTGTTGCCATCGAAGAAAGGAAGAGCACGAGAATCCTGTTTAAGCGTTAATAAATGTCAGAACGCCTGTCTGATTCTCATTGACCTATACAGGCGTTTCTCTCGGCGGTCACCAAGCATTGAACAGCTCCCCTCCCCCGTAAATAGACGCCCTATAGACGGCCATTAAACGTGCCGATGGCCAATTATATCAGCCCTTATTATACATGAAAGAAATGACAGACGCATTGGCCGGCGGGCGTTACTCGACCAAATTTCCAATACTAAAAATATCAGAAAATTACATAATGCCTATATCAAAAAAAAGAAAGAAAAAAAATCAAAGGTTAAACACCTTAAATTAATAATTGAAAAAATTATTATAATTAATTATTTAATATTCAGTTAACAATGGGTGAAATAAGAAATGATGATAAACACTCCTTTTTTTTTCAATGAATACATCTTAAGTATTCTAGAAGGGTTTACCCTTTTTTCATTTCTTTTCTTTAGAGAATAGAATTTACCGAAAAGCTTTCTGAAGTAAATTATGTTTCGTGCTACTTTTCTATTTTATATGTATATATATTTTTTCCTATTCAAAAAGCTTCTTGATGTTAAGTTCTTTAGCGAAGATAAAACGACACTTGGCAATTGATATTCCCCCCTCCCCTATTTCTTTCAAAAACTTCCCTCTCTACTTCTTTTTTTTAGCTATCGATATATCCATAGAGCAGAAATATTATATACAAACCATGTCAAACTGTTATTACGTTGATCGAGCAGAAAGGCTAGCATCATTACTATCGAACACAGAACATCCGCTCTACCGACTATGCCACTAACCTTTGTGGAGGAAAAAGAGACACTATTAGAGAAGACAGATAAAGATACATTTGAGGGTTTTGTATCAAAATTAGGGAATTGGGTAAATTTCTCGTGTTAGGCGATTTCCCCTTTCCCTTTTTAGTTCAGTAAATTCTACAAAGTGTATTGGCGTTGTTATTTTGAGAGTTCGTATTACGCGCAGATTTCCCCGAGGGCTACTTTTCGATGGCCGGAGATTGTTACTGTTCCTATCAATCAGTCTATTGATCGGAGGAAAAGAAAAAATAGAAAGTCTTGAAAATTTAATGAAAAAAGAAAAGCTAAAATAGAAAAGAACAAGGGTCAGATATTTATCCTTTTTCCCTATCAAGGGAGAGAAAGGCTGATAGAAAATAGACAGACTAACAAAATGAATAGAAATAAAATAAAATAGAGTGGTAGAAAAGGTCGCGAACTCGTCACCAGCCGCGATTCTTCTATTTGAAGAAGGCCTATACAGAGGTAGAAGAATTGACGTTTACCTTAACGTGAGTCTGTAAATTTGGTTAGTATCATCGACCCACGCTGAGACCGACACCTTTCATTATAATGCCGCTTTCTTTTTATATTCGCGACATGACGTCACTTTCTTCTACTTCATTTAAGTCCCAGTCTAGTTTGGGTTTCGATTACAGAAAAGGGCGTTAAGGGTGGTGATCGGCCCCTACCTATCTTCCCCGCCCATTTAATAATGATATATATTCTCATATATATAGACTATGTATTGCCGAGAGAATTCTTTGAGAGAGGATTAACACCGGCGAATATAATCTGATCTGATATATCTACTGATTTCTGCCTTTGTCGGACTAAATGAAATCACAAGGGAATAATCTCTGTCAATAGCACTCTATCATAGGAAGATTATCTCATAATGGATCGCATCTGCGTTTATTTGCCGTTCATGTCTTGGTCCGATTGAACAGAATAGAAGAAAAGGTGTTTTGTGATTTATAAGCTTCGCCTGACGTCTAGCCACTCAAATGATGCTGGTATATTGATCGAATAAAATGACTTCTTTCACGCAGTATAATTCGAATGATGACCATCACGTGATGGCTCAAAATAGAAAACAGAGATGGGAAAGATAGTACTTACGGCTTCCACATGAATTGGATGAACTGCAAAGAAGATTCCAGAAATAACAGTCCAAAATTTAGGTAATTTCATTACCGTTGACGAAATTGTCATAAGAAGACCAGTAGCGATTACGTGTAGTAACACATTAACTATTCTAAATTGCATGGCGTCTCTTGACAGCGTCCATTCGAACCTGAGGTAAAAAGGTGAAAATTGAGTAATTAAATCGAGCCCCTCCGGTGAGTAACGCTGATCGTCATATTTAAACGGTTTGCATTTCGGTCGAATAGGAAATGAGCGTCTATTGAACGCCGTACAAATCGCTGAACAAAAACCGTATTTGTGACGTATCGAACAAGCCGATCGGCAATCCTTTGATCTGAGAGTTTTTGCTCGAAAAACCTCCCAATAAATAATTAATCTACCATATATTTGACGAATCGAAAAATCCCTTCTCTTCCTACCAATATAATCCTACTATCTCTGTCAGCGAATTGAGTAAATCTCACATAAATTCTATCATTTCTACTTATCTTTATAGTTCTTTTTCTATCTTTCAGCAGTGTGAAAAAAATCGTTTCAATGCTATTTTTTACTTAAACATTCATTTACACATTTTTTAATTGACTTCCGCGGCAATTCGAGTTTGCGTTATTCGATCGATTACGCAATTACGTTTGCTGCCCGCCGTAACGTTTAAGCTGGATAAATCATTGAGACGGTTAAAAGGCTGTTGGAGTAAATGGAGAATATGAAGAGAAAATAGCAAAAAGTTATACAGAAAAGAGATAGAGAGGCGATAGAGTATTTTTATCTCTAATCCTTTGTTTTTACAAGCGTAAGACGTTTAAAATAATAGGTATTATAAGATATAAGGTTAAACATTATACTGAATACTATATATCTTATTTAAGGGTTTGCCTATCAAAATTTTCTACAAAGGAGATGACAGCCAGACCTACGATAAGATCTTAAAAAGGAGCAGAGATTTGTTTATAAAAGGAGGCGAGTTTCTGATTTTAGACACGTATATATAGGGTTGAAATGGAAACATTCTCCTTTATTCGAATAATATGAAAAACATACGGCCCTTTCCTTTATATTGTCTGTATATATAAAGATAGATAGCCATATTGAGAATAATATATATATAAAGTTTATTATATCAAATGTTTTGTTTTTAAATAAATAAAGAAATATCAGGAATAAAGACCGTTTTAAAGTCTTACTTAGACCAGACTCCCTTTTCATTTGTTAGGTATTATATAATAAATTATGTAACGACTCTGTTTGCAGTATCAACTCACTTAACGTCAACGTTTGTAGGCAGTACAAACTTATATACCGTATAATTTTCAGGCGCAGATGCGGAACGACGCTTATAAAATTCTCCTCAATCACGATCCTTATGAACTTTTAACGGCCGTTCGTGGGGTCGTGGGAGGTAACGCCTAAAATCCTCATTTTCCGTCTACTTTTTTCTAAGAGCAACTAATAAAAAGGATGAGACAATTTACCTGAAGGTAAGTGTTGTTAAGGGTCTGTAGGATTTATGGCTTAAAGGATCTGTTAGTTCGTTTCCCCAGAAGTCGTGTTGGAACAGAGAGGCGATTGAAGTTTCTCCTTTGACATCAGGATTTCGAGTAATGGCAACAATATCATCATGGACGAATTCCGATTCTAGGCAGGAAGGAGCGTATAATAAAAAAGCAATGATCAGAGGAAGAATCACGTAGATTTGCGGTAGGAATGCAGATTCGGAACGCTTCGTTTGTTTTCTTATCGTATTAAGATTATTCTTTTTCCGTTTTTTAGTCCTATTCAAATAAATGAGATTTCTGAAAAACTTTTCAGCAAAACAAGATTCCCGCATCCTTATCGTTGAATAGCTGAGACCGAAATGCGCTCTGTATCGACCACGGCACCCCCTAGCGGGCACTAGGAAATGAAAGTATGCTGGTAAAGCGGCCTAACGATTCCGGAGAGTGATGAAAAGCCGTTTGATGTTGCAGTTTGACGGTGGGAACTTGCGAAGTATGTGTGGATTCAGTCGAATTACACCCACGTGTTTGGACGGATGAAGGACGTTTTTTTTGGCACGAACTTGACTTTAAACGTTTTCCCTTTGAACTATACTTTATTTCTTTTTGTCAGTTAGACGCCAAAAAAAAAGAATATTTAGAGTGAATAGTGAGATTAAGGAAGGTTTAGAAAAAGAGTTCAGGAAGGGCAAGTTCGGTGATGTGTTCGGGGATGGGAAAGAGGAAAAAAAAAAGGCAGGGTTAAACCGTCCCGACAGATTACGTTGTCGAATCACGCGACAATGCAGATGGGCGTTTTAGATTTTGTCACGTGACGAACAATTCCTTTTTTCTTTCCGGTATATGACCATGCTTTTCTTAAATTTTCCTCCTTCTTCCTCTTTCCTCAGGCCAGATCTTCCTTATTTAGCTATTTTCCCTGTTTAAATAACCAAACGACTTCGGTATATAGCGTAAATAAATAGGCTAGCGACACGGGCTTATTTCCAGATGGGGGTCATCCGATTTTTACCCCGTTTCCCACTCGTTCTGGGCCGGCTGTTATTCGTATTAAATGCCACGACAGAGTGGAATTTACTGCCAGTCTTTTTCTTCTTTTACTTCGCCTACCTTGCACGCAAAGTTCATGGAAAATTGTGAAGCTAAATAACTCTCGTTTATTCATAAAAAATTAAAGGTAATTGCCGGTTGTATAACAACATTTTTCTAGTTCTTACACCCTTAAAATGAACCATTGTAAATATAAAAAATTGAGGGTATGGCCCTGAAATCCTCTACTAAAAGAGGCGTCTAACATATAATAGAGGCGATTAAAGGACTTGGGAAACGGTTGAATCACGCTATACTGGAAATAAGCGCATAATTCTTAGGATTAGTGATTAACCGTTTCTCGGATAATTCGTGCCCATCCATCATCGTTCCGACTCGGCCCATAATCCTTTTCATTCGCGACGGCTCCAGGTCAGAGTAACGAGCCCAGATTCCAGGCTAATAATGCTCATTAAGTCAGCCCTTACAAGACGCCTTTTCTTCCGATCAAGCGTCTGATCGATATGACGCGGATTCAAAGACACGACAAGCTAATATTTACTTGAAAACTTTTTTCCGATAATTTCGTGCTGTTAACGAACAAGTACTAAACGTCAATAAGGTAAAGAAAACGTTTTTTTTGCTGTTTTGCAATCTTATCCTGTATTATCTTGGCATCTGGTAGGAATTAGGTAGATTCTACTTGGCCTAGGCGTTTTTTTAATTAATCTTTTCTTTTTCCTACCCGCTAAAACACAAACATAAACAAACCGATTATATAACAGAAAATTAGAAAACTACACAGACCGACAGACCGACACACATAAATACATACAAACACTATTCTTGCCTTTGTCTTGACGGTAATTCTCTTTTAAATTGATTCATTTTTAAAGTTCGTCGTGCACAGTAGCTCCTGTATGCCCTATTGGTATTAACGGTATTTTATGATCCATGTGCCTGAGTACCATATTTTTTTCGTTATACTTCCATTCCCATGCATAAGGAACGCAATGTAATTCGACAAATCTGTACAAACTTCCTGCATAAGGTGTAGGCCTACTTTTAATCACCTTCGAACCTTCGAACACTAGCATTTCACCAACGCTAAGGTCGTCTATAGTCTCGAGAACGCCATCTGGCGCTTCCAGTACCAACGGCCATTTGACTCCGGGATCTGATTCGAGTGGTATAATAGCGGCTATTGCTTCTTTGTCAGGCGTTCTTATTTGACGCCACATCTTCGTATCCTTACCAACACTAATAACATGAGACATCCTACAGATCGCTAACTCCCTCCCACTCCACGTCTCTACGACTTTTTTTGCCATCTTTTTGGTAATCTCGTGCTCATTGTCCGTCAGTTTTCCCTTAGTTATTGGCAGAGAAAAGACAACCGAGTTGATCGTTTCCAACCTTTCAGTTTCAGCTTTCCTCAATCGCGATAAAAGGGCTTTAGGCGTCCTCTTAATTTTCCATAACTTTTTTAATAATGATCTCATCATCACAGGTTGTTTTATAGTTAATAGAGTTCTCTCTACGTGCCTAATGAGAACTGATCGAATATTTTCTAAGCTTTCTTCTTCTATTTTTTCAACTTTCTTTTTCCAATCATGGGCAGATGGTTCTGTACCACTTTTCCTTATTATAACACGCCTTTCTTGATTATTAAATACACTACCGAATATAAATTCATTTCTATTATTAAAAGCTAATATTTTACAGCCAAACGGGACATTTATATTTTCCTGTTCGCTTCTTCTTAGAAAAATCTCTTCTTTATGACCGTCATGTTCTATGTCAACCCTAACAGCTTCATCTAGGTCGTTTTTCAATTCGATGTCTTGCCCTAGTTGCTGCCTAATCCATTCTCTTGACGAAGATACACCGTTCCAAATCTCAAAATCTGTGTCAGATTTCACATGAACAAGTGTATCGCAGCGGGATATATTCCATAAGCTGGTCAAGTTTTTTGATTTATACCATACATAAATGGGAGTGGTGACGAAATCGTAAGATAAGAAAATCACATTGGAAGTGGACGGGGGTGTAGTCGATTGCTCTTCGCATAGGGATGAGTGCATGTGGACGAAAAGACGTGTTGCACCAGATGACAAACTATTACGAATACTAAAGAGATGTTCATCCGTATATACTTCATAATAGGCGTCTGCTGGTACTTCCTGGGCGTTTAAACAATAAGCAAAAATTGAGAAAATGAACGCAGGGAATAACATCGTCGTGTACTTAGCAGACGATTCGCCACGTCGGTCCAATACATGCCGGCAAAATCTTTGAGGCGTGACTTTGTATTAAGGCACCAATATTACTTCGGGCTTATCCGATAGATGGCATTTAACTTTTTAGAAGTGATGTTTGAAAGAAGCTTAAGTAAATTGACCATCTAAATGGCTAGTTTATAAAGATGAAATGTTTGTCTGTAAGGCTGTATATTTGAATCAATTTTCAAAGAAAGACGAAAATATCGGTTAATTTATTCTAAAAATAAACATAGGTTACGCAATAAGAGAAGTGTACACTTTTAGCGAATCTCAATAGGTTTAGTCAAAAAACACTTGAAAGAGATGTCATAAGAGCCACAAAAGGTGACCCTCTTTGTCAATTTAGCAATGCAGTCAATTGAAATTTTAACATTAGTATTTCCTTCTTTCAATTATTATCAACTAAATAGATCAATCATAGTTTTATCAAGTGATTGATAAATATTCAATTTATCTTATCTTAGGAAGTTTCAATTATTTTGATGGTTAGTCCTTGTCAGTGAGCGTTATTCATACACAAACTCTTTCGTGATTTATTATTGGAACGCAAGAAAAAGTGTACAAAGAAAGAATCTACCATGAAACTAACTAGGATCCTTAATAAGCAATAAAAACTCTACTCTACACTAATTAAGAGTAAGAGAAGCATTTATCTTGACAAGAGATTGACCTTTGAACATCTTGTAGGAGAGTCGTTCATGAAGGACAGTCATCTGATTATAGAATTAAGAAGTAACAAGCGAAGGAAGTCCAGGCAAATTTCTAAATCGAAAATGCCAAGATGAAAACGATTAAGCCAAAATTTTCGTTTAAAGTGGATAATTTCACAGTCAAAAATTATGCCTCTTAATTGTTACTTGGGGACGTTTTTGTAGAGGAAAAAAGCTAATGTCTTGCAGCGGAAGGAGAATTTTATACGCAGATGTTGAAAAGGATTTTGTATTTTTTCAAGTAGGATATTGGGATAGAATCTATAAGTAAAGGTCATATACTTAATTTAATACTTACAACAAATCAAATCAAGTCTATTTATAGCTTAGCAGGCATTAATTATAAAATATAAAAAAGTCTAATAAAACAACGTTTATTAGAATTGAATGATGAATACTTTACGCTCTATTATACAATACTATATATTCACATGTATATCTAACATAATAACATAATATAGGCTCTTTCTTTTTTTAATATTCTAGTCTCACATCGTATTTCTCAAAAAGTTAAAGGTCGTATTAGGATTAATAATATTATAGCATAATTGAAGGGTGTGGTGTTTGTCATAAGGGATTTAGTTGTACACAAATGATCGTCTTACATGATTAAATATAGCTTACACAACAAGGCATAAATTCCCATTTACATCTATATAGATAATTATAACATAACATATAAATAAGTATAATGAAAGGGAATGAATATAATTCATTACTTTTCTTAATAAAAAATACTATTCTATTAGTTTAATTATTAATTTATTATTTTTTAATTAAAATCTCTGAGGCTCGATGGAGATATGTGAGAAAGAGAGAGAGAGAAAGAGAGAGGGAGAGAGAGAGAGAGAGAGAAAAAGACGGAGTAAGAGTGTCTCACCCTGTGTTTAGTAAATAGGCAATTGGAGTATAAGAGGATTGACTGGATCAAATATATCCGATTACTTTTAAATACTTTTTCTATTATCAAACAGACGAATTTTTATTTATAATAAACCCAACAACATTCTCCAATATGTCAAAAGTTTCGTTAATACAGGAACATCAGGTATAAAATATTGATGCAATTCGGACGCAAAAATTGACGTAAATTGAATATTTTTCCGGAAATTGAGTTAATTTACAGAGTTCAAATAACCTTTTATGACTTTTTCTTATTAGCCAATTTACTGATGTTTAAGGGGTCGTCTTATCAATTTGCTCAACTTCCTATGTGAGCATTGGTGGTTCAGTGGTAGAATGCTCGCCTGCCACGCGGGCGACCCGGGTTCGATTCCCGGCCAATGCAACTTTTTATCCTCGGCTATTGCTTTTGGGTTCAAAACATTAGCTATAAAGTTAAGTAAAAACATGGTATGTCTTTTTTTTAAAAAAAAAAAAGTTATCTTAGAAAAGATAAAAAAATTGCATTGGCCGGGAATCGAACCCGGGTCGCCCGCGTGGCAGGCGAGCATTCTACCACTGAACCACCAATGCTTACGATAGAAGTTTGGTAATTTTTGCATTTAAAGTAAATTTCTTAGAAATGTTTACATCTTTTGTATCCTTTGTCTAAACAGTTTTAATGTTAAATACGCTTCCTTTGAAGTAAAATAATGGAATTGTTTGCATAAGTTTATTTCTTACAAAGTAATAAATTGCTAAATATTCAATCTGATGTGTTCTACAATTTGTAGACAGAGATTACAACAATTGTTCAATACTTATTGCTTAGAATAAAGAATTTAACTATTAATTTCATTCCAGAAACTAAACGTTTAGTATTTAGAAAGTAATATATATATTAAAATATATATATAGTTTATAACCTAAAAAAAAAGGTATAAAATTAATAATCAATTTTTTATAACACACATGTGGCCAACGCCATCTGTTATTATACAAGCTCTGGTTTGTTAACCATTTATTAAAATTAAGAACATATCTCCGTCGAGGGTTTTATATCAAGGTAATATATTTTAATCTCTCTCTTCAGTTATCTAATTCCATAATTCATTAGTTTGCTATTAAAGGGTTTTTCATTAAAATATGTTATGTTTATATTAACTGCGATAAATTGAATATTTCTGATAAAAAAATCAATTGATAACGATTTCCTTTAAATATTAGAAATACATTGATCGATTAGTGCTTTTGTTGGTAAACAATAAAGTTGACCTTTAAATATTAAATAACAAAATATACCTGGAAAGAAAGAGAAAATTGTATGATCTAATAGAAAAACATTGGTCATTATAATACTGTATATGACTAATAGATACTATAAATAATTTGTTACTAATATCTCAATATGAATTGACTATAAATTTCAACAGTTATACAGAGTTGAAAATAGAGGGTTTATTATTTCTATAAAAATCTTCAATCGCGATGATAATAAGATGGATAATGGTAAAGTAATACAATTGTTATCAATTGACGATGATGGATCAATTAGTTTGGAGGAGGAAGGAGTTATATATTTAACCGAATTTTGTGAAGGTAAACGTTGTTTATTTATATCTTCCTCTGGTTCCTCGAGATGCGGGAAATCTTTTCTACAAAATTTAATTATAAATGAGACTGTTTATGACAAACTTGAAAAAGATCAAGGGTTCGCCAGTGATTCCGGAATGAATTCAGTCACTAGAGGTAAATCATAAAATTAAGTGACTCTTTTATAGTTATTATCTCTTTAATTTCCCTTTCCAATTTTGTTTTAATAAAGGTATTCAATTTTGGAGTAGGCCAATTGTACAGTAAGTACCCTTACTGTGAATATAAAAAAGAACTGTAGTATTTTTGTTTAAGGAATGTTGATGGTGAGGATATTTTTACATTTATAATGGATTCCCAAGGATTAAATACCATTGAAGAGCTGGGAAAGTACGATAGATTTATCCTCTCGTTCTTGTTTTCTCTTTGTTCAATAGTACTATTTAATGTTGAAAAACGTTTAACAACTGCCTATCTGGAAGAACTTGATGTAAATAATTATTTTTAATATTAAACAACTATCGTATAAATCATCTAAAAAAAACATTCTAGTTCTGCTCAATGTACGGATTAGTTGGGGAAAGTTGCAATAGAAGACAAAAGGTATATTAACTTTGGAGAAACCTTTTAATATTTATATTCTTTAACTTATTCATTCTTTGAATTTAGAATTTGATATTTATCGTTAGAGATTGGCAGTATTTAAATAATTATTCGTATGGCGATAATACAGACTATTTAAAGACTAATTTAAAAGTAATATCCTTCATCTTCTTTATTAAATAAACTGTTTTTCTAAAAATTTTACATCTTAGCTGGAGAATTATCCATTTAGTAGGAGCTTTGAAAAAATTTCTTGTTATCTTCTGCCAAATCCAGGAGATCAGATTTGTTCTGGATTGTATAAAGATTTACTATTAGGTTTGAATTCAAGCTAGAAATTGATACTAGAGTATTTAATCAACTATGTTCTCCTCATTTGCAGATGTTTCTAATGATTTTATTAAGTATGTAAATGATTTGAAAAATTTCATGATGGATCAGTTATATTGTCTATCTAAAGAATTATTAAACACTAATTCGTTAAATGTTGGAATTGATCATATATTTGATAGTTTAAGCTCGAGGAAAGAAATTATCGAACGAATTACACCCAATGAAGCTTCTTATTCAAAATTTATGAATATTAATATGATCTTGGAAGGTGTTGAAAATATTTTATCTGATAGAATTCAAAATGAATTCGATTCTTGTCTTCAAAGTTCAATTTCAGTAGAAACTTTTTCTTTTGTTTGTAAGACTATACTTGAAGAACTGAAGGTAACACTATACAATTCGATTAAAGGAGAGAATGAAGATGAACAGATAATGGGCAAATTTACTGAAAGGGCTAATTGTAAAATTAATGCTAATCTTAAAATATATAGAGAAAAGAGAATACTCAAATCAACTATTGATAATTATAAAGCTAATATGGAATCGTTTATTTTCAAGTTCACTACCTCTATTCAATATCCTAAACCATTTCTAGAATGCCCATTCCTATTAGACGCTCACAAAAACTTCTTTTCGAAGGCCTATCTCGAATTAAAAACTCTTTTTGGTTTCGAACCTGAATATGATTGTTTAAGATCATTTACAGATAATATTCAGAAAGTATATTATAACATTTATCACCGAAGCGTACAACTTGAAAAAGCATATTTAATTCTTGATCGTAATGTAAGACAACATTTTGATGTCATTTTCGTTAAAAAATATGAAAATCAAATATCTTTGAATGAAGTTGAACTGGAAGAATGCAGGAAAGAAGCATTCGAAAATTTTGAGCATAATCTCTATCTGAACGATTCAATTCACCAATTGTTTGAATTAAACATAGATTTAGATTTAAAATTTACTATGCAATCAAGATATGCAGATTTGCAAGAGTTTAATGAATTTATTAAGAAAGAATTAAACTTGACAATAGGAGCAACTGTTGGGCATGCTTTATTGACTATTGTGGGAATAGCTCCTGCCGCTGTTTGCGCAGCTGTAATTATTCCAACGTTAGGAGTTACTATCCCATTAGCGGCAGGAATAACTGGTGCATCTGCAGGAGCTGCAAGTGTGGGTGGTGCTGTTGGTTTTGGTTTAAAACCTATAATCAAGTCTATTGTAAAACGGATTGATAAAAAAACATCAGCTTCCGCCCAGGAGGATTTTCTTTCAAATCAAGAAGTTTCATTCCTAGATCTATTTAAAAAAGAAAGAAGCGTAGAAATGACACAGGAATATCTTCAAGTATTACCAGTAAGAATGAAGCTAAAATGTCAGCAAATCCATAACTTTGAAACTCTATGAAACTCTTTTTTTGCATTTTGATTTTTTTCTGAATTTTTAATTATATTAAAAAACTAGATCAGAAAACTACACACTTTTTAATAGTAATCCTTATTCCAATCTAATTTTAGAAAAGAGGTCCTCAAAATTAATAGTTCTCAGTTGGAATTTTGAATTTTATTGGTACTATGTCGTAAGCATTGGTGGTTCAGTGGTAGAATGCTCGCCTGCCACGCGGGCGACCCGGGTTCGATTCCCGGCCAATGCAATTTTTTTGATTTTTCCATAGAAACCATTTAAATATAGTTTTAATCGAATTCTGAAAGATAGACATTAAAAAAAAAACAACAGTAAGATAAAGTTGCGTAACTTTTATTATTTGTTTATAAGTATATAGTAATTTTCAATCTTCAATTATAGATCTGTTCATTCTCAACTTTAAAGGGATTAACTGCATATAATCTTTGAATAAACTGATTAATTTTTCATTATTGGTAATAATCCTCTTCAAATTTAGAACCTTCAAGATATCACTCTCTCTTTCATAATCTAAAATTGAAATATTATCATTTCTCACATTCTTCCATTTAAAATATACTTCCTTTCTAAGTTGAATTTCATCAAGATACACATTTGAGAAATCATTAGTTTTCAATAGATAATCATAATGAACATAATCTTCGCAAGTTGAAATATCCGAGCTTTGGCTTCTGAATCTGCTGTTTAACCAAACTAAACAGCATGAGACTTGGTTTCCCTGTACGGTTTCTTGTGGTTTCCCCCTCTCTTTTAATAGACTTTTTTCGTGTAGTACAGTCTTTATAAAATGATTAATAAAGTGTAAACGATGATCTAATAAGCAATCCACATCAATATATCTATAGTAAGATGTAAAATCTAACAATTCTTTTGTAAATTGATATTTAATATCAACTGTGTAATAAGCCGTAGTCTCGTCATTACTTTTCAAGCAGAATAGTTCGAAATGTCTATCGAAATTAGTTACCAGTTTTTTCTTTAGAAAATTATAAACATCTTTAAGTTTATTTCCATCATTTAGTTTTTCAAATATTTGTTTTTTAACTAATTTTAACTTTCCTTCATTTTCTTTATAAATTAAATAGAAATTTTCTCCCATTTCATTTATAACCATTTTTAAAACTTCTTCTATCCTTTTATCTAAAAGATCGTCAGTGATTATTGGCTGTTGAATATCAAATTCACTATTACTCTGATAAACAACAAATAAAAGTCTATTGAGAATTAATTTCTCTACTTTTTTAATTTTTTCATTATCAAAGTTCATATTCCTTTTGAATTCTTGACAATTTCTACAAAATCTTTTTAATGAATTATCTATATGTTCAATTGTCATATATTCCAGTTTAATTGATAATTTTCTAATATCTTCTATAGCTTTATCTTTAGATAATTCAAACTGTTCATCTAAAAAGAAATGATCACTTTTTTTGTAATTTTCAATTAGATCTTGAAACTTTTTATCACAATATTTTTCATATTCAATTGTTTGCTGACTAATAATTAGCAATTTTTCTTTAATTTCATTTAATTGTTTTTGAATTTTTTCTAATTCTCCTTTAAAATAAATCTGTTTTCTTTTCTTAAATTTTTTCTTTAGAAAAATCTTATCATTATCTTGCAGATTTTCTTCTCTTTTTAATAGATCTTTAAATTCGAGAGTGTATTTTTTATCGTAGGAAATAGCTTCATTTTGTATAATTGACCAATTCTCTTCTTCAAATTTCAAATTATGTATAGATGTTTCAAAAGATGATTGCATCTCATATAAAAGTTGTTCTCCAAAATCCACCAAACATCCGTAGGAGTAACGTTCTAATGGTGTTCTTGAATTTACTATATGATCTTTCTCTTGTAAAGTAGTAAAAGTGGTCTCCAAGTATTCATACATCTCATTTCCAGTTTTAGCAACATCCTTGTACAAGACTATCTCATTGAACAAATCATTTTTCAATAATTGAATAGCATCAAAGAATTTTAAACCAAGATCTAAAGATTGCTAATAAAAGTAACTGTTTCTTAATAAATAGCAATACAAGATTCTTGCCTGATACTTTAAATGAGAAATCTTTCCTCTTAACGGCAGAATCTGGTTCAGGTAATAATGAAAATAGTACATTTCTAAAGGCGCCTTGAAAAAAGACCGCTGTGTCTTCTGATCTCTAATTAGAAGATAAAGCCATTTAGATGTGTAAGATTCGTAAGAACAACATGTTAAGGCCTAAAAATATGAAACCTTATACTCCATCCTTTTATATTCATTGTTGAATTTTCCATGCTCTAATTCATCATCTTCAGGCCTATCATGAGCCACTAATAAGAGTCCCTTAAAAATTAGCATCGGTTCTTAATAAATTAAATAATTTATAAATTTATGTTTGTTAAAACCTAACAAGTTTCTTAGAAGTTTGAAATTGCTCATTTTCGTCGATACCTAATTTCGTACAAAACTGAAAAAAGAAAATAAAATGTAAACAAATAATTTATTCATTAGATTATAAAAGAAAATGAAAAATAAAGGAGTTATTACTCTAATTTCGTTGACATCATTTTCCGATATCCGTTTGATAACGTTATAGAGGAGAATAGAGCAAAATGAAAGCAGGTAAGAAAGAATGAAAAGATCATGCTTATTCAGTTTATCTCTTGAAAATAATCCTTGGGAATCAACAATAAATATATAATAATCCTCACCTTCGATTTCGCTGTTTAATTTCAAATTTTAGATTGATTAAATTGATTATAATTATATTTCTACCGTTTAATTGGTTCATTGCAAATTGTTATTCCTGTAGAAAGAGTATAATTTTAAGAAGACGTAGCGTAAAACATTGATGCTGATAGTACCTTCTGTTAAAGATGTATCGCCAGGCTCTACGCCAAATATCTTATGAAAATGACTTTTAAAGTGAAGCAAATCTTGAGAGAGTAGATTTTGTAATAGAGATTTTCCACATCTAGCCGTACCTGTTCCTCCTATGAAAATACACTTTTTATTCGCGTATTCTTTGAATAAAAATTGAAAATTTTCATTTTTCAGCTTTAACTTCCGGTCTACAATTTCAACAATAGGTGAGGCTGACATATTTCACTTTATCTAAATCAACATAAATATTCCACTTTGAAAGATTTCCAGTAAACTTATGTTGTTGGACAAGAATTAAATGGTATAAATCATAAATAAAGGCTATTTAAAGTTTGGGTGTGGCTTGAAAGAGATGATGCAATTATCATTTTTGTATAGATACAATTGTCTATTGTTTTACAACCAATAACAGATTTCTACAAGTATTTGATAGTTTTTCGATGAATTACCAAACTATTCTGTAAGCATTGGTGGTTCAGTGGTAGAATGCTCGCCTGCCACGCGGGCGACCCGGGTTCGATTCCCGGCCAATGCAATTTTTTGCTCTCTTTTGCATACTCTTTAAATGTGCAATGTATTCATGCTATTATAATATGACTTATCTAATTATTCTGTTGAAAGAAGTATAATCCTTTGCCGTTGCTTTAGTATCTGTTGTCTGTTATCAGTTTTGTCAGTATTTTACAGTTGAGTAATAATATTTTATTATTATAAATTTATTTGTTATGTTATCTTCTTGAAAAAGAATATTTTTATGAAAAAAATAAACAAAAGAGTTGCATTGGCCGGGAATCGAACCCGGGTCGCCCGCGTGGCAGGCGAGCATTCTACCACTGAACCACCAATGCTGACGAAAAGATGTGATACGAAATGCATCAACGATTGCTGATCATTGATAAATGTAGAATAATCGGCATATTTTGAAATAACGCTCAAATATGATAATCTTTTATCTAATCCATAAATAAGATATAGAGATAATCACAAAATTTATTCATATGCTGACAATAGAATTGCAAAAACACTGTCTTTACCTCTCTTTGACACTATTTTCTTGTGATGCATAAAACCATTATTGAGAAGTCAAACTTTCATGTAACGATTATAACGATAAAAATTACTCTGGAAAAACTGGATCAATAAGATGTAGAAAATTACAAAGTAAAAGGAGAAATTGATGCGATATAGAAGATGATAGCTATTCTTTTGACATGTAAGCAGTTGCCTTTGTTAGGAGAAATTCTGTTAGCAGTTAATGGTGGCTACAATAGAATATTTAAGGTGATTTGTACAATTTTAAATCGCCTAATAAGCTTTATCTATTAGATAAAGAAATTTAACTTGTTCATTAATTTTTTGTTCAAGATTCGTTCATGTATTTAATATAGCATCTTTTCGTAAGCATTGGTGGTTCAGTGGTAGAATGCTCGCCTGCCACGCGGGCGACCCGGGTTCGATTCCCGGCCAATGCAACTCTTTTGTTTATTTTTTTCATAATTAAAGTGAGGTTAGAAAATATCATTTGAAGAATACTAGTACTAATAGTAGGTAATATGTTTTTTTCAATAATGGTCCGCCTGCTGTTGATCTATATATTTTTTTAACCTAGTATTAATATTTAGCATTTTTGAACCGCTATAATTGATTAGAATTTCACCTAAAAAAACTACTTTCGTATGATTCGTGTAATATATTTTTTACCATTTTTAAACTTATATTAAAAAGATGTGAATTTTAAGACCAACTTGTGTTTAACCAACAGAAAAGTTTCACGGTTGACTGCTCCTCCTGCAATGATGTCAACAAGTGGCATTTTTATTCATGTAAGCATTGGTGGTTCAGTGGTAGAATGCTCGCCTGCCACGCGGGCGACCCGGGTTCGATTCCCGGCCAATGCAATTCTTTTCTTCTTTTTTCATAATTAAGGTGAGGTCAGGACATATCATGACGATAGTAGGGACTTTTATTCTCTAAAACCGTGTTTTTGTTCCTCCTCACCAAATGAAATAGAATGAAAAATATATCAAAAAAGTACTAATTCTTGTCTTAAACTTAAAGAGAGTCGATAGGCTTACGCCAAAAACCTATTTAAAAGTAGATATAGTAATATAGGTGCAGAATAACTTGTATTGATATTAAAGTGCATTATGTCATTTTCAATATTAGTTTAAGAAAATTATTAAAATTAGAAAGTTCAGCACAAAGAAAAAGGGACAAATAAAAACCATAGCCTTAATAAGATAAAATTTAAGTATATGTGAGTGATGGACACTTCTGAATAAGAAATTTTAAAATTTTCCTAATCATCTTCTTGTTTAATTTTGATCCTGGCTTATTTGGGTTTTCGAAAACCAGATCATCCTGCCATCCTTTGGGCTTTTTTTCCCAAAGATTTCTTATTTTCATGTTATACAGCGGCCTGTTTTTCCGTATCCCCCCATATTTAGAAGCTTTTAGCCTGATCTTCAGCACAAAAGGAAAGGCTATTCTTTGGACTGGTTGACAGATGTCTTCATTTGCTTCGAGCTTTTCTTTAAGAATGCTCAGAAAAGCCTTACCTTTTTGAGTATGAGTATGAAATCCAACACTGCATGGCAATTTCTTCTCATCATTTGGAAATATCAACGTAACGGGACAAAAAGGTTCCCTACAGATCCATTTGCCTTGATGATTTTTTCCGTAGACATCGTAATTGATTAGTACCTGGTCATCATACAAGAAAAATTTTTGGTATTTCAATTTTCTGATATTTTCATTGCGCTTGACAAAGGTAAGCGCTAAAGTTTCCGAAGGGTTCTCTGCCATTCTTACAAAGAAAAGTACTTTCTCTGGATGCATGTTTGAATCCAGAATTTGTAGAAAACAAGGCAGCGTCTTGGTACTAAATTCCATAATTATTATTCGGGCTTGCAAAAATTCACTTACAATTTTCCAGTGATTGTTTACAAACTCCTCTTTAAAAGCATCTTTTGCAATTTGACCAATGTCTTTGACTGATTCATTTTTTTTTTCTAATATCCAGATGAAGAAGGATATCAAAAAGTAGATCTTTGAGAATGTGAAATGCCCTACGGTGACATTAACAATGTTCGTAATATCGCAATTATCGCAAGCTATTGAATTCGTCATTCTATAACTTTCTTTAAACTGCTGCTGAAGTAATTCTCTTATGTCCTTGTGTTTTTCGACTGTTTCAATAGGATATACATCTTCTTTTGATAGAAGTCGGACTATCTTGCCAATATTTAAATACACTTCTTCTGGAGTTGGACCCATGTTAATAAAAATATTTTTAACATTCGACTCAAATTTCCTGTGAAAAAATTCTTTATCACTTTTATTATTTTATAAAATGTAAAATTTGCCTTTCACTTTGGTTGCAAACTCGTTCACGTTCTTCATGGTTTTCACCAGGAGACATCAACGGCAAATCAAGAGCACTGTTTACACCGTTTTTCATATGTTGCTTATTTTCATTACTGTTTAACGAAAAAAATGCCTGTTTCAAATGTTTTGACTTCGTATCTCTTATCTGCTTACATGTTCTCAAACTCTTCGATAAAATCAGTTTGTCCTTCATTTAGGTTGTGAACTTGTTGGCGTTGATCATGATCTTCATCACCGTTCTCTTCCACTCCATACTTTCCTATATGTAGGGCTTGATCCTCAGGTTGAACATCTTCGATGTTATTTCTACTATTTGACGAAAAAACTACCTTGTTTAAACTTGTTGATTTCGATATTTCATATCTGCCTACCTGGAAATAGCCATGTTCCCATGAAATTCGAAAAAAGTAGTTTGGTATTCAACTAGGTCGTCAACCTGTTGAGAAGTCGATGGCAAATCATTGTTCTCTTTGCCTTCAATACAATTTAGAATTTCACTTAAATCGTTCAAGAAATCTTGACTTTCTTGGGCATTTTCATGCTTATCTTCATTACTGTTTAACGAAAAAACAGGCCTGTTTCAAACCTTTTAACTTTGATAATTCTTATCTGCTTACCTGAAAATAACCATCTCCATAGACTCTCCATTACAACAAGATGACCGTTCATCTGGGTCTTGATGTACTAGAGAATCATCTTCACCATGAAAAATCCATGTGATGAATTCTGACTTTTTGACTTTCAGACTGCGTCCAAAGTCAGAGATCCATTTTCGAAACTCTTGTGCACTAATTATGATAGGTAATTTGCTTTGTCGTGAAAATATTTTACCTCAAGAACAATTTATTTACTATAGGACTGAAGAAAGTTAAAATTCATTTTGTTATATCACGGGTGATAATGATTCATAAACTCCCCAAAAGCATTGAGGTGTGACTTTTATGATTTTTCACGGATATTTATTAAAATTATGTTTTATAGACATATATACAAACATTATAAATATATTTTTCGATCAAATTTTCAGAAAGAAAGATTACTTCCTAAGGATTAGAGAGAAAAATAATTTACCCCTTAGAGATCATGTTGCTCGGTCTTCAGTCGGATACTAAATGGCGCTAAATGACATGAATATAAGCAACTGAACGAAAAAATTCAAAAATTCAACAGCATTGAAATAATTTTATAAGTAATATTTTTTAATATAATAACATTTATATTTAGAAGAATAATTATTTTATTGATAATTTCGCAAAACCAGAAAAACCATAGAGTGGCTCATATGAACGGATTCTGACTATTCCACTATTCCAGTCTATTGCTACTTTAACGCCTGTTTGTGACCAGTTTCCTTCAATAATATATAAATTTTCCTGATTCTGATTGGATTATTCCCTTTTTTGGAATTTTATATAATATAGACAAACATTTATATACTGTATACTAGAACTTATAAATATTCACCTTTGTATAATTTCAGAACCAGAATGTTAATAATTTATAAAATTTTAACTATTTTATCCAACAGATGTCGCTTGTAGTTTAATCTGGAGAGAAATTAGTGATATATGCAGTATTTTTATATATACTAATTAATATTATAGAACATATTTAATAAAAGGAAATTAAAGAATATTATATGCAAATTTGTATGCTATAATTTAACTTAACATCTCACAGATATAAGGTTAAGTTTATAGGTTAGTTAAACAGTAATAAGTCACCACTATTTGACAACCATAACATGTATAAAAAAAATTTCGAAACTATAAAGTATCTTATTTATTTCTATGCAATTTCTTCTCTATTGCCTATTTTCAGTCTCAATCTCTATGTCGTTTTCTTTATACGCTTGTTTCTTGCTTTAATAACTTGACTAATTGATATAAAAATGAAGTAAAGCTGTCTTTCTAAAGAGAAGAGAGAGAGAGAGAGAGAGAGAGAGATTGACTTAAAGAAAAAAATATTAATAATTTTATTAATAATTAAAAATCTTGCAATTTTTCCATTGTAGCTTAAATAAACATTGTAAAATGGAAATGGTAAACTAAAATAAAAATTGAGTTTTACTTACATAACGAAAGTCCAAGAAAAACAGAAAATATTTTATGTTTTTTTAAATATTAATAGAAAATACAAGCTATTTTACTTTTCTTTTTCTATTGTATTAAGTATATTCAACTGATTTTATTAGCGATTCTTTCTACTTTACTAATAGGATATTCATAATAATATATACTGTATATATGAATATATATATATATACACCTATTAAAGGTTGGGGAATTGGGACTATAACTAAAATAATATATATATATCTTTGTTTAGAAAGGGGAAACTATGATAAAGAAAGGATTGATTAAGTCAAAGCTTAATGAAAATTTCTCTTTTATTAACCTTTTTTTACTATAAAATTTATGAATAAACACAATCCAATAAGGGTTTGTAAGGTCTATTCGTTAACTGTGGGAATAAAATTGCATTGAATGGAGCCCATTATTGTTTACATCATAATAAAGGAATCAATAAAATTCCTAAGAATCCGATTAATCTGGCCTATAGTCGGAAAAGTTTAGCATTTTTTAGACTCAGTTCGGCTGATCCTTACGGAGAAAATCTTGGAAAAGTAAGTAAATTACCTCATCTATCATCCTATGAGATTAATCTTATATATTATTGAAAAAACCATTTTTTATAGTAAAATTATTAGTTTAAATATTTATCTTTTTATTCTAAAAAAGAATTGATTTGAAGCTATTAGAAATACTATCGCTTTGATTTGTAAATTTCATAAGGAGGACATGCTATAAATATATACATACAGTATACTTTTATAATCTACGTCATATATAGCTGTATATAACAGAGACTGAAATATAAAATATATACAGTATAAGCTAAATGTGGAGAATCGAATCTTAAACACGCAAGTTCTATTTAATTCTATTTTGATATGCTAATGAAGAAGGCAAACAAAAAAAATCTATAGATGGAAGATAATGCCCTATTGATAAAAAACAAAAATATTCGCATTTGTTTCTCTTTTCTTTTACTATTAAAAAAAAAGAAACCAAACTTCTCTTCAATGAATTTTTATCAAAGTAACAACATTTTTGTATATTTAGTATTAAAATATAGAAAGTTATATATTTTATATTTATATATTAATTACTCCATTATAATTAAAATGAACGATACAGTGTATCATATAATTTTTAAACCAATACATTGTAATTAGTTATTAATAAATATTAATGAATTATTATTAATCCTTAGGTTTTTTTATATACATGCTATAAAATATTTAAAATATTTACTCTATAAGAAAATATAAAGAACTTTACGAGAAAAGAGAGAGAGAGAGAGAGAGAGAGAGAGAGAGAGTGAGAGAGAAAGGATTAATTTGCAAATGTTGACTGTTTTATTACTAATTTGGTCAACCTGTCAGATGTCGTTTTTATTTTCAAATGCTCAAATTAAATTTACATAATTTTTGTTTGGGTTTTATTAAGTTCAAAATCATTATTATAAGATTAAATTATTGAATTATATAGAAAAACGATGAGAATGATTAGGATAAAAATTCTCAATCCTTACAATATAACCCAATCAATACATAGAATATCTAAATATTTATTAATCTCGACGAGGAAAACTGAATCACTTAATATTATTTGTTAGACGATCCATATAGTTGTATTCCCAATAGAAACGCAAGTCGCCTTCATAGGTAAAGTTTGAGAGAATACCGCAACATCTACGTAAGTAAATTAAGGTAGTTTCTTGACCTTTAAAAGATAAGACCTCTTAAATCTTCGGCACTATTTATTTCAAAGTAGCATACTTATAATTAAAGTTAACATTTTCTATTTAATAAATTATTCTTTTATAGACCTGTACATTGTTAACTGTTTTTCCGCTCTTTTCTGTTTTAATTGAACTTCCGGTTGATATGTTTGAAAAGTTTTGCATTCAATATATGCTACATATTAATAAATATATATATATACAAATTTATATATATATATATATATATATAAAGAAAAGAACATTTGTAGAAGTGTCACAGTCTGTTGTTTAAACCATCGAAAATCAATAATATTTCTTGTGTCGCTTTGAATAAATCTAGAAAAATTAATAAAATTGCTTTTTAAATGCACAGTTTGCTCGACTTGGATTCCCTCTCAATCGAATCCCGTTCATCTACATCCTATAATCCGCAACAAGTACCAAACACGTATCCTAATAAAGTTAGTTGATATAATTTTTTTCTTATCTTATGAATTCTTTTTCTCTTCTCTTTTTGGAAAAGAAAATTACTTGGTAAAATTTTTTACTTTGATAGAGATAAGAGTTAATTAAGCTTAATTGCTAATTAATTATATTTACTGATTACATTACTCTAATTTATTGAAAGCGCTTTCTAATAGCATTCTTGTTCCATCTTCTTTTTATTGGATGCTGTTCTTTTTCTTTCCTGTTCTTTTCTATGATTAATATAGAAAAAAAGTAATCGTTATTTTCCAGCCCAGTAATTTCGACTCCATATAGTTTTTCTATAAACGTCAATTTGTGTTATAATTACAGTTATATTATGATTAATGATAAGATTATTAAGTTATTTCTGTTTAAAGCTCATTTATGAAGAGACAAATCAAACTTTATTTGTAGCATTTACTTTCCTATCAGATTATTATCTTATTTAACAAACAAATCGTAATTTCGTTAGGAATTCCTTAGCAAACAGCGAATAGTTTACATCGCTTTATGCAAAGGTCAAAATGCTACACCGCAAAAACTTTTCCATCCAAAAACGATTAGCTTGTACTTAAGTAGGCCTTTCGTTTTCGTTTATTGCAACTTTCGGCTATATTTAATTCCGAAATAGCGTGAAAGCGACGTCTATGACGTCATGCTAACACGGAAAGTGGACAAAACGTAGACAAAGCGTAGCGTGTATATAAATTATATAAAAATAAATAATATTAATATTTCATTATGACAGATAACTGGTATATAATAACAAAAATATTAGAAAAATATGCATAAGAGCATTGAAGAGCAACTTTTGTTGTTTTTTTTTATGCACTATTTGTCGGTTTTCTATCAAATTTCCCAAAATCTCTATACTTCACACAAAAAGTACCTAGGTCAAAGCTGTCATTCTAGTCCCTGTAACATAAGGCTAATTCGATCGAATAGCTTTACGGAATTTTTTAATAAATAGAGTGAGTGATTTTATACTTTCTATTAATAGTTCTTCATTTAATGCAATTTATTAGTAATTAGGTTGAATTTTAACGTTTTATTTATTATCATTATTAATACTATTTACATATTCATTTAGTAAATTTATGATTTATCGTTAGTATATTTTCAGTCTCTTTACTCTTCAGATGCAGGGAATTGGGGCACTTTATCTCCTTTTTCCAAAGCTATTCTTTTATACATAGGCTCTCTAAGTGTATTGATACATCGGACATTTCGTGGGTGGACTTCCCCATAGAGTGCAATTCCTATGTGATACCATTTCTGAAAGTATTCGTATGCTTTATAATAATCTCCTGTCTCTTCGTAATATATAGCCGTGTTCAAGTAACACCTATCTAAATTTATATTAAGCTCTCCTCCGGCAAGAGTCAACATTTCTATTGCTGTTGTATAGCATTTAATTTGCTCGGAGCAAGCTCTTCCGAGAACAACTCCCTTCGTTGTCCAGCAATCACCTTCCATTACTCTATCGCCTAGTTTAGTAAAAATACCAATTGCTTTCTCAACTCGTTCTTTTGCTAAAGCTGTAGCTGTTGTTGAGCTAAAGTGCTCATCACCTCCTCTCAGGGCGTAACCGCTATAATAAAATGATACCCTGTTTAAGCATCTTCCCAATATATGTAAGATGTCAGTTTTATTTGATTCTGACCAAATATCAATTGCCTTCTCGAAATTGTTTATGATTTCTCTCATAACGCCTAATTGACTTCTATACATATATTCTTGCAGTTTTAATTGTTCATCTAAAACGTAAGATAAAAGATGATATAAGGAAGCTAATCTGAGTTTATCAGATCCTGCTTTCTCTGCAGCTTCTAATGCTTCTTTCGAAAATTCTATAGCTCGGTCATACTCCCCACCTTGAGCAAGAATTATCGATAGTTTCTCTAATTTATGAGATAGTTCTTCTAAATCCTTCTTTTCCTCTGAGATGGAATTTTTGAAATTTTGTCCCAAATTATAATAAACAGCTCCCATATTACGAAGACTACTCCCAGTTCTCCAATAATCTAACAATTTTTTACTTAAGAGAGGATCGAAAAGTTTCTCAAAGACATCCCACTGAGACAAGAAATCTTCTAAATGTTTCGTTTGCTTCGTAGCTATTAGATGAATTGGTAATTCTTCAATTTGTCGGTGAAAATTCGTAGTCTGTTTAAAATATTCCGTAAGAACATAATGCCACCACTGGAAAATATCCGTATTTTCTGATCCATCTTCTTTGTAGAAATATCTATAACAAAAATAATGATAAATAATTTAAAAAACAAAACAGAAAAATAATAACATTCATTCTAAAAGGGAATGTAATCTCTTTTATTTAGTTTCTGTCATATATTCTGGACCTTTAACCTATACTTCGGCTATTTCTAACCGCCTCCTTATTCAATCGAATATTAAATGATACAACTGGGAAATACAGTAGTTGCTTCGTTATAAAATATACAACGTAGAACTATTAAGAAAAACACGATAGTACAAAATAGCTATACCTTTTCCTAACGGCCTTACTAAGAGATCTATGATAAAAATCCAATCGACCGTCTTCACTATCTCCAAAAGGTCTGATAAACGGTCGCAAAGCTCTGTATACTTCGGCCCATCTATAGGCTGGTAGCTTTTCTGAAAAGTTAACCTTCTTTTCGCTACACTCTTTTTCGCTCTTATCCAAAGAAGCTTCCAAAAACACGTCGTGACTAAGGATACTTAATAATTCTATCTCGAGCAATCCCATACCAGATGTTTCTATTAGGCATACAGCAGCAACCAATAATTTGCCCCCATTCTCTTCCTCAAATCTTTGTAAAACTTGTTGTTCTAACTCCAAAAGACCATTGGCCAGTGTATTGATTTTATTAGATATTTCTCTGAAACTTCCAAATACACGAAGTTCTTCGCATGCTATTGACAACCAAAGAGGATTGTGGGAAGAAGATTTTCTCAATAGGTAATTCATTTGTTCATCATCTAATCTCTTGTTATACTTTCCGAGCATTGTGGAGACGATTTCTTTCCTTGCAGTTTCGTCTAACTCCTGTATAAGAATTTCTTTTGGTTTTGGTTCTCTTGCTGCCAGAGTTTTCCCTTGAGCAGTGTCACCGATCATCGATAAAACAATTCGAATCGAAGGAGATAGTTTCGCTGGCAGCCATGTGACATATTTTGCAGAATCCTCCTCATCCAATTGATTTAGAGCATCTATTATAATTAAAGTAGGATTTGTATTTTCATTGCTGAGATGTGAGGAGGTAATTTGAACTATGTTAGATCTTTCATTGTCCCGAACTTCCTGCCCTGTCATCTCTTTAATCAATCTCTGTAGGATATCGTCAATGTCAGTTGATCCCGGAACAGCCCCAACAAAATGGCAAAAAACATTCCAGTCTTTACCCCTGTGCTTCTTTAATTGACCACTGGCTATATGTTTAATGGCTTGGTCAACTGATTTTGCCATTATCGATGATTTTCCACTTCCGGCATTTCCTAGAATCAATAATGGAGTGTCTGGACCCTCTTTATATAAGTAATTTTCTATTTGCTTCAAAATTTCATCCCTGCCTAAAACGTCTTCACATCTACTTTTCATAAAAGATTCATGTTGTTGTTTTTTCTTAGTTAAAGGATCCAAGTGAACATTACTAATAGGAGGATATTGATTTGCAATCTTTTTCTTGAAAAATTCAAACACTTGCTTAGCAAAATTTTCCAGACCTGAAAATTCTAGCTTTCCCGTTTCAGGATCTTTTCCACAATAATCCACTTTATATGTGCATATGGATTCATGGTTCTAGATAAAATATGGAATAAAAATAGAGATAAATGTTATTTTATCTTATCATATTCAAGTTAATGAATATATTTACAAATTTGCTCTTCACTTTATCACGTAGACTTTTAATCTTGTATTGAATGAAATTTTGATTGTCGGCTTCACTTTCTTCTCTTATATCAGTAAATTCTTGTCTAACATCAGCTGGTAGTTGTTTGATAAAATCAGCATCTCTAAACATAAACAAAGCTGAAAGATAGATTTATAAATTCAATTTATTTGTTAGGTGTGAAAATGTAGCTTTTATCAAGATATCTCTTACAACTTACCATTTGGATTATCTATCCTATAGGCTGCATGAATAATCTCCATTTCTGTTACGCTTAAATCGTCTATCCAGTCGTAAGTGTCCCTTATATATTGAGGAACGATATTAGCCTCAGGTATCCATCCAATTCTCTCACAGGTCATATTTACGAAAAAAGGCCATACGTTTGTTTCAAAACATCTATCAATCTCTTTCAGGCATATCCTGAGCGTTTCTTCTGTTGTAGAATCTTTCGGTATTCCCCATCGGAGGTCGCAATCGATTAGATGCAGATTTCTTGACTCACACCATTGTCTTAAATCAGGAAATACTTGTTTGACAAGTATTTCTCGTTCAGCGTGGAAATCTTTAAAAGTTGAACTGACAAATATTCTGACAGTCTTCCAATCTGCCCTCTCCATCTTAGGTGGCTTTTTTGTTCTCGTTTTGCAGGTTTTAATGGCTCTATTCCAAGCTTGATCGACACGTATTATGTAAGGATCACCTGAATTTAATTTGGAATATCCTGAAGGTGCACAGCCCATTTTAATACTATTTCAACACTTTAAATTTTCGACAAAAACATTAAGAGGTATAAATGGTAAACGGTTGGTCAGATACGTAGCGAAATATTGTTGTCTATATACTACTGTGGCAACAGCATTGATTATCTAGACAAGAAAGGCATTTTGGATTTGGCCTGATTTTAAAGAGAGATCTCTATTTTTGTTGTATGAAGTGCTCTCTCACAGTTCTCTTACTATTAATTCTGTTTTTAAACCCTTTGAGTCTGCGCTTTCTATGATAAGTCTGATATGTAATTATACTATAGTTAAAAAAAAGTATGTTAACAGCCATTTTTCTCAGTGAGATCGGTAAATGTGTTGAATTGATATATTATTTCTTCTGGATATTTTCGATGTTAATAATGACCATTAATTGGATACAAATACATATAAATAGTCTACTATTTAGAAGCGGTCATACTAAAATCGGATAATCCGGATAGGGTTATTATTAAGATAAGAGTACGATTAATTATGATTAGTATTGACTATTATAACATGAACGTTAGAAATTCTTCGCCGTTCAAATTTAAATAAAAAAAATATACCGTTCTTGATAAAGATTCGATAACAGATTAAAAGAACCGCACGAAACGTTCATGGCGAATATATACAAATGTAGGTCGTTAAAAGACACTGATAATAAAGCCAGCAACAAGACTTCCTTTCAGTAATTGATGTTGGCAATTTTACAATAAAAAATTATATAAATAACAAATTTTATTTTAATAGCGATCCTATGATAAACTCTACTTTTTTATTCCCACTTACCCTAATTCTATTCCAATAAGATCTTGTATTGGTGGAAAAATTTAGATGATTGCCTAATTTTCAGACAGATTTATAAGAAAAATTTAACTATTCCAACAACCTTATTAATTGACACTATATCTTCTTTTTGCCAAATAAAATAATATAGACAGATTTCGTTCAAAATAAACAAAAAATAGAACGATTTCAGGTTCTATAGTTCTTAAAGAGTTTTAATTTTCAATGTACAAAGATCGTTCTATTTATCTTTTATGCGCTTTTATACTATTCAATGCTGTTTCTTCAAGTATTATAATTTTTTCTAAAAATGAAAAATTCTATTCACCCCTTTCCCCGTTGCATATTCTCCCTTACGTGTTTTAGTCAAACTCACTATTCATTCATTGGTAAGGCTTGGTTTCTAAGTTACAAAATTGATCAATCTGTAAAATTTCAAGGCCATTATCTAGTCGAAACAATATTCTTGTGATTTTCAATAGGACTAACCAGGAAACTGCCCCTCCTAAAGAGATCAATAACCGTAAAAAATTTTCTTGTTAGACCAAATTTTTATAAATACCAATTCAATCAGGAAATTCAGATCTAGAACGGAAATTGAGGCGAACCCGGATAAATTTTCGGGAAGATAGAAGAAATTATACAGAGATTGAAATACATTCCTTTTATAGAAATGCCATTTATGTAAACGACAAAAGAAAGAAAAGAAATTAAATATTTTTGTTAAGTTGAAGGGTATCAACATCAACCTTCTTTAAATGTAATAGTTATATATAAGTTATAGGCCTAAGGAGCTTGTAATGTATATTTATATAAAGTTATAGTCATAACAGAGTAATTGTTATAAAGTTTTTTTGTTTTGTTACCATTATATTTCCAAAAAAAGACTAATTGTTTGCCAATTTTTTCCCTACCCCCCTAAAACCTTTCATTACGTTGAATAATACGTGATAAAAACATTATTTTGTCAAATGTCAGTCCCAAAAGAGGTTTAAAGTTTTACCAATTCACAAGCTTGGTTTTAAAAATAGGGATTTTAAATATTTCGTGCTTAAATATAACAATTACCGAAGAGCCAGACTATTAAGTCAAATCTTCTATCATCCCATCTGAAATTATTCGAAGGTTATACATTACAATCTATTTAGATTTCTATTTATAGTTAAAAATCTGGTCTTTCTTCCTTTTTTTTATAAGTTCAGCTAAAGTCAAAGAGAGAAAGACAAGAATTTTTGTATTTTCTAAGAAAATAGCTAAGAAGGAAGAAATGTTGAGCTTCAAACGAGGAGCAGAGATTTCCTGTCTGTAAACTTAGAATACTTATCCCTTTCTCTATCCTGCTCCTTCTCTTCCTCCTTCTGCCTTTTTTACCTAGATTAAATAAAAAATACTTCATACATTAAAGTATTTTTTATATTCTATGAATTTAAAAAAAACGATGGAGGGGGAGCAAAGAGGCAGAGAAGGAGAAGGAGAAGAAGAGAGAATTTATTTTAAAATAATGGAATATTCCATAGGGAAGGGTTTTATTACTGTCTCTAATATAAGCGTGGAATGCAATTTTTTTGGACAATGATACCGAAGATCGCTACGGGCGACGGGTACTTAACGATATACAAACGGTTTTCTTGCTAAACGCTAATATGTTCGACATATTCTGTTACGACCGTTTAACTCCGTAAAGGCAAGCAAATCTCTAGAGTTCCTTTATGGAGCCTTTATTAGAGAAGCTATTGATACATCCTCCTGGTCCAAAACAATCCTAAGGGACAGTGATGTGTTAATCATAGAGGAAATAGTGCTTTTTGCGACGAAAGTTTAATTGCATTATTCTGTCGAAAATTACTAAGAATTGACAGGCTGGACTACGGGTTGGAAGTAATTTAGTAATTTCTTCTACTTACTCCATTGGGAATGCCCGGTCGGACGTCGTAATCGAAATTTATGAAGTTTAAACAAATACATAATTCATAGAGAAAACATCGAGAAAATAGCGTTACCCTAGCTCATCTTCTCGATTTTGTTTGTGGTTCGTTTTCCCCCTTCCTTGTTTAACCTTTTTTCCCTAAAATTTCTGACTTTTTTTAATCTTAATTCGATAAGAGAGAGAAAAATTTCAATTTTCTTTTCTGATTTTCTTCAAGTATTGATAACTGACACCAACAAGAGATGATTAAGCAACGGAATGGAGAGGGGTAGGAAGGAAAAGGGTAAAAGAGTAAAAGTATCAATTCAATAACTTCATATCATAAAAAATACGGGTAAAAGTAGATAAACAGGCGTGATATGCTAGGATCACTGTTGACAAAAGTTTGTTTAGATTAGAAAAGACTATATTCGTGTTAGCAATATTTTATTGTATTTATCACGCATCAACTATCTTGCACTTATGTATTTACATGGACGGAGGAATATGTGCGGTAATCCGATTTTTTTGGTAACTAAAGTCAACCATTCGAGATATTCCGTTTGATATACATGTATATAAAGAAGAGCGAATGATAATATAATAAACGTAAAAGGGAGAACAAGTGATTCTAAGAATTGTGATAAGTTCAATTAATTTTAAAAATTAATGAAAAGCATCTTACACAAATTATTAGAGAACTCTATTTCTACTTTGTTTGTAATATGTCTACAAAATCTTTATATTGGCTTCATTTTTGCTACTGTCCAGAGATTACGCAAGGATTTACAGTTTGCTTATCATCTAGGAGCAATGTATGTTTAAGATACGTCTGTGTACAATATATACACTGGTAAGCGAGAAAAGTTTAAACTACTAGACGTCACTACCGGTAAATCAAAGGCGTAAATTATTTTTTTTATTTCAAATGGGATTGCTGGCAAATAATCCATTTTTATTCGATTGGATTGGTTCATGTATATATTTTCGTCCATTTACTAGGCCTATAAAGTTTGCAGGCGTAAGGAGACGTGAAGTGGCTAAGAGCTTTCAACCAATTCAACCTCACAAGCGCGCCAATAATGTACTTTTATACTATTACAACGTCAGTATTGTTTAAAGTAACAATATAGTGTTACGACATAATATGCACAAAATATCCTACTTAAAATAGAATAAAGAAAATGTAAGGAAGGGCGTCAAAACACTAAAATAAAATCTATGCAGGATCAAGCAATAAATGAAGAGTTTACATAAGATTGTCACACTTTCTGAGCCTTTCTATTTAAAGAAGACGGAATGGAAGATGGGAAGAGGAACAGAAACCAGAAATATATTTAATAGAATTTGCAAACTCTTTACTTTTATCTAGAAATTATCTTTAATTCTCTTTTATTTCTTTTTGTTTTTAACCTCTTTAGGTGCTTTTCTTATTCTTGCCTAAGATTTTAATCGAGTTTATTGAGTTGAAAAGTTCAAAATTGAATTAGTATAATCATTTTCTGATATTTAAATAAACTAAACACCCTTCCATAGAGATTCTTATCAACCATCTTACAATAGATTTCATTTTCCATTTTCAACACAATAGACCTAAGCATAAGTCGGATACGGTTTGACAAACGTTTGCCGCCCGCAAATATTGCTAGTTTTGTAAAGTTTGGCATCAATTTTTCAAGTAAGGCATAGCTGTCTAAATCTCTAATTGACGAATAGAGGGCGCACTGGTAGAGCGGTCGACTGAAAAAAGTCCTTCGGCGTACGACCGCAATGGAGTGAACATTATTGGTGCGCTTTTCTTAATTGAAATCGCTTTATCGTTTAATTAAGGTAAGTACATTCAATTCACTCAGAAATATCCCTAGCATCTCTTATTACCTATTCATTATATAATAATAACAGGCCCGAATCCTACACCCGCCGATATAAAAATCATTAAAAAGTGTATAATTACAGTTTTCTTATACTGAACCTTTTCAATCAAACACTTTCTATTCGGAACATCCTCATTGATTTTTTATCAATACTATCAACAAGTTAATAATAGGCGGAAGGCGTCTAATTTCAATGCTTCCTATTACTCGGTTAGCGGCGAAAAACATTAAGAGAGTTCTCGCTGTTTAAAAAAATAATGATAGTTTTATATATCTAGCTGTCACCATTAGTCTAGATATGTATATACTCATCAATTATCAATGCTATAAATTTCATAAAGCATTTCATAGCAAGAGCATATATTGAAATTTGCAATTCTAATTTAGCGGCATGAGTCGCGCTTTATCTGGTTTATAAATTTTCTAAATATACACAAATTTACAAATATATAAACAAACAGATGTAAATCTTCTTACTTATCTTGAAGAAAAATTTACGAAACAATCGATTTATTATTTCTTTCACTAACCCATTGCATTTTTTTCTTGCTCTTCGCATCGCTTTCGTTCTTGAGAATACAAAAATTTATTGCAGGCGTAGATATGAATGCAGACTTTTAACAGATGTTCTCTATACATCTCTTTGAGATTGAGAGAGAATGGGAGAGAAAGAGAAAGCGAGAGAGCAAGAAAGAAAAGAAAAAGGGATTGAGAGATAGATACATAGATAGATAGATAGATAAAGAGCTAGGACGAAAAGAGAGAAGTGCAGAGAGAGAGAGAGAGAAAGAGAGGGAGAGAGAGAGTAAAAAGAAAGAGAGAGAGGTGAAGAGAGGAGAGGGTGTGGGGGAATAATTTGGATTAGTAAACAAAAGATACTTTAACGAGAAATATAAAGATTCGTCGAAAAGTAGAAGATAGGATGAGACTGAAGAAATATAATGCCTTTCAGATAAGCAGATAAAAACATTTATCTATGCTTTCTATATCTAGTACTTAAAATGAGAATATTTCCACAGAATTGTTGTTGAACGCCTTGACGCCCCTGTCAGATTATACGTAGGCAATAGAAAACAACGCAACAAGTCACACGCAGCTAGTCGTCTTTATTAAATTATGAAACCGTAAAATTTTGGCACCAAGTTAGGCGCTTTTACACGCGTAGACGCGTGCAAAGTCATGCAGTTTTATTTGCAATCTCATGCAGTCTTTTACGTAATTACAACTCTCAATTATAGGTACAGATAACTTTACCTTTTCTTTCTTATAACTAGTCCCTCCGGATGTCGCTGTAGGCCTAATAAGCCAGGCTTATACTACCACCGACTTATTCGGCAGTTGTAGTTGGTTTTTGCCTTCGGGTATTTTTGTAAAGGAGTATAAGGCTTATTTCATAACAGATATATACAATATACGCATGATATTATTTCAGATATATACAGTATAGTGTAACTGTATATAAAACGTATATATATATATACAGTATATATAATATGCATATATATATGAATGTAATATATACTTACAGTAGTTTTATCTCTATCTCTTCCATTTGCTATGATGTATTCATGCATCGCTTATTAATTAGTTGTTTTGAATAATTAATTTTTCAAATACAAAAGCATTCTTTCTTTAATTTACATTCATACAGCATTTCTATTAAATATATATATACTGTATATACTGCATATATATATATATATATATATATATATATATATATATAATAAGCATAGTCTCTTGGTAAAATATGGTATTACATACTTGATTAAAACTGTAATTTAATACTCTGAACATTTGTAATTTCCTTCCACGAATATCTTGTGGAATAAAAGAAGAAAAAACACAAATACCAAACAATTTGTAATTAGAAAACAGTATTCATGCATGAAACAAAGTTAAAATAATCCAGTAAAGAAATTTGCTCTCTTTAGATCTTTTCATCTATTTCTATTCAAAACTTTTTATTATTATAAAGAAGAGATCATAAAAATAAAAACCATTGAGTTTGTCACTGTTCAAAAATAGAGTATATTATATTAAAAAGGAAAAAAAATACAATAACTATCATCCATGTTTTTATCTATTGAAATTCGCTTGGTGATTGATAGTTTCGCATTCAAAGGCTTATTTACTAATTCAAGTATGAAATGTTAAATTTTGTAACAGAGAAAAACACTAGTTTTTTTTTAATTTCATTTTTAGGAGAAAGAGATAGATATAATATTTTTTATTAATAATACCGTCACATGTACGGAATGATCTACTACAACATTTGTACAAAAGCATAAAATAAACATTAAGTTATAAAGTCAATAGATAATTGATGATAAGATGAATCTATTTTCTTTTAATTATACATACGATTCCTCTAATGTTTTTAAAATAAGGGAAATTTAATTTATTCGCAGCTGTTTCCCTAGTCAATAATCTAATACGTCTAAAGAGTTTTTTTTCTACTTTTCTTTAAGACAACTTGTTAAGGAATTAATTGAAGATGGCATGAAAATATGCATGTATGGGTATTCAATAGCTTTTCTCTCTCCTCTCTCTCTCTCTCGCTCTTTCTCCCTCTTCCTCTCCCTTTTTCTTTTTGGCGATGTAAGGGAACCGATTATTTTTTTAACCTTTTACCAAGATTCCTAGTTGTATTGTTAAACAATCCTCAATCGAACTTTGAAGAAATTCTCTGTCCGAAAGCCTTTAATCTAAACGAAAGTAGGCATTTAAGACATAAGAAAAAATAAATATTATAAGCATAGTAGCCGAGTTTGCCTAAGATAAGATTATCGAAGAAAAGCGATGAATATTTATGAGGCTAGTAAATTTGCAACGTGCGGTCTAACTCTAAACGGGTTGATTCCGAAAATGAAATAGCCTTCAAAGGGAGTAGGGGGCGGGGTCGGAGGTGGAGTAGATGCGTAGTGTAAAAGGAATACTTGACTTCTTTTTACGTTCAGTCTTGTCTTGTCTTTCCAAGTAAAATAAATACAAGATAATTGCCTACGTGCTCCTTGCAAAAATTTCGATTTTTTATTTCTTTGCGAGGAAAAAGTAGCACCTGTCATGAATTGCGTTAGAGACAGATTAGATATGAACGTCTGGCTGTTCTAATTAGACGCCCTAAGGCTATCTTAAAGTCCCTTTTATTCCAGTTAGACCTTACGACCTTCGCTTTACACTACTTTTATAGAAAATATAATAAAATGTTCTTTACAGATGCAAAACGCTACGGGAAATAATAATACACATAATAATGCGAGTGATGTTGCCTATGAAACGCTTCTCCGCGTCTTCGTACCGATATCCTTTATCATAACGCTCATCGTAGGCTTAATTGGAAATTCTTTAGTTATTTTTGTAATAGCTACGAATAAACAAATGAGGAACACAACAAATCTGCTCATATTGAATTTGTCACTTGCCGATCTCATCTTCCTTATTTTCTGTATTCCAGCCAATATGGTTAGCGTTTACATTTTACATGAATGGGTTGCAGGAACTTTTATGTGCCGATTACACCTTGCTTTTCAATTCATAACTGTCTATATTAGCATCTATACTCTCGTACTCATGAGCTTCGATCGTTATCTGGCAGTCGTCCATGCCATTTCATCAATGCGTTTTCGTACTACAAAAAATGCAGTCATCTTTATTGTTACTCTCTGGGTAGTAGTTGTGGGTAGCAATGCCCCTTCTTGGAATGACTTTAATTTTGTGCCATACAACCATTCTGGAGAGAATAGAAGTATGTGTATTCATATGGTTCTCTATGATAAAGGCATGACAATAAGGATAATAAAGAAACGTATATTTTACACTTGCTTTTGCGTATTCGGATTTTGCCTCCCTGTTCTGCTAATCTGCGTTCTCTATGGCTTAATGCTCAGACGTCTCTTATTCGGAGCCGTACCCGGAGGAAATCAAAGTCGTGAGGCGTTACGTAGCAAACGGCGAGTAACGCGTATGATTATTATCGTTATCGTCTGCTTCATATTCTGCTGGTTGCCTATTCAGTTGGTTTTTACCACAAGGGCATGGGATGCCTTCCCAGAAAATATGGAATGGCATTTAGTTCATGTCGCAGCCGCAATCTTGGCCTATGGTAATTCCTGCATTAATCCCGTCCTTTATGCCTTTTTGTCAGAAAACTTTCGAAAAAGCTTCCGACAAGTACTCAGCTGTGGAAGGCTCCGTTTAACTCGTATGACGGATTACGAAAGAACCAATATTAGAGGGATGGAAGTTAGGCCCTCAGCTACAACGAACCTATTAAGAAATGGTGAAAGAGTACCTGTTGAAGAGGAAAAGCAAAATTTAAATGAGGAAGAGGATTTATAAAAGAAAGCGGCTGCGGACGACAAGATATTTTGTGGGTGTTTAGTTTTTCAGCATTGCTTAATGGAAGACAACCGGCAAGCCTCTTGCGGAATATAAAAGCACTTATCTAATATTTAAGCCACCTTCTAAATGTATGTTTCATACGATATATCATATGTGCGTACTGCATATGATTAGTCCTATATATATATATGATATAAATTTATATTTATCTTTATAGCGATATATATCGTATATAATATACACTGTATATTTGCTTATATAATCCAATATGCCATCGGTCACATGATCTTTCTTCTCTCATTAGTTATCTTTTAGTTTTTTCAAATGCTATTTGCAAAAGAGCTTACTTTATTAAAAGTGATGAAAAGTTTGTTTGTTTTGATATTTGCATAGTTTCAATAACTTTTTATCTATAGAGTGAAAGTGTCAGATACCTTCTTCATGAATGATCGCGAGGCTGAAAAAGCGTCACTTACTATAGGGGTGCCTGTTTTAAAAACATAAATGAAAAGTAATACTATTTAAATAATAAAAAAAGCCATAAAAACGCAATATATAGAATGAATAAATTTCATTATTTAGTACCATGGTATATATAAATCGTTTAATCAGGGTTTTGAACTCTTTCCTGCGTAATATCAATTGCCTTGACAAATTGAGATTCTTGCTTGAGGATAGACATTAGCTGTCTTGGCAAATTATTTCTCTCTTTTTCGAAAGAGATCAAAAGTCTGAGTGTTGTAAATATGTCCATATTTTCTTTCTTTTTTTCCTAAAGGAGCAGCGCTTAATAGACCTATATCTCGCAGATTCTTTTCATCCAGAAAATGCTGTATAGATGTCTTACTATGTTTTTATGTAAATAAATGTTCAAGTATAAAAACTATATGTATATCAATTATATAGCATTCTATAATCATACTTCATTGAAATAAGTACTGTATGTTTCTCAGTGAAATCTTTAGGATTCGTCACTATTGTTTCCATTTGTTTATATATATATATGTATTTTAACAGTTTATTTATATGTTTTCATCATTAAATCATTACTGCATTCATAAAAATGCATTCATATTTTCATTATTAAATGCCTTAAAGTTTTTTTTCTACTTGGTCTTATGTAATAATAATATCAATAATACATGATTATCATCCTGTAATTTTGTATATATATAATGTATACACTGTACAAATATATTTATAACATAGTTGAAATACTCTTACTAAGGCGTGCTACGATAAAAAGAAACGCAAGACGTTTGACTTTAGAGAAAAGAAAGTTTTGAATATATTGTCAAGGTGTAGAATCGGCGAAGCCTAATAAGTGATGTTATATTGTAAAGGCAATGATCATTGAGGCGCATCATTAAGTACATGGACAATCAGGGGCTACTCTTAAGAGTTTTTAAGTTATCTAGGGGTTTCCCTATTCATCGTGAAATGCTACCTTACTTACGATCAACATGACTTTTTCACCTAGACAGAAAACTGCGTTCGGCATTTTCAACGTTTACAAACAGTACTAACAAGCGTCTGGAAAAATCGGATGTTGGGAAGGGGAAAATTTGTTTATTTTTTGCTAACGATATGGTTGGAAGAATTAAAAGGTTTACAAACGACACACCCATTTCTTGGTTTTTAACAAGAAGTTCGTTTTATGGATAATCAGCTGAACGATTGAGGTGAAAAACCTGCTAATTCACTCATCATTCAATTACTTTTACGTGTAAATTGCCAGAAAAAAAAACTTCTTAATACAACGCTCTCTCTTCATTTGATCCTTTCCGTTTCCCCCAATCCCCCTTTTTTGTGTATTAAGCTTGTAAATTTACAGTAATTATTTGCCACGTTACTCTATTATACTAATAAATAAGTTCAATACGAAAAGTGATGCGTTTTTGGTACAAACTCTAAACTAGTTCATTCAACATAACAGAAGAAAAGAGAAAGATGATATAGATATTTTTTTTCTTAGAACCAATTCTATAAACAAACTTTTCACACGGAGAAATCTTCAAGAACTAAACTTTGTTTAATAGTATAAGAATTATCTAAATAGTAAATTGTATATATTTTATGTTTAAACAACAAAGTTCTAAGATGAAAAATGGCTGGGGAAGAGGAGTTAGAGATGGAATATAAAAGTGAGAGAGAGAGAGAGAGAGAGAGAGAGAAAGTGGGGAAATAAAGGAAAAAGAAAGATAGGAGAAAAAAGACACAGAGAGAGATAGTAATGGAAAGAGGGAGGGGAGAGTGAAAGAAATGGAAAAAGAAAGATAAAGATATTTATAGCGAGAGAAAGACAGATATATATATATATATATATACAGTATATATAAATTTATACATATATACTAACACACACACACACACACACACACACACACACACATTAGAGAGAGGGAAAGAGAGAAAGAGAAGCTGGGGGAAACTAAGAAAGAAACACGTAACAGCTTGCTGATACCATAAATTCACAAGGAGCCCATTTTCTTAGACAAACGTAATAAATTTAAGGGAAAACTTCTCCATCTACATTTTCTTCAGCTTATTTTCTTTTCTCTCTTTCTCTCTTTTAAAATCTGTATAATTTTTATGTACTTTCTTTCTTCTCTCTATTCCCATATTCTTATATAGGCGTAGTGAAAATAAAAAAGTATTGAATATCTTCTCTTCTCCTATATTAAAAGGTTCTTAGAACAATTTGACGATAATATTAATCCTAGTGTTATTCATAATTCATATTTTATATCTCCTTTATCGATATTATTATGCATTTGCAATGTAAGATGTTGTTAAGCTATTACGACTCTATCATTTGTAGAAAAAATACGTGCAGTGTAAAGCATCGGGAGGAGATATTGTCAAAAGATGGGAGAAATTTAGGACAGAAACTGTCTCTATTATTTTTTGGCTATTTTCCATCCAAAAAAGAGGAGGGAAAAACAGCTTCCATCCTCTTCTGACGAATGTTTTATTAGTATACTTTCATAGGGAGAAAAGAGCTTGAGAGGGAAGAGGGGAGCCAAACAATAATAGAAAGAGGGGGAGAGGAAGAGAAAGAATAAGCGTCAAAGAAAGAAGTAGAGAAGAAGGGAGAGGAGGAAGGTAGGGCATATAAGAAATTGCACGTTTTCTGAATACAAAACATCTCTACCTGTATTTATCAATTCAAGTCTCTCTCTTTTTTCCAGCTAATGTTATTGGAACAATCTATACGGGCACATTACGCTTATTGAAATTGGTGTGAATTCCATAGATAGTAGACTATGCGCGTATTGTACGAAATAGTATAAACCTTTATGGAATATTTAATTTCCATTACGGAGTCGATTAATAATTAAAAATCGAATATAACCTTAAAAAGATGTTAAAGATGTTAATTGATAAAGAAAATAAACGCACTTTTATTAATACATATATTGTATATAAAAAGTCTTTTAAAACATATAATTGAGTGAAAATACACTGGTAATGAATCATTATCAAGTTTTCTTTGTATAAGAAAAATCACGTGAGTGCCTTACTTTATATTTTATTCTATAAAAAATAACCTAGAAAATAAAGCGTTTAAAAAGTATATACAACCAATAAAAATCCAAGAATATAAATATTTTATTAACGTAATACTAATTTAATAATAATTAATAATTTATTTAAAGAAAATTATTAACAATTTGTAAAATTTTTGAAAAAATTCACTAAATAGTTTGCTTTCATTTGTTTTGCTAAATATAAAATTCTGTTTCAAACAATTCAATTCCCTTTTTCTTCTTGAATTAAAATATCAATCTCCTTCACTGTTCTTTTAATTACAACACTTGTAGATTCTTTTAAACAAGATTTGTAGACTGTTAAAAGGGCTACAATGACGACAAAGTTGGTAAAAATTCTTCGTTTCTTTTTTTTTTTCATCTAAAAATAGTGATTTGATGCAATTTTGAAAACAGCAAGAAAAAAAAAGAACAATTATCATACATCAAAGTTGAAGCTCTAGACATTAAAATACTAACTACGTAACCAAATAATTCAATTTTTTAATAATTAAAAATGGCAACTGCCTTTGTATAGTACGATAAACAACTAATACAATAATTTACTTAAATTAAATTAGATAAAAAAAGAAGAGGCAGTTACAGAAACAGTAAAGGATAGATAGATAAATAGAGAGAAATTGTAAATATAGAAAATTAACATTTAATAATACGTTTATGGAAGGAGATTTGAACATACTTTATAATTAAAATGAAATTTTTTTCAACATTTTCAAGTGCACTTTGTAATTCTAAGAAAAATAATGAAACTAATAAAAAAAGACACAAAAAATATTCTGTTCTGTCCGAGAAAGCTTCTTTTTTTTTTACTTAACAAAATTTTTGGTTCTTTATTTTATTCCAAGTTTCCTGATATAGAGCAAAGCTAGATTGGAAACACATTGCTCTAAGGGATTATCCTTATCTGGTACAAATCGTCATTTGTCTAAAACTAAGATCGATATAGGATCACGGAATCTCAAAGATTTTCCGCTTCTTTTCTATTAAATATATAAATTTTTTGGTCGAAAAAAATAAACAAGAAAATATATAAATCATAACCGTATTTAGAGGACTTTCAATGATTTCATAATGCAGTACAAGCACATAAGAACAATTATTAGGTACTACATATAAAATCGGCCAATTACTCCTAAGCCACAATCAATATAGTCTGCTCAAACAGTATCATCGTGAAAGAGCCATTGCGTTCTTTTTGGATTCTTACTAGCTGTTCTAACGTAGAACATATCATCTGGTGGTCTTTTCTTTTCCGAACAGCTACTCAGCATACTTAAAATCGATAAGCAGATAGATTGAACCGATAGCGCTGGTGACCAATCATCAGATAAAATTGACAAACATATGTGACCGTTACTGTATATGTGAGGATGTTCAGGAACGTGTTTTCCTACAAACATGACTTGTGGAGAATCAAATGGATATTTACTGCCGAATTTGAACTGTAGTGTGAATTTCTCTCCTTGATACAATGTACCCTCAGCTCCCTTCACATCAACAGTCCATTCCGTAATATTTTGAGAAATTTTGTCCGGGTCAACAACAATACCATCTGGGGGATCTTTTATAAGGTTTGTCAACTCTTTTCTTAATCTCCTCTCCATTTTGCTTGTTCGTGATGGCTAAATTTTAAGATTTTCTAACGGTTGATTAGATTATCGGCTTAGAAGTCTTTTAGTTAAAGTTTTCCCTAAAAAAATAACGATTTCAACTGTCATTCTGTTATTTACTAGTATGATTGCACAATTCGCGAAATTAGAGAAATAATCGAATGGATTAATCGAGAATTCTATTACGAAATTACAGCAGATATTCATTTAATGAGATTCTCTCCGAATTAAAATACAGTTTTCAATGGCTAAGGTCGCTAATTATTTCCTATTAAATGTAGTATAAGGGATTCTGTCAATTTTAATAGAAATATACTTACATTCTTCCCTTAAAATAATGATTATTAACTAGCATTTAATGGAAAACCGGAACTTTGGCAAAACACTCCCTCTGGATGACGTTATGTCCGTATAGCAAAATGGCGGCATTTTCAAATTTTCAGCCGATTTAGAATACTGTATGAAAAGTTCCAAGAAGATGAAATAAATGATCAAAGTAGGTATAGAAAGAGATCTAAAATATTCTTTTATACTAGAAATAATCTATTATCCCTTTTTTTAATTATTTATAATGATTTTAATCCAAAACTCTTAAACCAATAGATATACATAATGCATAATTGTTCAATTGTAATTGCTACAAAATAACATGCTTATTGTTTATAAAAAGTATTAGAATATAATACAGAAAAGGAAGAGGAAGAAGACGATGAAAGAGAGTAAGTAGTATTATACATGAAAATCTATATATCTATTTACTCCAGAATTTACTATGCTATAAAAGGAAGGAAAAAAAACACCATTAACAACTTTGCTTATATGTGAAAAGAAATTAAATTATTTAAATATTATTTACTATCTATCTAATAAAAAAAACACTCTATAACTTGCAAAAAAGGAAAAAAAGAGTACTTTCATTTCTTTTTAGTTTTGTCTTTCTTTAATACGAGATTATAAAAAAGAGAATAATCTTGTCAGCTAAGAAAAAGGAGTAGGTTAGATAGATAGAAATAGAGAATGAGAAAGAGAGAAAGAGAGAAGACGAGCATAGAAAGACATAGAGGAAAGGCGGTAGGAGGAAGGAATTAATGAGAAGCTGACGGAGTAAAGAGAAAGAGGGAAGAGAGAAATAAATGCATGTAAGTGGAAGTCTAGGTGAATGGGATGATTGAAAGAGAAAATATTAAATAATTTTTATTCATATTGCATTTTAATATTCTTTCTACAGATAGTTATATAAACTTATTGTAGGCAAATATTCTCAAATTTCTCTCTCTCCCTCTCTCTATGTATATACTGTATATTTAGTATTTGCAATCTATAATACAGTGTATGCCCTAAACTTTTCACTACTCATTATTTGGTTTATTCTGATATTTCGCTGTATTTTCATAAACAATGCTAATGCATTTTGTGCTCGAAGCGTTGCAATGTTGCATAAGATTCCGAAAGACTAAAAGATAATGAGATAAATTACTCCCCTTTTTATTCTTTTTCACTCAATCCCACTGGCTCTTAGCCCTTATTCTTCTCTCTCTGGCGCGTTTTTTCTTTTCTCTATTCTTTTCTATATTATACTCTAATATCTAATTCCCTTTCAAGTGACCTTTCAAAGTCCTACCTATTTCGTTCTTACCTACTTTTTCGGCCTATAGGCCCATATACCACTTTTGTTACGATGTGAAAACACAGTTTCTTTTATAATTTCCTTACTCACATAATGATTTTTTTAGGACTATAGGTCAGATTAATTTGCTTGTTCAAAGTGGCGCTAAAGAAATGTGTTCAGTTTTTATTTGAACTCAAAGACTACTAATCGAATCTAACTGCATGTTGATTTATGCATAAAAAAGCTGATTGAGAATATAATACTTCATCTGCTATCTCATAACCTGAAAACAGACCTTTGTCTGCCATATCTATTATAATCAAAAACAAATCAGTCTTATAGTATTAAAATACTCGTTCACCTCTCCTACCTTCAACTCGTTATCATCTGTATACTTTTAGAAAAAAACATCATCTCAATTCTATTTTAAAGACTTCTTTCTCTACTGCAATGGATAAAGACAGATTGAAGATGAAAAAAGAGAAGAGAAATTCAATTATTCATAATCTACGTTATAATATACATTTCTTTACATTGTGGGTTCTGCTAGAGGGTATCCTATTTGGTTCAATGAAATTTTACAGTCTAGGCGTTACTAGGACGCTTGAAAGACGTTTCAATTTGAGAGGTGTCGAAACTGGATTTATGAATGGTATTGAAGATGTTGGTACAATAGTTGTTATTCTATTAGTTGGTAGGTAAAAAATATATTATCATATACAATAAAGTCATATAGATAATTCTAATAAAATTATGTAGGTTACATGGGTAAAATATTTTCAAAACCAAAGCTAATTGGGTGTTTTATGATGCTTATCTCCTTTGGGTACTTTATATTTGCCATTCCCTTTTTTATTGAGGGGCCTAAATTTAGCGGATTTCCATCGGAAAATTTCACTGAAGACCGATATAGTAATGATTCTAACAGAGATTTTTGTAAAATGTCTCAATCAATCAAGGATATATGTACCAATCATACGAATTCGGGAAATAAAAGAGCGTTTATAATTTTTATATGCGCGAATATTCTCATGGGTCTTGGAGAATCTTCTCTATTCACCCTTGGAATAGCTTATATTTATGAAAATTCCTCCAGAAAACAAGCATCGTTTTTACTAGGATCAATTATGTTGAGTTTTTTATTAGCTCCTGGTGTTGGATTGCCTTTATCTTCTGCTCTGACGAAAATACCCGAGAATTTAATAAGTAACTGAACCAAAATAGCATTTCCTAATAAAATGTTAATAATTAACTTTCTATACTCTTAGGCTCACCTTATGAACCTGGTGATCAAAGATTTGTTGGAGCGTGGTGGGTTGGCTATGTTATTCTATCAGCAGCCATGTTTATAGTGACTCTGGGTTTTTTTATATTTCCGAAATACATTAAGCCTTTCAATCTCGAAACAGACTCTCTTAATCCGAAACTAGCTAAATTACTTTTGGAAAAATCCGTATCATCTTTGACGAAATTCAAAGCAGTTGCTTCTGGTATTCCTTTTTTCATGTTAAATAAACTGTATCAAATCTTTGCTTTTATAGTTGTAACTTTATTAATTATCCTTTTATTATATTCCGTAAAAATTAGATATTCCAAGATCTTTTTTCATGATTTTTAAGAATATTCCACTAATTATCTTTATCTTTGGAGATTGTTTTGTGATGTTTGCAATAGTTGGTTATTCTTCTGCATCGACAAGATATCTCGAAGCTCACTTTAAGATGCCTATTCATAGGGCTAATTTCATATTAGGTAAATATAAAGTTTTGTATACAGCCGATGTAGATACAAATGTATTATTTATGAGTTAATATTCTAGAATTTCTTAATTATCTTAAGGTATAATAATGGTTGTTCCGGGTATTATTGGTTGTGCTCTCTCATCAATTTTAAGCCGATTTGTTGAAAAAAGAAGGGCATTAGCAGCTTGTGCGTTGCTTTCATATCTCTCAGCTGTCATACCGATTATTCTTATGCAATTTTCCTGCTCTCAAACTAATTTAAATGGAATTACCGCAAACGAGTTAGTTCCTTATAAATATTATTATACTATTTGTTACGCTTCATACTATTTATCACTTGTTAGGAATAGTAAAAATTAGTAAAAAGTATCCAGTTTACTTAGATACGTTTAAAAGGTTTATAGTATATGTATCTATTTAACAGATCAATCAAAGGTTGTACAGAAGAATGTAATTGTAACGACATGACCTACGATCCAGTTTGTGATTCACAAGGAATTAATTATTTCTCTCCGTGTGCTGCCGGATGTAATGCATCCTTCGTAAATGAGGTGAGCAAATAATATATCCTATTTTAAATGTATACATTTTTACGTAAGAGAAAAGAAAAGAAATGCAAAATAATATCAAAAACAGAAAAGGAAGCATTAAAGGAAAAACTTGTTAATAAGATCTTTCTCTTTTTTATTTTTGTAGACCTTTATCAATTGTAAATGCTCTCCGGGTGGCGTTGTTAAAAAAGGACTTTGTTTTACGCCTTGTTCTAATCTCAACATATACATTATTATTTCTACAATTTCTGTTGTGATCCATATGCTAAATAAAATACCTGCAAGTATTGTCCAGTTAAGGTAGGCCTAAAGAGTTTATTAGAATTGCTTTTTAAGTATATCTTTTTTTTTTTCTCCTATGCTAAAAAAACGACACATTATAGCTTAGTTAAAAGAGAAGCATCGTCCTTGGCTACAAGCGTGGGGGGTTTTCTAAAAAATTGTCTAGGTTAATTTTCCTAATTATATTCATAATTAAGCTATTTTCTCCTTAGCCATAGTTTTTTTCTACTTCCAATGTTCCTCACAGTCTTCTTCCCAATGCCTATTGTCTTTGGCAAAGTAGCTGATGTAAATTGTTTCTTACGAGAAAAATCATGTGAGCTTAGGGAAGGTGGTAATTGCTTACTTTACAACACAAAAGGCTTAAGGTTCGATCCAAGACCAATATTAATATTATTATTATTAATAATATTACAATTATAAATATACATCATCCAATACAGGTTATCTATACATATTTTAACGTGTGTGCTGATGTTTATGGGAGCCGTTATGTATACAATTGTCTTTCTAATTTCCCGTAAAGTTAAATTCTACAGCAACGACGACAAGGAAATTGTAATTGATATTAAGGAGACGGCAGAGAACGATAACGACGACGAAGTTGTCGACAAAGACAAAGAAGCAAACTTAAAGCTTATGCCCGTAGAGAAACAAACCGTAACGTAACAATTTTTTTTACACTTTACAAAAGTCTGTAAAGTCTATTGATATCATTTTTTTTATTATTGTTCAATTAATATGCAAATTACTCTAAACGTTTTGATAACAGTTGAGTTATTTCTTTTTTATCTTATTGTATTATTATTATTTTTTTTTATAAATTCTCTATTCTTTAGCATTCATTCTGATCAGCTGTTTCTGTTGTTTCTTTCTTTAATACTATAGCTTAGTTTTCATTCATTGAAATAATAGTATTTTGATTAAAGTGAAAAAGAGATAACATAATAATAAAGAAGAATTCAATCAATTGAATAATTTATGTGAAACATAACACCAAAAAAAAAATATTGTGGAGTAAAAACACAATTTAGATGATAATTAATAAAATAACTGAATGAAATTTTATTATACAAACTATTAATATTTTCATTATGATTGGTTGACTAAGACGTTGAATAGGAAAGGTATTATATATATAATATACTGTAAACACGACACTTATTTATAGAAAATTCATCAAGTGCTGAATTGTCATTATTATTATGATCATCATTATTCATATAATTAATATTGTTAGTTTAACTGAGAGTTCCAGTGACGTCCTTATATTCATTTAATCTTGGTGTTCTTCTAATACCTTCGTCCAAATTTATATTTTCAGATGGAGAAACTCTACCTTGACTCGACCCTTTGTTGTCCATTTTACATGCTTTAAACATAACGCAAGCGAAGCAAGTTAAAATTAACAAGGAGCCTATTACTATAACAGCTATTGCCCAACTAGGAAAGCTTTCCGACTTCTTTGTCCCAACGGTTGGTGTTACAGTTGGCTTAACGTCTTCATTGACAGCTTCTGACACTTGAAAATTTAAAACATTACTAATTAGACTGTCCAAGCTCTTTCTCCTCGCCTGATCCCTCAGTTCGGTTTCAAAGTTAGGCTCATTAAAAGAGTTGATTAGAACTTGCTGAGGGATATCTCGGTGCGTTGATGGATCCGCATTCCTTTTCGTTACTTTAGGCTTACAAAACTCTAGATTGGTTGCTGTTGTTCCAAACACAATTACTTTTGTACCATTCTGTCCAAACTGCCTAGGATAGGATGATGCAGCTTGAAAATCGGTAAATTTTACAAAGCTCAAATCAGTGGCTATATTTTCTAAACTGATACTTGTTAAGCAGCATTGTTCGAAAGTAGTATTCGATTGCTTGCAAAACAAGTTCACTGTTTTAGCTATGGTTCTAAATAGGGGTTCTTCGACTGTATGATATAATTCTAGTGGGAGAGAGCTCCATTTAATCATAGCAGCATTCTTTAGCTGGGGTTCATTTACGGAACATCTTCCACCATTACAGAACTGATATTGAGAAACATTTCCAGGGCATTTTCTTCCAACACCCACTGGAGAAGGACTATTGCAAGCTCTCGTTCTCATTCTTTGGCCATCACAAGTCTTTGAGCAATGAGTCCAACTTTGCCATTCGCCCCACGCCCCATTCGTTTCGGAGCAGCCTAGGCCGTCTGCATCGGGTAGCCATGGATCAATACAATTACAACTGAAACCTGGTTTTTTGTTCACGCATTTAGAATTTCTTGTGTCACAAACGTCAGCACTTTTAGAGCATTCATTTACGTCATTACAAAGTTCATCAAGGGGATATTTACATATGCATGTATCGGTTCCGTTGTGCTTTATGCACAATTGTTTACAATTTTTCGAATCATCACATTTGTCTATAATTGTACAGGATTTACCGTCAGAGTTTAATCTCGCTCCGTTTATGCAACGACAAACTGAACTTCCTTCAGTATTAACACAATAGGCTTCTGGTGATTTGCATTCATTCAATCGAGGCGACAAACATTCGTTTATGTCGACGCATTCACCGTCACTACTGGAATCGCTAAATTTCCTCTTATAGCCTTTCTTACAAATGCATTTATAACTTCCTTGACTATTCTGGCATATTTCGTTTAACTGACATATATTTGATATTAAGCATTCATTTATATCGGAACATGTTCTTCCGTCTCCCTCATAGCCAGGTTTACATCGACACTTAAACGATCCAGCCGTATTTACACAGTTGGCGGTCAACGCGCACTTGTGCTTATCTTCCAGGCACTCGTCGACATCTTTACATTTCCCCTTATCCTCAGTAGGTACAAAACCGTTACGGCAAACGCACTCAAAAGACGTTTCAACTCTCTTACAAACTGTCGTCAATTTATCGCAATTATGTGGATTTTCTTTATCTGTACATTTATCAATAATATCGCAAGTGATACCATCGTAAGAAAGTTTGTAGCCACTCGGGCAAATACAATTATAACCACTGCTTTTATCTTCACACAATGCTTTCTTTTCAGTATTACATTTGTGGATATCTAAAACACATTCATTGATATTAACGCATTCTGATAGGTCGGCACTTGTCTTATCATAACCATAGTTGCAAATACAAGTTTCTAATGGCCCGACTTTAATACATTGACCACCGCCACATTGATAGTCACAAGTAGGGACGGTTGGTACGCACGACTTCCCATCCTGACCAAGTTTAAAGTTTATCCTACATTGACAAACGAAAGACCCAGGAGTATTAACGCATTCGTGTTGACAATCATGCATATCATTAGTACATTCGTCAACGTCTAAACATTTCTTTGGATCACTTGCGTCTTCTTTAAAACCAGAAACACATGCACATTCATAGGATCCGTAGGTATTTACACACGATACTTGACAGCCCCCGTTGCTATCTAAGCATTCGTTTCTATCTATACAGATTGATCCCGAACCGTCAAAACCTTGTTTACAATCGCATTTGTAACTTCCGTCAGTGTTTGTACAAGTGGCGTCTAAATCACATTTATTTTCGACGCCATTACCACATTCGTCTATATCAATACAAGACTTTCCGTCTGCCCCTAAAATATAACCTTCTTTACATAAGCAAGCGAAAGATCCTGGCATATTTTTGCAGATATGTTGGCAACCAGGATCTGTTGAACATTCATCGATATCAATGCAGTCTCTAGGATTGTTCTCCGATGGTTTATAACCTTTGTTGCAAGTACAAAAATAGCTACTAATTGAATTATTACAACTAGACGTGTAAAGATTACACTGATGGAATCCTGCAGAACACTCGTTCACATCAATACACTTTGTAGCATTAGTAGGATCCATAACAAATCCACTTTTACAAAGGCATTTTTCATCTCCACTTTCTATGGCACAAATAGCGTTGGCACCGCATGTTAAACTTGTACATGGATTTAATGGTTCACACGATTTTCCATCAGAGTCCAAACGAAAACCAATTCTACAGGAACAACTATAAAAGCCTATTTTTTTTGTGCAGATTTGATCGCATTCGTTATCATACTCGCATTCATTAATCTCTATACATCGACGTTGGTCTACCGGATCTGTTTTATAACCTAAACCGCACGAACATTCGTAGCTACCGAATGTATTAATACAGTGTCTTTCGCAATCTCCATTAGAAGTTAAACACTCGTCAATATCTACACAAGTTCCTTTTTTGTCTAGTTGAAATCCGCTATCACAACGGCAACTAAATGAGCCGGGCTCTTCGATGCATTTTCCATATTTTATATCGCATTTTGCTGCTAAATTTGTCCCGCATTCTGGAATATCTTCGCAAGAAAATCTATCTTGTTTTAGTTGATACCCTACCCGGCAAGAACAAACATACGATCCGGGTGTGTTGATACACAACTGTTGACATTGATTTAACCCTGTACACTCATTTACATCATAGCAATTGTGTCCGTTGCCCAACATATCTAAAGGACATTTATCACATTCAAACTCTTTGCCCTTTGCTATAGCTTGTGCTGTTGTTAAATCTGTGCAATGTCCGTAGCAGTCTTTCCATGCACAACCTAACTTATCGATGTCGCATCTTTTACCATCGTACCCAATTGTACATTTGCATACAGAGAAGGTAAAAGTATCAGTGAATGGTTCCATAAAGGTGTCCCTACAATTACCATGTTCACAAGAGCACAAAATTACTCTGGGTCTTATTAATACCATAATTCCATCCGTATTATTTACAAGTAGATTGACAATGGCTTTCTCCTTAGCAACTGGAATCCATTCGATACTCGATATGTATTTACCAATAGTATTATTAACCGGTTCAGTTTTAATGGATATGTCTCGATTATTCTTACTAGCAGCGTCAACAGACGCAATTACTGATACCGGATCGCCATTTTTGTCCATGATCTCTAAATCATATGTCCATTTCTGTCCTACTGATAATTTTATATCAGGAATTTCCGCTACCTCTGGAATAGAGGAGGCAAATAGAAACGATGTTTTTTCCAAATATTCATATTCCGTTAAAGTCTTTGTGCCATAGTTTTTGTTATTGGTTACTTTTAAGTCATGCATGCAAAAGAGTAACGGATCTGCCTTATAGATACATGAACTTCTTTCTACATCATTATATTGTTGTTCATTGAACAGTGGTGGAGAATATTCAAGATTGTAGAATTCGTTTGCATTCTTATATTTATTAGCATCGTATTGTGTGAAAAGAGATTGCGTATTAGCACTCGTCCCTTCATCGGATATGCCATAAACTACCCTCAAGTTCCACGATCTGACAAAAGCTTCGATGTCTGAAATATCAGGGTTCTCCGAGTATTGACCTCCTGTGGAGGCTTTAAATTCGTTTTTCGGGTTTAAGTCAAACAATCCTAATAAGCCTTCAAAGTCTCCTTTTCCATGAGATTTTCCAGCGTAGACAACGCAAAGAAGTTTTTTCTGAGAAGCCGTGACCCTTATCCATAATCCTATTGAGAAGATTATATAATATTCGGGTGAGTTTCCTTTTATAATGACATCGCTAGTGGTTGTCGAGGTTGACGTTCGCACCTCATTGTTGACGTACATTATAATTTCCGATTCGGACTGTAGATATGCCTTTAAAAAGAAATTAATTAGTCATATTATAATAATAATTAGAAATAAATAGGGCAATATGTTATTACTTGAATATTTGTTCCTCCGTTTACTTGTACTGCAATGCCTGTACAGACAACCGTTTTTCTTCCGTCTACTCCTGCAATATCTTCCATTCTGACCTGAATTTCCACTTTATTTGGGGATGTAGGTATTGATTTCAAAAGAACGTATTCTCCAAAGTTTGTAAAAGTAAGATACTTTCCATCCAATGTTCTTAAGTGACTCATTCCGAAAATTGCTCCGACTTGAGGCTTATCATATTTGGTGTAATCTGACATTGGCCTTTTTGCCAAATACATTTTACAAAAGTGGCTAGGATCATTGCTATTTAGGCAACAACTTTCGAAAGGAGCTACATCTTTTAAGTAATTTTCTTTTGTCTTTACTGAATTTTCAGTATATCTAGAGACATATCCTATTGGATTGGATGATGTCGAAAAAACTATACCATTATTTGTATTCTTTAATGTTTTAAGTGCTCCATTGCCTGGCCAATAACAACAACGAATCCATGGGCCAATAGTAAACAAAGATTTATAACATTGATTGTCAGTTTGGAATCTTTTATCTATTTCAACTTGACTTATATGCGCTGGACAAGAGTCAACTACTCCGTTATCCCAACTTGATATGCTACCCTCTTTTTGATACCATTCGCTACAATGGCGCCTCGGACTTTTGTATGTTAAATCGTTATCGTCTAAGCTATAAGCAATATATCCTTTCCTTTTATCTAGCCTGTAGGCATTTGGTAGAGATTCATCAGATGACCACTTGGCTGAATTTTCATCTTCTTGTACTTTTTTGCTACCTCCTACAGGTTTCAATCCAAAACCAACCCTAACCGGATATCCTTTGCTTGCTAATTGCTTTGTAGGATAAACTGGGTTCCACTTCATGCTCTCGTACATAAATAATACATAGGCGTGGTTGTAGTCCGTTAAGAGGGCAGCCTGGAACGTGTTTAATTGATCACTTTGAGTTAGATAATGAGGCATGACGTTCTCCCAAGTAGCTACAAAAATGTACTTTAAGCCGCTAATGCTTTTATCTAAAACCTTACTCAACTTTTTCGTTGCCTTCTCAAAAACTGATGAAGTGGTATCTGTATAAGATTGGACATATATTTTACTCTTTTCTAAGTCTGTTCTGACATCAGCCCAAAATGGGGCTATAATTCCATAACCATCAGGTATATCGGTAAATTTAAGCGGATGTCTGAACGTGTTCAAGTCCTGATAACTTTTATCATTTGTTAATACTATAATTCCATTTTCGGTAACATATAAAGAATCCATTAATCGTCCGTCGCTTACGCTTACGCCGTTCGGGATTTTAAATAATTTCGATATAGTTTCATTTGTTATAGGGCTAATTTCTGTTAATAATTTATCACCAACCCCTATTCCATAAGGTAATAGCCTGTCTTCTATACATACACCCTTTGGAGACTTTTTAAAACCATCTTTACAATTGCAATTACGAGTTCCTCCTACGTTCTCACAGACTTCTAAAGAAGAATCGCATCCGTGAGTACCCCTGGAACATTCATCAATGTCTTCACAGGAAGTTCCATCTCCTTCAAAACCATCTTTACAAGTGCAACTGTAGGAACCTTTTGTGTTTTGGCAGATGGCCAAAGGATGGCAAGTTCCTGGTTGATTACATTCATTTAGATCTTCACAGTGCATAAATGCTCCTGTGGCATTGTACTTTGGAACGTACCCAATACGACACGAGCATTGAAACAAGCGCCCATTGTCTGTATAGCTACATATTCCACCTGATTCTTCCCCACAAGGATCTTTTTCACACCATTTAAAAGTACTTTGACAAGGAGAATTAGAGCAATTTCTAAGTTCAATTGAACCTGTGCCATTTAAAGGCGCACACAAAGAACCACCATTTTTAGGTTCTGGAGAATTACACTTCCTACTTCGTAGTTCAACTCCGCTACTACACTTGCTTGAACAAGTCGACCAAGCAGACCACAATCCCCAATTTCCATTTGCTACTTCACAATTATCTCCAGAGTAATGATCTATACATTCGCAAATATACATATTTGCGCCATTGATACAAGTACCTTTGCCAGAACATTTATTTGACAACTTGGAACATTCGTCAATATCTATAGAGATTGTCAAATATACATTAGTTAATACTACTTTTGTTAAAAAAATAAAAGAAAAACATACCTGTACAAGTTACTCCGTCGCCTTCGTATCCCGGGTTACAAGTACATTTAAAAGAGCCTATAGTGTCCTCGCAGGTAGCCTTTACATGACAATTATGAGTTTTTAAAGTACACTCGTCCTTATTTTGACACTTTCCGTCCAAATCCGCTGCATATCCATCTTTACATGAACACTTATAACTACCAATTGTATCAACACAGACTGATACATCTGTTACACAGTCGTCTTTGGCCATTTTGCAATCATCAATGTTATAGCAAGATGTTCCATTACCTTCAAATCCGGGTTTACATGAACATTGAAAACCATCCTGTCGAGTATTTGAATATAAGAACTTGGGTAAGTCTGAACATTTGGCATTAACATCGCAGTTATGGAGTCCTAAATTGCATTCGTTTATTTTAGATCCGCAGTCTAAGATGACACTGTAAAAACCCTCATTGTTATCTTCATTTACTTCAATTTGTTTATTTGAGCTGTCAAGCTTTATTCCTATCTGAACCGGTTTCCAACACCATCTGTAAGTTTCATTATTCAATGGAATTTTAAGATTCGAATCGGACATGTCAATTATGGAAATGTTCCAGTACCAAGCTTTTAAAGCGTCTAATTGCGAAGAAGACAAAGTGACTGGGATATCCACTGAACTTTTTCCATCGGTTATGAAAAATTGAATATTCATGTGTGTGGAGTCGGTTCCGTTTAATCCGTCAAGATGTAAAGGTTTTACGAGAATTAATAGTATTTTTAAGTCGTAATTATAGTTCGTATTAACTTTCATAACGTCATTCGTAGCCTTTATTTTCCATGCCCTAACGGTTACGTCCTTCGCAGGAGGACCATCAAAGCAATGTGATGAATTAACAACTACATTTAAAGAACCAATATTATTCGATTCGCTGCTTTCATTAATATCTTCTTCTGAGTCAACGTGAACTGAAAGCTTTGACGAAATAGCGTGGCACAATAGTAATAGTTCATCATGATTAAATTGTAAATTATTATCGGAAACATTCATTAATCTTGTCTCTTTAGTAGCTTCGTTAATTATCGAGTTATGTTTTGTTGCATTGTATTTTATGTATCTCTCTTCAGTTACTAGTCTTTTCTTATCTAGTCTTGTGTCGGCAACATGCCTTAAATAAATCCATTCTAAAACTGATTCAACTTTAAACCTATATTTAAATTTAGGTCTTGATAAAGCCGACATGGCATCCCAACCAACCGAAGGAGAGCTCAAATCTGCTTTAAATACAAGAATGAAGGGATTATATCCAAAATTTAAAGTACTGCTTAAAGAAAAGTCGTCGATTGACAAGTCTATATAATCGCCAGAGCAATCGACGTTTGCCAGCCTATAGGCCCGATTATTTTTGCCTACGCAATTCGACAAGGACAAATTGTAGCTAGCTTCAATTTTCACTTCTTTTAACCCGTTCGTTATCTTATCAACATCTGCTTTGCAGGCAGATCTAAAGTCAAGATTTCCCTTTATAGATTTAGTATCGTAATTATCTGTGTTAACGCTTTCCCAATCGCTTGGGGTGACTTCTAACCAAACAGACTCTTTATTTTCCCTTACCCACACAGTAATATCGAAGTTTGTCTTATTTACATTTGCAGTTTTCAATTTAACATCAGTTTCTACTTTAATTAATCCGGGTGCACCGTAATAAACCTGTTGTAGCCATATTTTCCAATTTCTGGTCTCGAATTCATCACCCATACAATCAATAAAAATAGGAATTTCTTTGAAATTGTTTGACTCATCTGCTTCTTCAATTTGATTCTCATTATCTACAAAAACAATAAGATAAACTGATCCACAGAATCTTGGTGGTAAAGTGACAGGAATTTTTAGTTTATGAGTATCGTCGGCATCGAATGATAAATCAGTTGATACTTTATAGCTAGCTTTTAATTTATCATAATTATCATCCGTCATTGTATAGTCTAATGGATAATCTGAATGCTCCCAGCTGGTATTGGTCGATAGATAGAATTTAATATTAAATCCTTTTCTCAATTTAAATAAAGGTTCGAGAATTGCTCCTCCATCGAGATGAATAGAAACAGATAATGTATATTTAGTTTCGCTTCCCGTTGTGTAAACTGCTTGTGGATTAACTAAAGTAAATGATTTGGCACTCAATTCGATACGTTTCACCTGGCAGTTTAGGCTAAAGGGAATATACTGTGCATTATTCTCTGTGACATATTCTTGTATGGTAATTTGAGCGTTTTTCACAAGATAGACGAAAAGAAATTGCGGTCTGAATGTGCAAATAGCTTGAGAAGCCTTAATGCTGACAGTTTCCCGGAAGCTCCTTGTTTCCATGGCTTGCCAACCTTTTCTGCGTATGCCAAAAATATCATCTTCGAGCTTCATTTCCAGTTCGGGGTCGTTAGATGTATCTAAGATGCCATCTTCAGAGAGATATATTTTAAATGTAAACAATTCACGCTCATCAACGGAACTTGGTATATCTTTTAAACTAGTTATAGTAGCAGACAATTGAAACTTTGCCCAAGCATCTCTATAAAGCATTTTTTGAGGCCAAACCGGCGTCATTTGTAAGGAGTCAAATGTCAAAAGGTCTTCTTGGCACTCGATTTCTATTTGAGTTGCTTTCCAATTATTATGAAGGTTTGGATCAAGCTCAATAGGATTCTTTAAGTCTTTTACATAGACAATCACATAGTTATATTTTCCGCAAAAAAAGGCTCTATCTTTAGGAACAACAAAATTATAACCATCTATCGGTATTACCGATGGAGTGGCCGAGGAGATTCCTTGCTGTAGTGTTACCTTTTGTTCCTTAGAATATTCAATTGGTAGTATTAAATCGTCCTTTGAAAATTTATCATCATTCGATAGATAGAAATCATATCTATAACTTAATTCATTTCCCGAATAGTCTGATCGTTTGATTTCTGCTTCTGCAGTCTTTGATTGAGAAATCTCTACTCTATAGTTAGTTGCAATACTTTGTCTTATTTTTGTATTTAAGCCGCCAATTTTTAATGACGTGACTGCTAAATCAATATTATCGGGTTCACAAGTAAATATTGATTTATCTAAAGGCGCTGATAAGACGTCGTTAAAAGTAAATGTTGAATAAGTTGCAGACGCCGGTTTCATAACCCAAAAAATAGTTGGTTTAGAAGTTTCTAATTGAGCACTTTTACATAGATCTCGACTTAAATCCTTCAAATATCCGGTTAGAACTGGGGTTACAACTTCTTCTTTAGGTTCTACTGATTTCTCATAATCGTGTATATAATCTCCCGGGAGGCGAACATCTTGTTTTGTGTCTTGTTGCGTATCTAGAGAATCATCTATTGAAAAATATTGTTCAATCATGAAACTATATTTTCTTGATCCAGACGATTCGGCTATTGCATCGGCCGCGTTTGTTCCAATATTTCGTACTTTGGCTATAAATTTAAAATAGTTTGTTGAATCAGACCACCACAGTGGCGGGGTATGTTTAATATCGATACTCTCAAGAACTAACAAATCCCCTTGAGGGCATGATATGAATATGTTATCATAATAAGGAGGTAGAACAACTTTTTTTGAGCTTAGGGTATTCGTAAGAAATTCAACTTGCCACTTGATCATCCATAATCTACCGCAAATTGAATAGTTTGGGGCAATATTAAATGTAAAGGGAAAAGAGTGTTGAACTAAAACAGCAATACCATTATCTATATTTGCACCGGAAGTAATTTGCTCTTTTGTTTGACTTATTGACGAAGTGTCAATTTTAAAGCTAAATTTATGTTTTGATGACCAAATATCCTCTAACAATTCACAGTTTAGCTTATAATTAACTTTACCATCAACAGCAGCCGGAATATCTAACGTTCCTGTTAGAACATGTTCTACGAGAAAATTTGCTGTTATGGCTTGATATGATACTACCCAGGAGGGAAGATAATTTATGCTTTTGACATAAGACGTAACTCCATTATCGCACGACGTTATTGTAATTTTAACAGATGCAAAGTTATTAGTTTCATCCGATTCTTTAATTCTGTTTGCCGGGTCTATGATAACACCGAAATAGACTTCTTTTCCGCAAAAGCTCTGAATTATGTCAGTATTAAGTTTAATTGAAGGATCAGCAAGATTTACTGTGGGTGAAGATGTTACTAAATTCTTAATTATAGCCTCACTTGGGACATAATTAATGTTAATATCATCACTAGTAATAACGGAATCAAGTGAAAGGTAGAGACTGTAACCAAATAAGGGCTCGGTAATTTCGTCTTTCCACATAGAGGTTGCAACTCCAACAATTAAATTCATATTGATTACCTTTGTGACGTCACCACTCTGTGGTGCAACTGTAAAAGTATCTATGCTAAAATCTACTGAACCAACTTCTTTATAATATTTAAAAGGTATTAAGCGTAATTTAGCATCTGATGGTCCGACAGTTGTTTGATCAGTTTCCAGATTAACTCCAATATATTCCACAAGATCGCTTATTGACGGATTGCTGAGTTGAAATTTACTGTTGGCGGTAAAACTATAAACGATGGTACCAGTAGAAAAATCTTTAGTAAGTAGATCAGAAGGTTGAAGCATCGACGATTGCAAGAAAGAAGGACTGAGAGATGAAAGAATATTAAAGCTTGAATCGTAAGCGTGCAGTTTTATCTTGTAATGATCTCCAGAAAGAGGTGCGTTAGGACATTTACTTTGACCGGTGCATTCAATAGTTCCATTTATAGTTAAACTATTTGAAGCACTTCCAAGTAGTTCATTACTGATCCAGGACAATTTAACATCCCTTAAAGTTATTAAATCACCACTGCAGCTAACTTTTATCAATTTGCTAGCAACATTATTATCCTCTCTTACCTCAATTATTTCATCATGAGGATCAACCTGGAAAAGGATGTAAACTTTTCCGCAAAATTTTGGAGCAATTCGACCAGGTACTGTAACGTTCTTCGTGAAAAGTATATCTCCAATTGCAGATACTTTTCCATACTCCAGATTAAAATCTAAATTATCTTGCAGTTTATCATCGTGGGATATCCACCAACCGTATTTCAACGTAGTAGCTGAAGCGAACGATGTTCTAACTATAGCAGCAAATTCGTATAGCTGATCAAGGTTTGAGATTGATACAGGTTTACTTATAGTATCTGCCATAACTTTCTGGCCAGGATTGCATAATTTCTTAATCGGGTAATAATGGAAATTGTTATCAAGCTTCTTCTCTAGTATTAGTTGATTTTTAGAGGGCAATATACCAATAAGTAAATAATTAATTGAGGCACAAATATCAGCTGGTATATTAATATTAGAAAGTTCATTTAATGGCAATCTAAGTTCCGTATTTGGTAACAGACCAAACGATACAAGTCGTTTTGATATATCACTCATAGTGACTGGGATCTGAATATCGTCGTCGGAAAACTCCGAATCAGCTGAAAAAGCTGATATAATGGTTAAAAGAGGTTCTCCAGTTTCCCGATAAGGAGAATAGATATCGTAGTTATTAGTTCTTAAAATAACATCAAATTTCCACGACGAATAGCTCATTCCGGAAGTAAATTGATGAAGTGGTTCATTGAATTGATCAGATATGACATCTATCAATTCGAATAAATTTCCCTCACAATTTATATCAACTTTTTTATATAAAACATTGTTAACCTTATTCAGTTCGTTGTATCGGTCATCGCTGTCTATTTTTATGATAATATTTGTGGAACCGCAAACTGATTCAGGTAAAATTGCACCATCAGTTGCATCCGTAACAGTTATAGTTTCGTTCGAAATTCCTTTATTTATTGTCCTGGCTGCACATTCTGACATAATATAGTCCATTCGTATATCATCTTTTGATAAAAGTCTATCTCTTGATACATAAAGACCTATATTGAATAGCGGAGCTATGCCTAATGGATCGATAGCATCAAGCTTTTCTCCTTCTAAATTTATATCAACTTGGTATTTAATTCGCCTACTTTTTAAAGGATTTTCATCCAATATCTTAAAATTCGTTGCTATTAAGTCTCTATTGGACGATGCGCATTCAACTTGTGTATAAATATTATTATTCTCTGTAACATTATCCATCTTTCCTGGTAAACCACTTCCAAAGTCTAATTGAATTTTCAGTCTTGCAATACTATTATTACAAGTATCCATTGGTAATTTTGCTTTGCTTTTAACGTGAAATGTCCTCTCATAACCTTGACGTTTAAAGGTGACGCCCAGATGAGGATAAACTGTAGAGTTTTTGTCAATAGTTTGTAAGTGAGACCAACCACTAGTAGAGTTTAAAACATAAATGTTAAACTTTATATTTTCATCCGACGATCCTATCATGCAAGATGATTTCAAGCAAATAACCTTTACGAAAAAAATTAAAGGTAATTCGTTTGATTCTGATAGTCTGTTTGAAACAAGATCAAGGTGTGATAATGAGAAAAAATCCCCTTCGCATGCAGTTAGAATTTCTGTTGACATTTTATTATTTTCTTCACTCTTTTCTGTAATATCATTTTCAGAATCAGTCATTATATAAGCAGTTACGTAACCGCAATATGATTTATCGGTAAAAGCTTTTATTTTTGTATCTTTGTTAAAAACTAACTCTTCCTTTTGTTCTCCTTTAGACGTCGAAATCGAATTAGATAAATCTGCTATTTTAATGGAAGATTTGCCGTTACTAACATAAAAAGTAGACGTAAACCCTTTTTCTGTTATTGCGGCACTTGCTGAGCCGACATTCGTAGCGATTATATGCCAACTGCTAAAAGTTCCTGGAACTGGTAATATCTGTGGTAATTCAATGTCAATTAACTTAACGTCTCTCAACGACGTTGACGATACAGAACAGCGTTTCAATGATAGGTCAATTGAGATAAACTTTTGGTTATTCAGTTTATAAGTTTCTGTAGATGAAGCCACATACAATAACAAACCGTTGAAGCTATTACATTTTGCTAATGTGAATACTGTATTGTCCGAGGAGAAAAACGTTTTTGCACCTTCTACTTCTAAGAGTTCTCCTGGCTTTATCTCTTTATAAAACTCACTGGGAAGTTCAATCTCGCCTACAACGTAGGGAGATGAATCCAGCAGGCTATCCATAACAAAAACTCTTATTAATCTATCTAAAGAAAGAGAAGATGTTTTCTTTAAAGTTTTTGGACTGATATTTCTTATTTTAAAGTTAAATGTTACTGTTGTTGATATGCCAATATAAATATCTTCCATACTCGAAATTTTGAAATCGACCACCTCATAGACGTCTCCAACGCAAGACGTTCTTACCTTTGTGCTAATCATATTATTATCCTCATATCTTTCACTGATTGTGTTGGATGTATCAGCCAAAAATAGTATATAGCTCTCGCCACAAATTGATATTGAATTGGGTATTGACAATTTGGAACTTTTTAGATTCATGGTATATTTTCCAGGAGTCTTGTAGGTTCTCATCATCTCTAAACGAGCCATTCCGTATGATAAACCATCGTAAGGCAGGAGAATATCAGTTCCATTGTCAAATTTGTCATCGGTAGACAGGAAGAATTCTCCATCAAAGATTATGTTTTCTGAATTGGCCGATCCCCTAAGTTCCACGTCAACAAATAACTCAAAAGAATGTTTACCACCAGCAGTAATTAAGACATCAGGAAAATTCAACCAAGAAGGACTTATATCTTTACTTTCGTCGTCACATTGTAAATGCTCTCCTAAAGATTTGCATGTTGCATCATTGCCCGAATTACTATCGTCAAATGGCGGATTCAATTGTCTAGTTATTTTATATTTTAAGCAAACGAATCTACTTGATGTTGAACAATTTGCAGAAGGTATCATTATTCTAATATCTCCTCCTATACTATTTGAATCACCGTGGGTTATTTGTGATGTAAGTGTTGTTGTTGTTGATTGAGTGTATGTTAATCCCTTAGATTCTCCTATCAATTGCTTATATCCACTTGTTGGAATAATGTCATTTCGATCGCTTAAGTATGCTTCAAAAGACACAAGAGTTTCTGAATCACTTTCCACAGTCCTACCAGTAAAGCCCATAGTAAGTGAGAAGCTTAACGGAGATAAAGAATCTCGATAGATTTTATTTAAAGGCTTTTGCGGTTTCACAGTCAATGACGTAATACTAATATCTCTCTTGCAGTCCAAATTAACTTTTTCATTCCCTGATACAGAAATGCATTTGAAATTGTCCTCTTTCTGTTCATCACCCACATTAGACGCTTCAATACATAAGTAATTAGTTGTTATACAATTTGAAGATGAAATCGTAAATGTTGCTGTTACTGCTGTATGCTCAATAATTTGACCACTATAAAATTTTACATCTCTTCCAGGTGCATTTGCTATTACTGCCGAGGCGTCTCCCGGAGAACCGCTACTTAAATCGCTAACTAGAGACGACAGAAGATAGACTTTATAGTCGAAATGATTCGATCCGGCATTCTTTTCTTGTCCCTTATTTAAAACTTTTGCATCAAAAGTTATTGTAGTACTCTGACCTTCAGGTATTGTATTTCCAGGTTGGTCACTACCGGTAAGTTGAAGACCCACAATGGCTATAGTATTTATCGATGGGCATTTAACTCTTACTGGTTTCCATAGCCAATTATTAGTATAAGTAGGCTCCGTTATCGCTTCGTCGTAATTAATATTCACACCCATGTAAACAACTAACCCACAAAACCATCTTTGAACAGTATCCCCGCCACCAGACATTGACAATGTGACTGAAGCTTCCACTTTCTTTGTACCTAAGCTAGAGTATGTTTGATCAGAAATAGTTACAGTTTTTCCGTCATTCTTCATACTATCAGCAATAACTAATTTATATTTAAAACTGGAAGGATCTGGCGCCGTCGACGCTCCAGGCTTGTTTATATTAAATGTAAAGTAAAAATCGAATGCTTGGTCTTGGAGAATAATATTCTCATCAAGGTCTATCATTTCAAGATCCTCAACAGAAAGATCCAAGTCTGAGTTACAGAAAGTTCCAACAACGGATACTTGCTGTATTATAAAATCATTGTTATGTTCATTCCATTCATTTATCTCATCGTTCGGATCAATGGATAACTTTAATGTTAAGTCACTGTTGCAAAAAGGTAAATATTTGCCAGGCTCTAAGGTGAATGAGCCATCAAAGTTTAATTCTTTTGTGTCGGTCAATGTATCCTTAATGTCAATTATATCTAGACCTAATGGAATATTAACTGTATTCAATCCATCAGATAATGTTAATTTAATAGCGAATGGTTTAACTTTCATACTGCCAGCTGCATCAATAGCAAGACGTAGCACAAACTTCTTTGGTTGGTCAAGAGTAATTTGATTGTGTGTATCTAATTTAAACTCTTGTTCGTTATTTCTGTCAAGGTTCAAGCGAAGGTCAATAGCATTCGTAGTTAAGCATTTAAATGAACTAGATGAGTAATAATTATTCTCCTGGATGCATTCTGTTTTCCTTAGACTTTTGATTACAATAAATAAATGATCAACATTTTTGTAGCAGTCAGTGATATTCATAGAAGCTTTTACATTCTTTAATTTTACACTTGACCATCTAGCTTGGCTTGCTTTTAGATTATCTTCTTCTGAATTGATATAAGTATACGACGCTGGAGTGACATCAATTGCAATTTGATCATCGAATATATCGCCCTTTTGAAGATATACAGATATAGCAAAGTTTGGATTCGAAGAAGATGATATACTACTCGAACCCGAATTGTATATTTCGGACGAAAATGTAACTTGTAAAAATTCGTTAAGCATAACAATGGAACCAACTTTTAAGCTTGGTACCTTTAAATTGTAGACATCACCGGAACATTCTAATTGAAGAAAATCAAATAAGACGTTATTCGTTTCATCTGTTTCCTGTATTCCATTCGAAGAATCTATCTCTACAAAGATATAAGCTTTACCACAAATTTCATTGCGAAAGTAATAAGGTAGTCTAAGCTCTTTTCCACTTCCTGAACCTCCATTAAATGTTATTGAATTATCACCGGCTGATGAATAATCGGCATTTAATTCTGCACTAAAGTGTGTAGTGAAATCATAAGGAAACTCTCTATCCTTGTCAGAGTCGAAGATATCGTCCAGAGAGAAATAGAATTTTAAATCAAATTTCTTACTACCTCCAGTTAAAGTTTTTCCACCGTTTAATTTCAAATTAGTAACAAGACTGAAATCAACTTTTTTGAAATATCCTAACTCGTCGGAAATAGTACTTAAAACAAAAGAACTTATAGTCAGATCAGCAGTCTGTGTATCACAATTATCCTTCATTTGCATACTGTATATGTTTGTCGATGGTAGTTTATCAACAAAACCTAAAGGTATACCGGTACCGGCGACAATTTCAAGAGAGAGTATTCTATAATTATAAACAAAGATAAACGACACAATATAAATTGTATATAAAAAATTTCTCTTACTTGTTGAAATTGGTACAAAAGCTATTTGAAAATTCAAAAACTTGTTCAATATCAACAGAGTAGGTAACATTTACTTCAAGTTCTTGATATTGTAGTCTAAAATTAGATGTTTTGAATGATTTTAATGGAATCAAGACAATTGAACTATCCGAACGTTTAAATGTCAGCTGGAAAAGAAATTTCAAATGTAATCGTTAGATATGATTTTTTTAATAATGGAAAACATTTACTCTAAAAAAAAAGTTTGGCTTTTCTAGATTCTCTGACGCCGGAATGTTGGCACTGCCAAGGTTGGTTAATTTTACTGAACTCTTTAAAGTAAAGCTAGTCGATTCGAGTAATTGGATATTAGGTTCATCCAACTTCCAGTCCAGCAATACAAACATATCATCTGGACACTTTAATGTTATGGCGTAAGAGATAAAATTATCTTCGACATATGGATCAATTTTAGTGTTGTCTTTATGTTCAAGTTTAGCAATGACATATCCTCTACCTATATTACATAGTCTAGCCCACTTTTCACCTGATGGAGTTATTGCTCCTGTCATAGACTCAGTGCTAGTAGAATCGGCAGCAACTGCTGAGGTAGGACCATCGAGGCTATCTACAAACCAATCGTTGTTGTCGTATTTGTCGTCCATTGATAAATATAGCAGTAGGTAATAATTGACTTGAGAAGTGAATGTTTCAGTTCCGGAAGTCCTAACTTTTACGTTTATATTGTAATCTTTATTCACATCAATAGTTACTTCAGAATTCTCACTGCCTCCAGTTTTTAGCTGAAACTGACCGAAGGATAAGTCAATATAATTTGGATTGCAGTTGTACGTCCATTGTGTGTTTAGAAATACTGATGTTGCTGCACTATATCCGGAGACAGTTGGTGTTATTGTAGCCTTTATGATATCACTATTCGCATTCATACTGCCACAATTTGCAGTGGTCAAAGACACTTTTCCAGTTCCAGACAACATTACAGATTTACCTGAACCGTCAATATCTGTCCGATAAGCGGCTGTAAGTGATGACGATGAATCAATTACAGCTTCGGTAGGTAAATCAAGTGTGTCTTTATCAATAAAAATTTTCAAATTAAAGTTATCAGAACTTGTACTAAAAGATGCTGGATTTCTATTAAAATTTACAGCACTGACTTCGAAAGTAAACGGATATTCAGTTCCAGGATATATTGTACCAGTTAAACCTATTGATTTGATCTGTGGATAAACTATAAAAAGCACAGAGAAGAGTAGTTAATTAATTTAATGATTCTATATGTTAAATATAAATTGAATTGGTACCTTGACTCGCACATGAAATATAAGCAGCTGTAGTAGCTGCCGAACCTTCGGTATAACCTGTTAAAAATGATTTAGGAGTTCCAGTAACAATAAAAGTTGGATTGTGTTTGGTTGATAGAGTAGAGCAGTCGGATAGGACGTTGTCAATGGAACATTCAGCTGGAGTCGAATCCCTACAAAGCTTTGCAGTATAATTTAATTTCAAAGTTTGTCCAGCATTAATTGCCAACTTCCCTCCAGCGTATTCATCGCTTGCTCCTTCCTCAACTATAAGAGTTTTTTTTCCTGGAGATAGTTTACTATCATCCTGAGATAGATGAACAGAAATTGTGTATAATACACTAGAAGAACGTTCAATTATTTTATTATAGGCATTTGTCAAGAGTACTTCGAATTTGTATACATCATCCCAATTTTGAGACGAATACGGTGGACCATTGACATTAACTATCGCAACTTCGAGTTTCTTTTCAACAGCGTAGTTCTTACAAACAGGAGCTGGATTTATTGTTAATTCGGGTGACCAAGCAATATTATTATCTTCGTAAATTTCGTCATATTCATTATTGCTATCAACGAATATTCCAACGTAGAGTTTATTCAAATTATCACAAAAATAATGTGCAACGTTCTTATCGAATTTAAATCCAACAGGATCAGATAAATCGATTACGGAACCTGAGGCGAAGGATTGCTTTAGGATATTTGATTGGCATTCCGTCATTCTGTATTTGACTACTATGTCTCTGTCATCATCATAAACTTTATCTTTAGACAGTATTATCTTAAATCGAAATTTGGGAATAATTGAAAGAGGTAGTTCACCAGTTAGCGTCACTTTTAAATCAAAATTATGCAGTTTTCCAGGTGTTATTGACGTCAATTTAGTAAGAGTGGGGTTCAAATCCATCTGGACAGCATTGCAATCAATAGTAGGAAAGGATGTTATTATGTAATCGTTATCCGCATAATCATCCGGATTTCCATCAGCTTTGAGTAGCTGAACTCCCAAATACATTTGACTTTTACAAGAAACATTCGATATCTTAAAGTTGGCTGTAATATCCAAATCGACAGCCCTCTCAGTTAATGCAGATTCTAGCCCATTTCCAGATATATGTTCAACAACAGTATTATTAACTACACTCAAAAGGTGCTCAGCATTACCAATAACCTTATCACCCTGGTCTAAGTACAATTCTAATTGGAAGTTTTTCTGCGAAGAAGTAAAAGCTGAACAATCAGCGACATTGCAAGTTACTCTAATCCTAAATGATATTGGAACTCCTTCGTCAGTTGGCCATAGTTTTGGTTGTTTAGAAGTTAAAGTCGGAAGTATTTCTAATTCCGTTAATCCAATAGTATCAGTTGAATGACACTTTAATACTATTGGATTAGCAACCCAATTATTATTCATATTTCTGTCTATGGACGAGTCAGATTCCACGAAAACTATACCATAAATGAAACCGCAAAATTTCTTTTCGGAAGGTGCCGCTAAAGCTGCTTGTCCTTCGGTTGCTTTTATTAAACTTTTAGCAGCGTCTAATTCTAATTGAATACCAGAATCTGAATCAGCATTTGCATCAAAATGACCATCGGTTGAATAGTAAAGTTTCATTTTAATACTGTTAGTGGTAACGCCCGTAAATTCTAAAGTCCCTGCAAAAGATAGTGAATCGCCTGCTATTGGCGAATCATCTGCTGGTGATAGTTTGGTTTCGGGAACAACGGATCCGTCGGCAACTATTTCGGTTTGCCTCATTTTGAAATTAATGAGTTTAAGGTCCTTAGCGGAATCATCCCCCTGATCAATTGTTACAGCAGCAAAGTCATTTTCCACAATATCATCAACAAAGTTAAAAAGTGGATCAGAAGTTGCTTTAATAATTAAATGAGTAAAAGCTCCTGTTGTGAATTTAGTTGAATCTAGATGAAATTTTGTATTTCTTAATACAATTCCATAGGCGGGAAACAGAGCTTCAGTTGGAGATTTTTCATAATAAACGCCTTCTTGACTAACTAGAACAGGCGTACCAGTCAGTAAATTATTTGAATTGTGTGCGTATAGTTCTAAATTAAAATGGGCTCTTCCACCGTGCCATATAACATCTTCAACATCAACATTATGAACGGTTACCGTAACCCAAATAGGCATATCGGAATTAGAGTATAGCTTGTTTTGTAAAGAGCCATAGCTGGTCTTGAAATCAGTGACGGCCAACTTATCTATAAAAGAGTAAACATAAATAAAAACAAAGGATAAATAAGAAAAATCTAGGACAAAAAATATTTGACTTTAATAAAGATGATTATTAATAAGATAAAAGTAAATTATGTATATCGTTTCTATCGACAGTCAATATTGTTGTGACGATTTATTCATAATTAATTAATTTTAAGAAAAAAAAATATTGCGTAGGTTGAATTGAAATTACCTCCATTACATAAAATATAAATTGTCGTTGATTCGACATTGTTTGTTTCATCCGTTTCGTCCACAAATTGTTCCTTATCTATTTTTAATAGTAATAAACTATATCCGCAAAACTTTCTAGTTGATGGTGTAGAACTTAACGATGGAATATCGATACTTTTTGCCGTTATCTCGTATTTCGTCGAACTTGCTAATTTTTCACTTTTTAAATTAACCTTACCAACTGGTATTTCATTTCCAGTAGTTAAACTATCCCACGAACCTAATGATACCCATAACGATATATTATGAGTATAGATGAACTTTGAACCTCTTAGCTGTATATCGAGGATAATATCGGCAGCAGCAAAGGAATTTTCAGCTATGGTTTCAGTATTAGTTTTTAAATAAAAGGTAGACAATTCAACCGTGTCTGTAAAAGGAATGTAAAAAAAATGCTTTAATTATTTATCAATAGCTATGATTAGTCTTTTTTTGTTTTTATTATTTACCGTCATTGCACTGAATCAAGCTTGATATATCTTTACAAATTTTGTCATCATTTTCATTGACATCTCCAACAATTGTCGCCTGTTTACCTATGTCCAGGCATATGTATCTAACACTTGAACATTTTACAGAAGGCACTGTTAGCGTAAGTGATCCACCAAAACTTATTTGGCCTTCAAAACGTAGCTTTGTCTTTAACAGTGTCTTTGTAGCGTCGTTAGTTTCCAAATTTCCCGATAATGACAAAGTATCTGGCACTCCAGCGGACAAATCAGTATCGGTTACGTAAAAAACAGGTACATAATTAGTCGTCCCTTCATCTCCGGCATGATCAGGATTAAAGTTCTTAATGACTGCATTACTTATTGTAAAAACCGTTTGAATATCTTGATAAATTTTTGCAGATTGTAGTTCATAAGTAAAATCTACAAGTTTCACATCTAAAAGTTGATAGAAATATGTTTAATAGATTTTTACTTTATCAATTTATTAGACAATCAAACCTGGAACACCAAAAACTAGGTGTAAGCAGCAAAATATGATAAAACAAGACTCCATTCTCCATCGAATCATGATGGCTTGAATGGCTGAATAATTTTCACAATATAGAGAGCGCCCATACGTCGTTGCTAGAGCCTTAACTTATTCATGCTGTCTGTAAATGGTACAATCGCCATTTTAACTTGAATTATGCTTCTCTTTTGGGTTTCTTGCAATTTAATTACAATTTTTTCATCGTATTTCGTTAAAGGTAAGAAAATTTCATATATACTTTATTCAAATTTAATACTATTTCCCATTTATATATTAAAATCTTTAATAAACTTAACAATTCAATTACAAAAGTTACTTTTAACCAAAAAAATTGAATTGCTTTCTCTATTCAAACGAAAATTTGAGAGAAAATCAGAATATTAATCTAATAAATTTACATTCATTTATCTTCTTTAAATGAAATTTCTTTTTTATTTTTTTTTTAAAAAAACAAAAAAGTAAAAAAAATTTTGATAATACTTTCCAAGATGAATCTGTTTTTAAATATTTATTTAATGTTGAGTAATGTTCATTTCTTTATATATATATATGTGTGTGTGTGTGTATATACTGTTTATATGCAGTATATATAAATTTTATTATAAAGTTATCAAAGGAGAAACGCGTGGAAAACTATTGATTTTGTAGTTTTGATATTTTCTGCTTTAGAAACAGTTTAATATTAAAAGAGAGTATTTCACAACAACTAATTAATAAAAAGTGATCAAAATTTTCGATTCTTTATATACTTTTTATTGCAGTCAGTCATTTTTTGTTCTTTTACTTAAAATATTTATGATTTGCCGTGAATATAATATTAGATTTTGAACAAAAAATTTGTCCTTTTCAATATTGTTTATTATTAAATATTCTTAAGTTAATTATTAATTATTTTCATTATTGAAAATTGAATTTTAACAATCGACTTATAGGTTCAAGTAAGATTATATATAAATTTAGATTATGTAGATTGCTATAGTTCATAATATTTATCAATTGTAAAAGAAAAGATATATGGAAATTAATGGTTAAGGGGGAAATATCCATCAATAGTTTTTTTCTCTTATGAATAATTCATTAAAGAGTTTGTCTCTGTGCAACTAGCTTATTTATTTCTTTTTTTACTTTCTCTTACAGCGTCAAATATTTCTACATTTGTTGTTAGATTTAAAGGGGATGATATCTATCAGGATATACCGAATCTAGCTACATTCACTATTGCTATTAAATATGCTCCTGTTTTAAATATTAGTGAAACAGATAGCAATTTTAATTTGAAAATTGAACTATCCGATTCTAGTTCTCTTTCAAGTAATACTTTGGCTTTAAACGCGCCTTTTATTCAATTTAATAAGGCGTCGTTAGAAAAATTTCACGCAAGTTTACAACCTCTATCGTCAATTATTCTTGAAGGTGAAACTAACTTTATAGTTCCTGTCGCAAAATGCAGCTCCTTCAGCTACTTTTGCGCTAAAATAAATGATCAAGACGAGAATTGCATTGATATAAATTCCTATAAGAAATGCTCAAACAACTACGTTCTATCGAATATTCATAAGTTTGGCGTTCCTTCCGGTTATATTCAAACCGGAGCGTACAACTTTTTAGAACTTTCAATCGATCTAAAACTTGGCGGGGGAGTTGGAAATGCGCAAGGTCCCTACGTCAATTTATTTTTATCAGAGAACGAAATAATTGAAGAAGAACTCGATGTAATTTTAACTAAGGAACCAATCAGTTTTGAAAAATTGAAACAGACCTATTCGAGTTCAACGATAATAGATCTATCCGGACCAGATTATTTCATACCAAACGTAGCTCTGCTCAAACCACAGTTGTGCGGAGTATCTTATCTAATAATTAAATCTGAACGACGAGAAAAGGAGTTAATTGATGTAAAGGCGATAAAAGTTATTACTTTATGTCCTCAGGACGAAATTAAATTGAATAAGGCTGAATTCTACGAAATCTCTTCTCCAACCATTTCCTTAAAACGTCAAACTAATTACGATCTTAAAATGGATATAGAATTTGTTCATATTAATACTGAGAACAAGCTCAGAGGTCAACAGCATTGGAAAATTAAGCTTCTCCTGCAAAATTCCAAGAGTTTACACGAGGAAACTAGTGTAGATTTAACGGAAAATCCAAGTTCTATTGAATTTTTAACATCTATTGATCCATTAGAAGATTTTCCTGGCTTGGAAAAGTATCGTTTTAAAGTTAAATTTACCGTTAATATTCAGTTGGCCTATAATTATTTATTGGTTCTATTAAGATCTTCGGATTCAGAAACTGTTATGCATAATAATTATAAAGTTTGGGATTTAAAAACTTTAACTGACGATACAGATGTCGCTTTGCAGGCCTTTTCTATAACAAATAATCGAATAAATGTTGACAGTCCGCTCCCCCTGTCGGCTACAAGTCTAACTTCGACAAATGTAGATGCAAATACAATTGGAGTAAGCCTATATTGGTCAATTGATGATAAACTCGATGAAACAGATTATTTAGTTCCCTTGACATTTTCAGTATCAGTTTCAGGGTCCATAACAACAACAGGCAACGTTCCAAGTCCCCTTCATCAACTTTATTGTGGTAAAATTTATTCGATTCTCAAAGTTGATAGCAATAATAAAATTGCTGAAATAGATGAGACTAACAACGTTAAATCAATTTTAGTAACTTTACTTTGTGGTTCTGGGGATGATTTAGCTCTACAACAATTTAATGTCCTCTCACCGTCCATTTTGGTTAATGATAGAAGCTCTACTATTCATTTTAAAGCTATTGTTTCTTGTACGAGCGTTGACTGTAGCTCTAAAACTGAATCGAACAACAATTTTAACGTTAATCTCTTTCTAAGCTCTAATGATAAATTTAGATCAAGTACAACTGACCTTTTAACTATAACCAGTCTTAAATCCGTTACCGGAAAAGGAATAAAAACTGGCTTAACAAACGGACCAGTAACTGTAGATTTGTCTGCACAAGTAACTATAGATCCATCTCTTTGCACAAAAGAACGCTACTACCTTATGATGAAATTGACACCCGACGATTCGTACCTTTCCAACAATTATATGGTTATTCCAGTAACACTTAAGTGCTACAACAGCGATTCCATTGATTTTAATATTAATTCTTTTACCGTTAAATCTACAACGCTAAACGAATTCAACTATTTCACAATTGATTATACCATTCAAACATTTGGAGATTTTGAAGTAACCCAAACGAATAATCCACAATACGGATTGAATCTATATCTATCAGAAGATACATTGTACGACGACGAAGATATTCAATTAATTACTAATTTTCATGTTTGTAATCGTAAGAAATTAGCGGAAGCCGTGTCGAGCGGTTCAACAAAAACAATTAATATATTTGACTATTTTAAATTTCCAAAAGAATCAAAGATAAGAAAATTTTGCGGTAAAACCTATTATATTATAGCGTTGATAGACAGTTATCATACTTTTATGGAAACTAACGAATTGAATAATGTACTAAGTTCAACTTCACTAACGGAAATAAAGAATTTGAATTGTGCTAGCGCAAGTTTTTCAAAATCTAGTAAGTTTTTATAAAAAGTATTTTTTGTTTTTTTTAAAAAAAAATAACTTTCTATTGTTTTTTTTTCTTAACAGTTTCTATTAAATTCCTTGATAAAAAGACATTTCAATCTTCTCAACTATTTCCGCTATCCTCTTATAATTGGATAACTGATATTGAAGTTACAAATCATTATAACCAACCATACAATCCTACAAGTGAAACAAAACTACAATTAAAATTATTCTCAATTCATTCTCGTATCTCTATTGATATTAAAAATTCTGATATATTTAAGAATGGCCTAAATGCTGGAGAAACGAAAAAGATAAATGTAAGATTAGCAATACCGAATAACCGCTTGACAAAAGTAATTTGCGATGAAATAGTACCAAATGAAGATACTAAAGTTGAAATTGAAATGAAATTAATTGATCTAAAAGATTCATTTATATTGAAATCTGTAGATAAAGTTGAAATGGATATGAAATGCGAATTTGGACGTAAGTTTTACTTAAATAATTCATTTTACACTTTTACTATAATATCCTAATAAAATTACAGTAAAACCTACTTTAAATTCTGTATTTTATGAGAAGAAATTGCAACAATACTTTAATTATACATTTCTTATAAATTTCCAAATAAAGCATACGGTATGTATCTCTATACATTTATTCATCCGTATTTCGTTGTCATGGAAGATAATACATTGATATTTGATAATAATTTCTCTTTCAGGAAATAAAAGAATTACAAAAAGTAATGACATCAACTGAAAAGAATTGGTTTATTGATATAGAATTATTCAATTCAGAGTCTAGTTATCCTTTAGAGACTTTGTTTTTGAATGAATATAAAAATGCTCAATTTACGGTTTTGAATAACAAACAAATTCTACTTGTTTCGGTATCGAGCTATACTGGAAAATTAAAACGTGATACTTGTTTGAAATTTATTGGAAAAATTAATAAATTACGTATGACGCTCCGTCCAGCAAAATTCCTTTTAATGCTTGGCTATAAAACTTATTCCATTGAATATTCATTAGCATTAAATTTCCAATGTAACGATGGTAATACCTCGAAAATATTTGTAAAATATAGCGTATCTTATTAAATCTATATTGTTTCTTTCTTCCTTTCTAGAATACCTTGACCTTAAATTGGAAAAATTTAATTTTCTAACCAATTATGATTACGTTACGAATATCTTAGACTTGGATACAACACAAAAATTCACTATGACTGTTTCTGCAACAAAAACGAATAATGGAACTTTTTCACCCTTTCTTCATAATGTTACCAATAATTTCTACTATAAACTCTTTATTAGTCCAAAGAAGAGTTTCAAAGAAACTCGCAAATTAGCTTATGAAATTCGTAAGTTGATTTATTATATTTACTTTTAGGACAACCAACTCTTTCCCTTTGTTTTACTATTCAATCAATTATTTCAGCCTATTCTCCATCTAATAAAGAGTTAAAGAATGATGTAACAAATAACTCGGCAGAAATTACAACAATTGATTTGATGGTTAATTCTAGTGATGTGAGGACGTATTGCGGTTTAAATTCTATTATTGTTGCTGTTTTTGACGAAAAGAATAAACCAATAACTCCATCTAGTAGTAAAATAATCGAGAATTTATTATCGGAAAACTCTCCTCAAGATCCGTATATAAGTAATAATTATTTGGTAAAAGATGTAGCAGTCTCTTGTATTGGTGACATAATTAAGATCAATGCTGATAAGATAACAACTCAAGTTTATTCTGGTTCAAAGAGGCATTTGGAGTTTATGATTGAAGTTACCAATATTGATTTCTTGGGTAGAGATATTCCTCAAAGTCTAGATTACCCGTTTACATTTGAAATAGAAGGTGAAACTCCAGAATCTATTTTCATATCAAATAATGCTAAATCAGGTCTGAAATTTGGAGATACTGCTAAAATAACAGTTAAAGCAACATTGGATATAGATGATGCTTTTTGTGCTCAAATCAACAGGTTAATTAGTTTTATAACAAAAAGTTCAATAATAATAATAATTACTTATCCATCTTTAGTAATATTACTGTTAAAGTATTGACTGGATTGGGAGTTCCAGTCGGTTTCTCTGATACAAGTACTGATAACAATAGAGCTTTAATTACCGGAATCACCTGTTCGAAAGGTAATATATAAACTATATTTTCATAGCTATCCATGTTCCTTAAATATTTCTTCTCTTCCTATCCTTCAGAAGAAACTGGTATCTCTGTTGTAATTGATTCAAACTCGATTGCATTAAATCCATCAAATCAACTGGCAGGAAATATTGAATTGACAATTTCGGTAAATATTTTGTTTTATTATTAATATTAATTTAATTAAAGTCATTACAACCAAAACAAAAAAGGGTATTGACGGATCAACTTATGAAGATTTTGATGTTTATTTGGCTAAAGATAATAAAATTGATAAGGAAAATGACAAAAAATTAAATTTTGTGGTTGGAAGTCAAGTAAAACAGGGAAATGGAGATATAAAAGGACCTTTAGAATTGTCTATCAACAACGATACTTGGAATCATTATTGCGGTTATAAATATATAATCGTTCAAATAGATCCTAATAATGCGATAGACGACAAAAACAAAGTAGACAATATTGCATCCTTTTCAATCTTAATACAATGTAGTGAAAATAGTAAGATATTTATTTATTTAACCATCTATTTTCTATGATAATTATTTCATTTTTCAATAGACAAATACGTGTTTAGGATAAACAATTTCAATTTACCAAAAGATCTATTCTCAAACATAAATACAATGTTAACCTTTGGAGGTGTTGTAAGAAATATCGGAAGTAATATAGCTGCTGTATCGGGCATGAATACTAATTTTAAATTTAAAGTCTATCTTCAAAAGTCTTCTCATATGAAGAATGAAAATCGACTAGATATTACTCCGGATGATTGGACTTATAGCGGAAGTGAAAAAGACCTCCGAAAAGCTGCTCATAATTCAAATACAGATAAGACATTTACAACTGTTAAAACATATGTGAAAATTCCAATTGATATATGTTCTGTTGGGTATGATGCTATATTGGTTGGCGTAAAAGATACAATTGGAACTGAATGCGAAGAAATAGATAACTTTTACACTTACTATTTCAATTGTATGGGAAATAATGGAATTGATTTTGAAATAACCAAATTTGCGCTTGATAAAACTCAATTTAACTTAAATGATTTACAAACTTTTAATCTTGATTTAAAAGCTAATCTTGGTAAATCCGATATTGATTGGAATTGGTCATTTCAACCAATTTTAACGTTTGAAAATTCAGATGGAAAGATAAACATTCCTATTTATTTTGATTTGAATAATCTAAAATCCATATCAATATCTCTTACGAGTAAATTTAAACTTACCACTTTAAATCATCTGCAATTTTGCGGTACAGGAAATAAAATTAAAATTACTATTGTTACGCCCTTTACTGATGCTGATCCTTCAAATAATGTGAAAGAAATAGATGATATTGAGATAACTGGATGTCCTACTGGTCTAGATTTGATACCAAAATTAATTATAATTGACGATAAACCTTACCAAAATCAGTTTTTATCATCTGCCACTACTTCAATCAAAATTATGTTTGATATCATTAAAGCAAAGTCTGTTTCTAGTCCAGCATCTTTTAAGTATAACTTGTTTATCACTGATGAAAAAACAACTGATAAGAGAAGAGTTCTAATCGACCAAACAAAAACATATAGCTTTCCCGACCTCAACCAAGAAATTATTGATAGTTTTACAATCTCTACACCCGATGCTTTTTGCGGAAAAGATAAACTCTGGTTGGGAGTACGAATAAACAGCGATGATGGCGTCACTGAAACTTCAACCATGAACAATATATTATGGAAACGTGTTAAAATGATTTGTGACGCTCAAGCAGGTATTGTTCTTACCGATCTACGTATAAAAGGGTCACTTTTTCCTACAAACAATGAACTTTCCTTCGATTTGGACGCTCTAAGTTTGGAAAATTCAGACAAAGATGTTGAAGTAACTTATACTCTTACTTTGGCAAATAACGTAAATACATCAGCCATTAATCCAGCTATTATAGACGCTAGTCCTTTGGTAAGCCTATAAAATTATTGTATTATTATTCTTTATTAAAATTAATTCTTTCTCTTTTCTAGATACCGAACAATACTGAAATTTTTCAGGCAAATTTGAATGGAACATGGCCTAAATCATCTCTCAGAGTTATTCGTAATGCAAAAGTAAAATTTACTTTTTGGAATCCTGTTTGTGAAGGGAAAAGATACATTTGCTTATCACTTAAAACTAATTTGGCTGGAGATACGGATGAAGATAATATGAAATGTGTTGATATTTATACAGAATGGAATATTAGTACTCGATGTGGTATTAATATTGGTATTCAATCAGTTTCAATTGAAAAAAAGAAATTATACGAAAGTGAAAAAGGACCAGTTGGCGTAAATATGACATTTGATGTAAAAGGAATAGATTTACCAGCACCCGAGCCTTATCAGCCAGATTCCGTTAGGTTCATAGTATCTATTAGAGATGATTCAAGAATTTTAATTACAAGCGACGAATTCACGTGGACAACCGCTTCTAAATTAAAGTTACGCTCTCCCATTGCGGACAAGCAGAGTGTTGAGTTATCGGGACTATTCGAAATATCTTTGACGCAAGAAATATGCTCATCGTCAACGTATTTAATTTGTATTCAGCATAGTTTCTCTCCTGATAATAACGCCAATAACGATATATTTTGCCAAAATGGAAAAACGACTGTTAGTTGCTTTAATTCAAATGTTGATCTTGAAGCTCTTAAGGTGGAAACCTACGGAAGATTACTTGTCGCTGATAAACCCCAAGACATAGGAATGATTATGTTAATTTCTGTTCCTGAATCATCCAACATCAGTTCCATAGTAACTAAAACAAATTTGTATTTATCGGTTGACAATATTCTTGATGGTAGCGATACGCTATTAAATTTCAATGGATTTAACAAAGGAAAAGCTCTAGCTGAATTACAAAAGTATTATGGCCCTGGAGAACACACTATTATCATAAAGGGCTCTCAGATAACCATACCATTCGATACTGATGTTAAATACGCTGGAGATGTTTATATCATTGCAAAAATTGACGCTGATAACGATATTGCGGAAACTAATGAAGGGAATAATATTGCAGTTTCAAAAATTAGCTTATCCTTACCAAATCAAGGTAAATTTTGAACATTCATATCAATAGAAAAGCGTATCTATTAATAATGATTCCTTTTTCTTACAAGATTATCTAAGACTAACTTCAGCGTCTCTTCTGGACGGAACATTGATAGTCGGGGAAGTTTCCACTTTGAAGCTATCTATTGCTATTGAAAATGTAAACGATGAAATGCTTCTTGAAAGCAGCAATCCATACCGTTTAGAAGTGATAGCTTTCAATGAGACTGCATTATTTAACAAAGTTATCTCTACATTTGTACACTATCCTCCTGTTAACGTCGAAAAATTTCCACATTTATCGACGAGAGTTCTTAATCCTGTTATAGTAGAAATTACTCCTGATGAATGGCAAGAAAATATATGTACTTACACAACTCAGTTAAAAATAAAACTAACAACAATAGTATCAATTGACAATCCTAATAACAACGAACAAGTCATAAGAATACCAGAATCGATCAAAGTTTGCACACCATCCAACTCTAATGTAAATTTACTGATTGACAAACTAATCATTCCAAATTATTTAAATAAGAATGATCAGATAAATGTTAAATGGAACGGTCACGCAAGTCTAGCGTCGGCTGCTAATCTAGCTATCAATTCGTTTAAAAATACTTTGCATATTTCTCAAATTAACTCTATTATGGATCAATCTACATGGAAATGGATGGAAATCTCTAATCCTCAAGCTTTATCCACAGGCTCAGTGCTATTTGATTTAGGTGGCGACTATTCTTTAGAAAAACTACCGAGAAGTTTATGCGGAAGAGTTTACGCGATTGGTACTCTAGATAGTGATAAAACAGTTTCAGAGATAAATGAAGATGATAACCAAGAGGATCAAGAAATTAATATCATTTGCGAAGACGATATTATTTCTTTATTCTCAGTTGAATTAGATTTGGAAAATGCTAAACTTATCGAAAGCTATCGTACTCAAGTTAATATAGAGTTTTCGTTTGCATGTATGAATACTGGAAATTGTGTTATTCCAAGTTTGAAACTTGACATTTTCACACGTAAATCATTTGCTCAATCATCATCCTATTCTCTTTTATCGAATAAAGAGATAGTGTCAAATATAAACATGAAGTTTGGAGAAGAAAAAACGTTTGTTATATCCGAATACTTTGAACTATTGACTGGTGGTTGTGGAGGTAGTAGCGAAAATGTTCTAACCGTACGACTAACATTGCCGGGAATGTTAGATGCTGTAGCTGAGAATAATGAAAGACATTTTATGATTGAATGTCAAGAGGAGCTGGAAAACGAAGTATTAATTTCGGATTTTAACGTTCTAAACATAGATTATGATAGGTCAGAAATTAAATATTCATTTAAATTATCAACATCTGGCGAAATATTTCCATTATCTTTCAACTATTCTGAACCAATTTTTGTCAATTTTCTACTTTCAAAATTAGCAACAGCAACAGCGGGATCCGTATTATTAAAAAATGACATCTGTTCCGAACTTCAATTAGGTTTGAAGAAAGGATCTTCTTTCGAAATGATGGGAACAGCAACTTTTCCTAGTAGCCTTGACATGTGCGATAATATCTATGGTATACTTGTATTTGATGCATCAAAGAGAGTGTCTAGCTCTATAAATGCTAAAAAGAAGCTACTTACACCCGTGTTTATCAAATGTAAAGAAAAGGTTATGTTTCAAAAGTTTTCACCCGACGATTTACGTGTTTGGCAAAATACTGAAAAGACTATGACATTTTCCGGTTCAATTATAAATCTATCTAAAGAAAAATTGTTTAATCTAAAATTAGTGGCCTTTTTGTCAGCCGACTACAAGTGGAATCCAAATTATGATGTTCAAATTGAATCTATCTCTTATAATAAAAAAGTTCTTGAACAGGGAATCAACCCAAGAGGAATTGTTAAATTTGATGATTTACAGCTAAAATTCACAATTTCAAGTTCATTTTGTTCTGCTAATACTTATTTACTTTTAATTATTCTACCCTTTAAAGTTATTAAGCATTTTCCTTTGGATGCACATTGTTATCCGACACCAATTGATTTATACTTTGGTTCTGGGTTCAATATCAATGCGGGCGTGGGAAAAGCACCCGGAAGTAGTTTAAATATCAACTATGAGATAAAATTGCAAACTGGACAAAGTATATATTTCAAAAATATTATCATAAACCATTGGATAAGTAAAGATGTAAAATTTGATGAACTGATTGATTATCCTCTAACGAATAGTCTACCATACGATAAACCTTTTGATAAACTTCAGATGCTCCATTATGGAAGTTCTCCACTGACAGAGACATTTTCCTCTTCACTCACTCTTCCTTCTAATATAAATAAGACCTTATGCGGTAATTCTTATATAGTAACAGTCCTGAAAAGTGGAAGAGAACTTACGGAGAGCAACTATGAAAATAACATAAGATTTGATCCTATTAAAATCAATTGTGGAATTGATTTATTTGAAATTCAAGATATAGAATTAGATAACACAATGCAGTTTGCGAATCAGCAGAAGACCAGAAAACTTAATTTCAAAATCAATTGTAATACTTCTCCTTGTCCGTTATCGACGGCTTCCAGCTCAACTTTTGCTTTCCCAGTACATTTCAATATAAAATTGATTCCCCTAGACAGTCAATTAAAACCTGTAGGAAGTATTCAACCATCTTTAATAGATCCATTTTATATTTCTGGTAATGAAGAGAATATATCACCGTCAACAGCTTTACAATGGAATTTTACAACAGCTAATTCATTGCCAATGGAAGCTAACCTTATGATCACTATTAATGATGTTAGAACAAAATTCCTAGGATTAAAACTTCTGAAAGGAAATAGCGACGAAGTTAAAGGAGCAAATTGGGGAATTGAGGAGAATGATATATCTATTATTAATTTTGATGTAGAAGAGGAAGATTCATCTATAAAGGTTGAAAGCTTAACAATTTCACCACAAACTATTAATCTGAACAGTAAAACTACAATGATAGATATTTTTTATCGATTTACAAGTAAATATATATTTATGGAAGAAAGTATAGAACAAAATTTCTATATTTCTACAACTAATACAATCTCTGGCAAAGAAACTAAATTAAATTTGAAATTAAAGTCGAAAGGAATTTCTATGGTTAAAGATGGTATGTTGTACCGATATAATGTTGAAAAATCATCGGCTTTAGACAACGAAACATTAATAAATATATGCCATAGTACACAGAGTTATATAATCATTAAAATAGAAACAGCATATTATGATGCCAACTTGGATGATAATCAATATTCGTATCAGATTATTACAAAAAATTGTCCAGTTGGAATAGGAACTGATATCAAATCTGTAAATTTTCCCGAGATAGTCGAAGCTACTAAAGAATACAATATATCTGTTATCGCTAATTTAATACTCGCTGGTAAAACTTCAACCGATAATCTAATGATATCTTTATCCTTGATCAAAGATAACTTTACAATTCCGATTAAATACTCAAGTGGGAATAGTAATAACACGCTTAATTCAAGATATTCAAATCCTTCTGGTATTTCAATAATGAATTTAGATTTAAATTCATTAAATAAAGTTACTTTACCATTTGAAAATATCATTTGTATGGAATCTTCTTTATTGGCCGTTGAAATCTCCTCAAAATATAACAGTGTAAGAAGAGGAACATTTATAAAACCGATATTTATCTATTGCCCTGAAAATGAAGGTTTATCTATAGGATCGTTTGAAGTTATAGATCTTCCATCGGAATGGTATCCCGGATTATACATTCAACATGCTATGTCTCTTTCAGTTGAGAATGATGGTCCCGCCCTTCAGTCATCACTGGAAGGTCATTTTACGTTTAAAGAATACTTTTCAGAGGACGAGATATTTGATAAAGATCAAGATCAAGAAATGGATATAAGAAATAACGAAGGAGAAGTCTATATATATAAGAATACTGTTGCGTACGGATCTCTAATATTTAATAGATACCTTAAGGGAAATGTTCTTATAAAAAGTGTAGAATCATGCAAAAGAGCAAAAAATCCAACTATTTTTATTCAACTAATTCAGGTGGGATCTTATAAATCTAACATCACTGAAAATGATGTTGCAAGATTTCCAGTTGATAAAAAACTACTGATTTGTAAATACCCAAATCAAGTGGATCTGTATATAACCAAGTTTAGTTTAACAGAATCGAATGGTCAGAATAAAGCGTACATATCAGCAAATTCGATAAACAGTTACAATTTGGAAATAGGAGTAAAGAAATCCGCTACTGGTTCTATTCCAAATAGAGATGAACCTTATATATATTTGGAATTTTTTATCAGTATTGATTCAGCAATTGATGAATATGACGACCAGATACCAACCGTCTATTCTACTGTACAAAAAACAACACTTCAAAAAGGCATATCCTCTTCAACGCCCGATATATTCCCGTTAAGCGGATCTGGACTTCTCCTTAATACTCTAAAATTTCCAAATTTAAATTATTACTGCGGAACTGCTTATCTAATCGTTCGAATTAATAGCAGCTATGAAGGTGCTATTGATCCGGATAGTTCTAATAATACATTTACGAATAAAATAACTGTCTACTGTCCAAATGATTGGTTCTCTATGGGCGGTTTTACAATTAAACCTCTTCCACCTTTTACCCATTTATACGGCGGAATCGACACAAAGATCTGGTTTAGTGGTACTATGCAAAACATTCACTACTCATACGATGTTAAATCTTCCGGAGAGGGAAAAGAGAATTTTTATCTAACTATGTACATGTCAAATGGAAAGAATCTAAAGGAAGACTATGATTCTAAGGTTAACATCAAATATTTGGATTACAAACTTAGAGAAACTCTTATGGGTTCTCTAATTCATTTAACTACTGTTAAACTGGAAGGAGAAGCTATTATACAATTGCCCTTTGGAACTTGTGATCAGCCAATTCTATTTGCACAAACAGAATTCGGTCTACCAATATCTTTAAAGGACGGTGTCTGGGATAACCATGCTCGTTACTTGAACGTTACAAATATGGTAAAATGTATTACTGATAAGAGTGATTTAAATATTAATAATGCATTATTATCAACCTATAAATTTTCTATACCGCATACAATAATTGCGGAAATAACTGTAAATCTTAACGTAACTGGAATATCTATATTAGATCTTGAATCTAAAGATATGAAAATTAATAGCTTTTTATCAAAAACAAGTAAATTTGACGAAAAAGAAAGTTATAAGGTCAAAAATGAATATAATATAACAAAACTAATGAAAAAATTTGATAAATCAACAGAAGTTAATCTAACTTTACATTTACAAATAGAAAAATTAGTAATTTGTGGGCCAGCTTATCTCCTTATAGTACTGGATGAAAATAATATAATCGAAGAATTTGACGAAGGTAATAACGTCTATCCAATAGAGATTGATATTAAGTGCCACAGTGATGTTCTTTATTTGGTTGATATTCAACTGGAAAAGGAAGACGTGTATTATAAAGACGGTTCACCTATCAGCGTTGTTGCAACAGTCAAAAACATATTCGATAAAGATATTGTTCCACTCAAGCATATGGCGAGCTTTGAAATGAGAGCTTACATAAGAAAAGACGAAGTCAATTCACAAAGATACTACGTAACTCCTAGTTCTTGGTCAAGTAAGCTTCCAAATGGAAGATACCTAAACACTTTTAAGCAGGGAACAACTGTAGAAACTCCTAAATGGGTTGGAGATATTAACATGAATATAGTGTGTCCCTATCTAGGAAGTGGACATTTTATATTAGGTTTAGAAGTTATTGCACCATCAATACCTGAATGTTATATGAACAACAATCATATGGAATTTAAAATAGCAGTTGACTGTCAAGACCATTGGAGAGATTTACAACCAATAGCATTCAAGTGGTTAGATAATGTATACAGTCATAATTATACCTTCAACCACGATATGGGTTTTAATATTACAACTTTTATTGAAATAAGTGGAAGTGGAGGCTGGGGAAACTTTCCTAGTGGACAAACAGATCCTCTACTATATACTGTCGGATTTTACATTTCTCATAAAGACATCCGTAAAAAAATTTCATATAATAGTCAAAACTTGATTACTGATATAAATAAGGGAGTATCCGCAACAACTACAGTCTACATCGCCAGAGAAGTTCCAGGTTTGACCCTAACGGAAGAAGATCATTTGTTTCTTTGCAATGTTAGATCTGCGAAATTGGAAATAGAAATAGACTCGGGACATAGCCTTGCGGAAACGAATGAAAAGAATAACAAGCTTGAGTGGGATGCTTTCTTGGCACCAATTTCTTCGGTTTGTGGTGATAAAATTGACTTATCTATAGAAGATTTAAAGTTGTTAAATATCCAAGAGAAAACTATCAGACCAGGCGACAAAATTGATATTGAAATGACGATTGTAATAATAACAACAGGCTCTTTTAAATTGCCTGAAAAAAGTGGCAATGAAGTCAACTTTAAGTTTGGTTTAATCTTTTCCAACGATAAAGTTTATCAGGCAAACGATGATCCAATCATAGTGCAAAATCATACGTTACAAATTCAACAAATGGAAATTTCATCTAAAAATAACTTACGAACTACAATCCAATTAAAATCTGTTGAAATTCCATTGATAAGATCGCTATCTGATTTCTGTTGGAACAAACCCTATGTAGGTATAATTGTAGACGCTTTAAATGTTGTGTCAGAGGTGAATGAAATAAATAACTTGGATTTGGAACAAGTAATATACGATTGCGGTGAAAACGTTAATGAATGTACACAAAATTTACACAAATGCCATGTAAATTCAACTTGTACAGATGCCAATTATAATTTACAAAGCTATTCTGGTTCACCTTATACATGTACTTGTAATAAAGGTTTCATCCAAAGAGGAAGAGATTGTCAAAATGATAATGAATGTATTCTCTACGAATCTGTATGTAAACAGAAGCATGAAAATGCTAAATGTATTGATGCTATTGGCTCGTATGAATGTGGTTGTAAGGATGGCTATAGAAGAGTGAATTTTAATCCTGCTGCAAACACTTACTCGTGTGAAAATATAGACGAATGTGTTGAAAATTTGCATAATTGCACAGAAAATTCAACTTGTGTCGATAATTCTGGCTCCTACAGTTGCGTTTGTAAACCTGGCTTTGAAGGAGATCCTTTTAATTGTACTGATATAAAAGAATGCACACCGACCTCTTGTAATTCGAGAGGAAATTGTACTGAAAATGGAAGCGGTGTTAAGTGTGAATGCTTTAATTCTACCTACGAAGGAAATTTATGCGAAATAGCTCATGGAGGATGGTCCGAGTGGACAGCGTGGTCTTTATGTTCCTCAGATTGTGATATGGGCTATAGCAAAAGGGAAATTATATGTAATAATCCGGCTCCAGAGAACGGTGGAAGACCGTGTAAAAAAGAGCCAGGGAAAACCTATGCTGAATATAAAAATTGTACTGGAAATGGCACATGTATAGCTAATAGAGTAAAGTGGTGTGAAAAGAATCCATGTTTCACACAAGACAATGGGATGTGCTCTTATATAGACACAGGAAGGAATTATAAATGCGAATGTAAATATGGTTTCACACCCTTAATGAAAAATGGCGTTTTTCAAAGATGTAGAGACATAAATGAGTGTACAGAAGAAGAGGCTCCTCAAACATTGATACACGATTGTTTAGCGCCAAATAGTCTTTGCCTTAATACTTTAGGATCCTTTAAGTGTGTTTGTAAAAGTGGCTTTGAAGGTGATGGAGTAAATTGTACAGATATTGATGAATGTAAAAAATCTCCCTGTCCGAAAACAACAATATGCACGAATACATTGGGTTCATATACTTGTTCTTGCCCCAATAAATATAGACCTATAAAAGATTCTTCGAACAAACTTAAAAGTTGTCAAGAAATACGATTGATGGAATACGGCGAAGCGGAAGGAGACAAATTATTATTAAAGATAAGCAGAATTACCAGAGAAAGATTATCAGAAACACTGAAAATTCCTGGAGGTATACCTTTAGACGATGGTAAAATATATTCGGGAGTATACATATCAGAAAACGGAATTATCGCCTTAACCTATGAGAGATTGCTTGTTAAACCAACATTTTCTTACCCGAAAGTCTTTAAAGAGCTAAAACTACCAACAGGGATAGGAATGTTGCTAGCTCCATTCTGGTCGGATATTTCAAGCACATCAAAATTCTACAAAATATGGTACAATGTATACGAAAATAATAATGATGCTAAATATGAGAAGATAAAGAATATAGTCCTTTCAGCATATAATGTATCTTTTAAACCGAAATGGCTTTTGAAAGTTACATGGGATACCGTAGCACCCGCTTACGAGTCACTGTATATCGAAAAGAACACTTTCCAAGTTATTCTAGCAACTGACTTTAAAGAAAGCTATTGCGTATATTTGTATAAAGAAAACGAAATGAATTGGATCCCCACTTCATTTAACTCGAGAGATATAACAAATTTATATGAGGGATATCCGGCAAGAATGGGTTATATAAGAAATGATAAATACTTTGAACATAAATTATCAGCCACATGGACAAGTACAAATGATAATGTCTATAGAATGGACTTGAATCCCCTGCAAAGAGAGTTAAATATGACTAAAGGCATTTTCGTTTTTAACTTGAATCATCCCAATTCAACTGTTACTGGGGATGAAAATAAGATTAAATGTTTTGAGGCTCTATCTGCAATGAAGGGCAAAGATGAAAGCTGGAAGGACATATTAAAAGATTCATGTCCACCATCTTTAAGAGTTGTCCAAGCTTTACCATCATTCACGCTAACATTTGAAAAAGAATCGAGAAAGTGCTTCAGGAAAATTTTGACAAGTCAAACAGTAACGTGCTGCTATTCTCCAACATCAGAAGCATTTCTTAGCAAAGTTGACGAATCATTGCAATTCGAATATCAATCGCTTTTGCACAAATATAAATGGAATTCAGCAGATCATTCGAAAGATAAGGATGCATATTCTTCTTGCTGTGGGGTTCTTTGCACCCCTTCAAAATCAAACTGCTGGCAATGCAATGAATACAAAACTAATAGAGGCGGTTTATCTTCGTCAAAATATAAAAGTGAAATCTCTGCTTTGATGTTTGGTAGTATGCATTTGAGAAATGTTAAAGGTGAACAATATTCCATGATGGCGTTTGGAGAATTTGTTATAATGAAAACAGCTAAATTTGAGATGCAAGTTAGAACCCACCGTTTAGGAGAGAAACTATCTTCAATATCTGCAGTGGCAATTAAAGAACTTAATAATGCTGCAATAGAGATTTATTGGCAAAATGATTTACCTCTAAAAGTAGTTAGCCAGTCCAAAGAAATTGATGTGGGGGAAGTTAGTATAGGCAACGCCGAAGTTATTAACAGCGGATATTCAATTGTCATTTCCTACACTTCTGACTGTTCGGTAAAGATAATAAAAAGCGAGAAAGGGTTAAATATGCTACTCTCCACAGCTGATAGTGTGGAAAACTTTAAAGGAATTTTGGGCGAATCACCTATTTCCGCTGATACTTTTACAAAGTGGTCACTTAGAAAATTAGTTGGACCAACATACGCAACCAAGCGATCGTTATTTAGCGTATACAATAAAGAATTTATCTTCAACTCAGCCAATAGATACTTTAGGGAAAAATTCTTACCACAAGCTTCTGAAATTGATACTGAAACAATTACTGGAATTTGTATTGGACGTCAGTCAACTAGCATTAAATATTGTCAACACGATTTAAAAGTAACTAATAATGATAAATTCGCAAATGAAACTGCTAATTTCGTAGAAGATATGGTGAAAAATCTAGAAATTATCAAAAATTTACCACCTACTACACCTCAGCAAACGATTAACGTAATCATAGGTCAAGAAAAAGTCTTCTCAATGACAGCAGAAGATAAGAATCAACAAGATATTAGCTTTACTGGTAACATTGTAGATGCTCTATCTGGTAGTATAAGCATTGAACAAATTCAAAAGGTTTCAAGTGGAATTTTCTCAGCAAATGTGAAATTTACCCTAAATAAACCGAATAGAATACAGATAACGATAGCGAATAGTTTTGGAGCTAAATTCGTTTGGTTTCCTAATTTAGTTATCTGCAATTGTAAAAATCATGGTACTTGCGATTTTAGTTCTCTTAGATATGAAAATAATATGATATTTGCAAAATGTCAATGTAAAACAAGTTGGTTTGGAGATTTATGCGATAAAGATTTAAATGTTTGCGAGACTGAACGACTGTGCTATGGTAAATGTATTGATAAAAATGTTACAGATGTCAATCAAAATGAATACGAGTGTTCACCTTGTTCTAAAACTAGAGTGGCGACAACAACTAATTGTTACGATTTTAATGAATGCTCTCTTAGCTCAGAGAATCCTTTACGAGCCAAATGCGAGCATAATTGTATCAACACCGATAAAAGTTATAATTGCTCTTGTTATAATGGCTATTTTCTTCACGCTGATGGCTACTCCTGCAAAGATAAAAAAGAATGCCTAAACGGTGAACTTAATGACTGCGGTGTTGGTAGCTTTTGCAAAGATGGAAGCGGATCGTATGTGTGCGAATGTCCGAGGGGCTATGCACTAACGGAAGAAAAAACCTGCCAGGATATAGACGAATGCTTGGAAAATAATGGTGGTTGCGAACGACTATGCATTAATAAGTTAGGAGGATATACATGCGATTGTGGTTGGGGTTATCAATCATCGAATGAAGTTGAATGTACAAAACGAGATCTTTGTTCTTACGATGAAGAATGTGATGACGTATGCACAGCAAATGGAGCTCACTATACTTGTGGTTGCGGAGCAGCCTCTGTGCTGGATGGCTATACTAGATGTATGCCTAAAAAGAGTTGTAACTCTTTGAACTGTGACGGAGGTTTTTGTCAAGCAGTGACAGACATTCCTGACAAATGTATTTGTCCGAGTGGATGGGAGTTAGACAATGCTAATATCACACTATGCGTAGATATAGACGAATGCTCAATAGGTAGCTTCAATTGTCCTGAAAATAGTAATTGTGAAAATACAATGGGAAGATACAGCTGCAGATGTAAAGATGGCTTTAAATCTTTTGGATCAGGAACAATGTGCTTAAATATAGATGAATGTGAATTAAACATTCATAATTGTAAACATTTGTGTCAAGATACTGAAGGTTCTTTCATATGCACATGTCCGAAAGGTTTTGTTGAAGGTAGGAATGGAAGTTGTTATGATGTTGACGAATGTGGATACGCTGTGGCAAATGAATGCTCGGAAAAGGCTACCTGTAGAAATATGAACGGTAGCTATGCTTGCACCTGCATGGATGGCTTTGTGGGAGATGGTATAACCTGTGTCGATGTTGAGGAATGTCTTGAAAACAATGGTGGCTGCTCAACCTACTGCGAAAACACACTCGGTTCTTTCGAGTGCTCTTGCTCTTCTGGCTACGTGCTGCATCAAGATGGTAAAAACTGCCATGATGTTAACGAATGCCTCTTACCGAATAACCCTTGTAAGCACTTTTGCATGAATACTCAAGGGTCATACCTGTGCACATGTCATCCTGAATTTCATCTACACAAAGATAAAATCTCCTGCGTTCTCAATGAATCGTACGCTTGCAACCTCCAATTAGCTTGCGGTAGCTCAGGCGTCTGCGCAAAGAGAAACGGTAACGACACTTGTATCTGCAATAAGGGTTTTACTTTTGATGGTATTGGATGTGTTGACTTAGATGAATGCATAAGCAACCCTTGTAAAGGTCTTGCAACTTGTATCAATAAAGAAGGTTCTTATGAATGTCAATGTCCTGATGGTTATAGACACGATTCTTTTCAATCGGGTTGTATCGACATAGACGAATGTACAGAAAATTTGCATACATGTTTAGCAGGAACTCAGTGTATAAACACAAAATCCAGCTATACATGCAAATGTTTACCAGGCTTCAGAAAAAGAAATGAAACATATTGTATAGATTTGAACGAATGTATTGGTGAAGATCCCTCTGCCAGGGGTTGTACTGATATTGCACTTTGTACAAACACGCCCGGCTCCTACAACTGCAGATGTAAGCCTGGGTATTTAGGAGACGGGTTTACTTGCAAAGACATAAACGAATGCCTGACTAGTCCTTGTAAACTCACTGAAATGTGTATAAATACTGAAGGCAGTTATATGTGTGAATGTCAAAAAGGTTATAAGAAAGTCGGCGACGATTGTGTGGATGTAGACGAATGCTCAAGCAGGTAAGAATACCTACAATTATAAATATGATATAAGAATAAGGTGCATGTTTCGATATGCTCTCTTTGTAGATCAATTAGCGGCTGTGAATTAGATTGTAAAAATACTCAGGGATCGTACAGATGTTTCTGCCGACAAGGATTTAGGTTGGGTAGCGATGGCAAAAAGTGTATCGTTGCGGACAAATGTTTCGATGAGAATGTAGCTAATGCTTGTGAACAATTATGTGTTCAAAAAGATGGTAGCGATTGGTGTGAGTGCAAAGGAGGCTTCTTGGTCGATGGAAATGTATGCGTTGATATTGACGAATGCACAACGGACGATCCAGAACACAAGCATCAATGTAAAGACCATTCAACGTGCTTGAACACAAAAGGTGGCTACAACTGTACATGCGATAGATATTACATCTTAGACGCAGATGGCAGAGCTTGCTCTCAAACCGATGGCCAATGGAGTACATGGTCTGCTTGGAATACATGTTCGAAAGCCTGTCATGGTAGAAGGCAGAAAAGTCGCAAATGCGACAAACCACCTCCATCTCCTGGAAGAAGATGTCCTGGAGAGAGTCTTCAATATGCTCTATGCAACTACAAGTCTCCAAGTTGCTATGCTATAAAGAGTGAAGCGGATAAATCAGTTATACTTGATTTCAAATCATTATTGCCTATTCTTTGGGAGACAATAGAATCAACAATTTTTAATGTCTTCTGCAAACAGCTTCAATCGTATTGTACTGCTAATGCTGAGCAATATAGGGAATGTTGCCTTCAAGATCCACCTAACCCTATAAACAGCTTAGATAAGTATTGCTTTGGCAAAGACTTTCATACTGCTACTGCATATCCAAGATATATACCCAACGAAAGCGGGGCCAGAGTAATGATATTTGCTCTGATAGATAGGAATAATGAGCTTTGTAAGATACCTCTACCTGTAGATGACAAAAATTCATCGTCGTCGTCAACAACGTCTAGAAAGAAGAGAGATATAAATAAATTTGACGTCCCTAACACCATTTTAGAAAAGATAATTAAAACAACTGAGAGTCAAGAATCTATAGGAAAAGCAGTTAAAGAGTCCACAGGTGATCCCTTCTTGGCTGCACAGTCACAGTCGTATCTAGCTCAAAAAGGGTTCCTAGAAGATACAAAACCCACTGAAATTCCTCCAATGCCTGTTGATAACGGCCTATCCGCTCATGTTGTAGCCCTGGCAGTTTTCTTTTCGCTTGTAGCAGCTTTTACTTTGGTTGTAACTCTCATCTACTTACTGAGAAAGCAAGATGATAAGAAACATGTTAATGAAATGCTTAGACTCGCTGTTTCGCCTGACTTGTCCATCGGAGATAGATTCTATCAGGGGACAACACCTGCCCCCAAAACTTCCGTCACGCCAATCAGTATACGCGAAACCCCAATGATTGTAAATAGTCCCAGAAACTTGACTCATTCTCCGAGACCTGCTCATACACCTCTACCTAACCAAGTACCACACGATGAAAATGAAAAAGCCCCACAAAACCCAGAATTACAAAGACCTGAATCTATTATGGATAGAGAAGAAGTTGCACAAGTAGAAAAAGAATTAGAGGAAATATGCGCCCTACCACCTGATTCAGACGATGAATCTGGAATAGGTGTCGATAAAAAAACACCAATCGCACCCTGTCAACCAGATGAGTAAATGCAACTGAGTATATGACAGCACTTGATATAAACAGTTCACTTATGTAAATGTTCTTTATAAAATTTATTACTTAAATCAACTTAACTAAAAACGGCTTATAAATTATCAAAGACCTTTGTTAAAGTTTGGTGGCCCTTAAAAGGGCCTTTTGTTTTAAAATATCTCAAATCGCATCTTAAGCTCTTTCTCCGCGGATTCTTCTTGCCAATTGAATATCTTTAGGCATGATAGTAACACGCTTGGCGTGGATAGCGCACAAGTTAGTATCTTCAAATAGACCAACCAAATAGGCTTCGCTAGCTTCCTGAAGAGCCATAACTGCAGAACTTTGGAAACGTAAATCGGTCTTGAAGTCTTGAGCAATTTCACGAACCAATCTTTGGAAGGGTAATTTTCGGATGAGCAATTCAGTCGATTTCTGGTAACGACGGATTTCTCTCAAAGCTACAGTACCAGGTCTGTAACGATGGGGTTTCTTCACACCTCCAGTTGCTGGAGCACTTTTACGTGCAGCCTTGGTTGCCAATTGTTTTCTTGGTGCTTTACCACCAGTAGATTTACGAGCTGTTTGTTTGGTACGGGCCATTTTACTGACAAGTCAATTCAGATGAACCAAAATTTCAGAGTGAGGACTAGAGGCGAAGTAGCTTCTTATATACACTTTTTTTGGCGGGAATATCACGTGGCCAGAAATAACGACCGCTGATTGGTTAGTCGCGAGATCGAGATAAAAAGGCGGGAAAATCGGGCGCCAAAACTGATCACGTGATCTAAACGACCGATTCTGATTGGGCAGCCGCGAGAAAGACTTGAAGATTATGAAACTTTTAAAAATCATTTTCTAGCACAGAAAGTGCATGAAATGCATAATCAGGTGATTGTTTCTACAATAATTTTTCAAGACAATTCTAGCCTTGGTAGTAAATCTACTGATGCCAAACAAACAGCTTGTGAATACACTGGAGCCTTAAAATTTCATACAATAATTTGAATTCATCAGTGCTAAATTTAACTCATGCGCAGGTGTACCAAATATCCTACATGCTCTAAATAACAATAGCGAAAGTATCGGCGGGAAAATGTTGGCGATAATAAGTGAAATTTGCTTAAGTTCAAGTTTATTATTCAGTTGTAAATGATAAAGACAGTACTCAGAAGTTGTTTATAATATTAATGCGTTACGTATAAAATCATCAACTAAAAATCTTTGATATAATTTGGTGGCCCTGAAAAGGGCCGTTTTTTTGTTTTTAAATAGACGTTGAGTCGGATTTAACCACCGAAACCATAGAGAGTACGTCCTTGGCGTTTCAAAGCATAGACGACGTCCATAGCAGTAACAGTCTTTCTTTTGGCGTGTTCTGTGTAGGTTACAGCATCACGGATGACGTTTTCCAAAAACACCTTGAGTACCCCACGAGTTTCTTCATAGATGAGACCAGAAATACGTTTTACACCACCTCTTCTTGCGAGACGACGAATAGCTGGCTTGGTGATACCTTGGATATTATCTCTCAATACTTTTCTGTGACGCTTAGCGCCTCCTTTTCCCAATCCTTTGCCTCCTTTGCCACGTCCAGACATAATTAAACTTTTTCTTCAGTAGACTCGAACTTCCGAAAATGAATGTTGGTGTGTTGGAAGCAACGCTTTTTATACACATGTAAATCACGTGACCCTCAGTGAGGCGCGCTGATTGGCTAAACGGGAAAGCAACATACAGAAGACGATCCAAGCAAGTTATACGGAAAAAACATCCATCTTTGCATGTTGCATACATACATAAGCTTGTTAAGCTATCCCTTTATTTAATTTTTTTATTTAAACATTCTGAAAACACTCTGAATTCTAATGCAGCAATATACACCAAAAATTTTAAAGGCAACAATAAGTGGACTTGTATTTTTCCATTGCAAAATGTACTATATATGTACGCACATCAAGTATAAAGTGTGTGTAGTATACAGTATACGATTATTTGTGAATAAGTTATCGTTAACTGCATAAATAAGAACACCTAAAATCAGTCAGGAAGTCTATTATAGTCGAAAGAGGAGGGGAGAGAGAGCAAAGTATATCTTATGATAATGTGTATAAAGTGTAAGTCGATGATATGAAAATCGTCATCGTCTTCAATCTTATAACTAAGTTAGTAGATTGTAGATTGTTTGTATATAGTTTTGTTTATTGAAATTGAGAATATTTCCTTATATTCAATAAATTGTTTGCGCGATATACAGTGTATTTCACCTAAAAAGAGACTAAGAGAAGAGATATAGATGGAGTGAAAGAAAAATTATTCAAATTTTTTATTAGCATATAGACGACATTATAGATGTTAGCGATGGATGTAATGTAGACAGAGAAATAGTAACAAACTATATGGTATATAGTGCAATATAATTGAACATCTTGGAAAGAGGTCAGGTCTTGAAACTCTCCTTCATTTTGGAAAATATAAAATTTCCGTAATTATGTTGATTTCTCTTGGCTTAAGTGACTTTATAATGGTTTGTCTGTATTAATAATAATAACAACAACAATAACAATTTTTGTATGTTCCGTCGTCTACCATAAGTGTTTGATAAGAGATCAATCGTTTTAAAATTTTTTTCTATAAGACAGCCTAAGCGAAAGCTGTTAAACGGGGAAAGGAAGTACAGTGAAAGTGACCGTTAACGTTATTTAGGCTTTCATTGTAATTTGAATTTTGTACGTTAAGTTGGAACTTGGTTATCAGAAAAAAAGAATGCAACGAAATCATTCCTTCAGAATTTGTGTGTATTTTTAAAGATTTTATGGCTTCTTAACAAAATTTATTTAAATGAACAAAAAGCGTTGACTAAAAAATATAAATACAACAAGTACAAGTTTTTTTAAACTTTGGTAAGATATGGTGGCCCTTAAAAGGGCCGTTTTTAAAAAGATATCGCTCTTTTTCAAGTCATCTACTTGGCGCTGGTGTATTTAGTAACAGCTTTGGTTCCTTCAGATACAGCGTGCTTAGCCAATTCACCAGGAAGGAGAAGACGAACTGCGGTCTGGATTTCTCTTGAAGTAATGGTTGATCTTTTGTTGTAGTGGGCAAGTCTCGATGCTTCAGCGGCAATTCTTTCGAAGATATCGTTAACGAAAGAATTCATGATAGACATAGCCTTGGAGGAGATTCCAGTATCGGGATGGACTTGTTTGAGAACCTTGTAGATGTAGATAGCATAAGATTCCTTCCTCCTTCTCTTCTTCTTTTTGTCCGTGCTACGGACAGCTTTAGCCTTGGAGGCTGCTTTCTTCGATCCCTTGGATGCTGCTTTTCCACCGACTTTAGGAGGCATGATTTGTTATTGTATGCAAAATACAACTGATGCTGGACTGAACGAGCGCAGGAGCTTTTATACAACGCGTATGCAAATTAGTTGTCTTGTCGCCTTCGCGGGTCCTATACTGCTTTGTGATTGGTCGGATTTGCTGCGCGCTGATTGGACGTTCGATTTTCTATTGAAAGTATACATTTGTTAAAGCTTTACTAGTAAAACTCTAATATATGTGACAAAAATCTCCTTTAGTTATAAATTGGTTGAAGTGAGGTTGATTTTTTAATTGTTAAATGTATTTTAAAAGAATTTATTTTGTATACATGGTTATATAATGGCCGGTGGTGATTTGTCGATATTTCCGACTTGCTGATTGGTCGAAAGATATTTGCAAATTAGTTGTCTGCGAGCCTTCGCGAAAACGAGGCAGATTACTGATTGGATAATTGCGAGAGACTCTTGAAGCTAGGCACATATATATATATAAGGCTATAATCAGACGGTTCACTACTTTCGTGGGTTAATTTAAACAATTGCCGTAAGATAAGGAATGTCTGGTCGTGGTAAAGGAGGAAAAGCCAAGGCTAAGGCCAAATCAAGATCATCCAGAGCAGGGTTACAATTTCCTGTTGGTCGTATTCACAGAATGCTTAGAAAGGGAAACTACGCTGAACGTGTCGGTGCAGGTGCTCCAGTTTACTTGGCAGCTGTTATGGAATACTTGGCCGCTGAAGTTCTCGAATTGGCAGGAAACGCCGCCAGAGATAACAAGAAATCACGTATCATACCTCGCCATCTCCAATTGGCCATCAGAAACGACGAAGAATTGAATAAGTTGTTGTCCGGTGTAACCATTGCCCAAGGTGGTGTTCTACCCAATATTCAAGCTGTACTTCTCCCCAAGAAGACTGCTGCTCACCACGATTAAACGTTATTAGCGTTTAACGAACAACGGCCCTTTTAAGGGCCACTAAATATTAACAAAGATCATCTTTTTACACGAGTTTGTGTTGTTGAAAAAAGTAATATATTGCTTAAAAACAACCTATAGTTTTATCGTCGACAAAAATATATCATACACAATTTGTTATGATTGTATTTCATATTTCCTGTTTTTAGAGAATAAAAAGAAAAACAATCAATTTCTTTTTTATTAGAATTTATTAATTGCCATTTTCAGTAAAACAAATTTAATGATCATCATAACCAGGCATTGGGAATCCTCTGGCGAAGGATTCTACTTCTCCTCTCAGCTGTTTCAGCTTTTGTTTTGTCGTTTCGTCATTTACAACGTGTTCCTTGAATTCTTTCAAGTTTTTCGTTTTCGCTTGAACTTCCTTTGAGAGTTCTACGGCTTTATCGAGGAAGTCGCAAATTTTTTCGAAATCCTTTTCGTTAAAGTTACGTGAAGTTAAAGCGGCTGATCCCAATCTTAATCCACTGGGAACCAAGGCACTTTTATCTCCGGGGCAGGTGTTTTTATTAATAGAGATGTTGACGAGTTCACAAACTCGTTCAACTCTCGCACCATCAATTCCTTTGGGACGAAGATCTACTAAGACGAGATGGTTATCGGTTCCACCAGACACTAACGAATAGCCTCGTTTTAGGAGACTATCGGCCATAGTTTTTGAGTTTTTAATAACCTGTAGAAGAAAAAAGACATTTAGAGTATTTATTACATTGTTGAATCAAGCCAACCAACCTGCTTTTGATATTCAACAAATTCAGGAGACAGGGCTTGTTTCATTGCTACGGCAACACCGGCTATGGTATGTTGGTGGGGTCCACCTTGTAAACTTGGAAAGACGGCAAAGTTAATTCTTTGCTCGAAATCGTACTTAATCTCTTTGCCATTCTTATCAACACCTTTCGTTCCCTTTCTGAAAAAGATTAGACCAGCTCGAACACCTCTCAAAGTTTTATGAGTAGTTGTTGAAACAACGTCAGCGTATTCGAATGGCGATGGGACGACTTTAGCGGCGACTAAACCAGAAATATGAGCCATATCAGCCAGCAAATACGATTTACTGACATTGCAAATTTCCCTGAAGCGTGCGTAATCGAGGAGACGAGAATACGCACTTGTTCCTGCAATTATCATTTTTGGTCGGAATAGGCGAGCCTGTTCAGCAAGAGCATCGTAATCGATAGTTCCGGTTTCCATCTATAAAAGAGAGAGAGGAATGGATGATGTTTTTTCATTGAAAATTGAATATTATAATATTATGTCCTTACGTTCAATTGATATGGCATACTTTCAAAGTAGATACTAGTTGAAGAGATTCTCTTTGCGTCAGTCATGAAACCATGCGTCAAATGACCGCCATGAGGTAGGTCTAAGCCCATTACACGATCGTGTGGTTTCAATAGGGCGGTGTATACAGCAAAGTTAGCTGGACTTCCAGAATATGGTTGCACGTTTACACCCCATTTCGCCGGATCTAGATCAAACGCTTGTAAACATCTCTTTTGGCAGAGAAGCTCTACTTCGTCTACAACTTCGGTACCGCCATAGTATCTGTTTGAAAATTTAATTTAGGTCAATCGATACATTCCATTACAAGTATTATTTCTTTGAATTCTTGAAGTTTTAAAGGATTTTTCAGTAATTTTTATAATTAAACAATTAGTTTCCATTACCTAGATCCTGGATATCCTTCAGAATATTTGTTATTCAAACAACTGCCCATTGCCTCCAGAGCGGCTCTAGATGCGAAATTTTCGGATGCGATCAGTTCCAAACCGGATAATTGGCGATCCTTTTCCATTTCAATTAATCTTTTTATTTCGGGATCGTCTTTTGCTAAGCTTTCGGTTCCGCTCCATAATTGACGGCTGGACTGGCAGAATGCCGACTAAATATGAAAGAAAGATTTTAGTTTTCTAAAGTATCTAATATATATGTAAAATATTAATGTAAACCTTACCTTGACAAAATTATTTCTTGAAATTAATCTTATCATGCTTTTTTTACCGATTAAATGACTGAGCACGCCTTATAGTTTCCCAATGATTAAATACGAGAGGAAAATTCCAAGTGCTGACCTTGTTGGTGGCGTCATCTATATCTCGATACATTCTATTACATATTGAAAAGCGGTGAACTGTCTTTTTTCGTTTTTCGATCTATTCTCTTAAAATATAATTTCAACGGTTTGATCGTATTCATTACGCTGAAAAATTACTATCAATGGGAAGTGTTCAGTCATATAGTTTTGATAAGAAATCAAGTCATAATGACTTCTATACGAAAAAAGAGTGAGAAAAAAATATGAATATTAATGTATCTTTCGGCGGGAAATTTTAAAATTACGTAATAATATAATATACAATTAACATATTTTAACGAGAACCTTTAGTTTTATGAGAAGATTTTATTAGTTTATAGAGAAAAACATGAACATTATTTTTATTGATTACATTTGAATAAGTTTAATGACCGATGTGTTTTTAAATTAAAATTATTTTATACCGATCATATTCATGAGTACATCGATTTTTCAAGCAGTTAACGGCAGTTACCCTTAATAACAGTCCTATAATGCTTCAAGTATAACGCGGAATAGTAGCAAAGGAGACTTCCTAACAGAGATAAAACGTGCATTATCTGATGACTTTGAAACTGTATTGGAAATTATAAGACAAGAAATGTTAATAATAGAGAAGTCAATTACTTACAAATAAATCGCATTTTCCTGGGAATTTTCTTTCGGGGAATTTCAGTGCGTATAAAAATCCACCACCAAAGTATAAAGAACCCATTGGAAGACAATAAGCAAAGACCTGAGCTGCTTTTGAGTCATACATAGCTTCTGCGAGTAGGAAGTGACCAGCGAATACGAATGATACTGCTCCAATCGAAAAAAACACTGATATTCTTTTGGTGTGTCCCTGCGGTCTCAGGAAATCTTCTCGTATAACCATTGTCAACCCTAACAAAAGAACCAATACGATAAAGAAGAAATAGATCTTCACTGTTAATGAGCAATAACAAAAGCAATAATAAACGAAAGGAGACCAGGAGAGTATAGTCATGCTTATGATGCCGCAATAATCCATCTTTGCCAAGAATCTGCAAACTTGCTTGGAATAGCAAATAAACGTATGATAGGTACTTGATATAGTCATACATCCAATATTTCCAAGGAAGAAGAGAGAAAAGAACAAAGATTCTTGGAAACTTTCTGAGCTATTTAAATGACGAATGAAGAGAATTACCATTATTACTGCTGCAATTAAATGAGTCCAGATATTTCCAGTTTCAGAATGAAGCATGAACATTGAACGGATACATTCTTTAACAGACTTCAATTCTGGTCTATGATGCCTTTTTAAGAATAAATTATCTTGAAGATAGCCTGGTAATTCTTCTACTTTCTTCAGTTTCCATTTTTTTTTATGTCGAACCATTGCAGCTAGAGCGTCGAATGACGTAGACCACATTGCGATTTTATCTGTTTTTTTTTTTTTCTTTTTGCTGCGTTTAAAAATATGTTACACTTGTGAAGCTTATGAACTGCCATCATTTGCGGATAAACGGATAAACCGATAATTCTATTAATACTTATTGCGTAATAACAGCGATTACCTATAATCAGGTTTGTAATAATTAAATGATCATCAACTCATTAAAAGTTAAAATCAAGATGCAGATCAACAAAGTTGTTAACGATAATACGCAGTTTCTTACAGATTGACTGTTTATTAATTAAAATATTTTTTAATAAAAATATAGTTTACCTTCTTTGTTTAATAATTAAGGCAGAATACTGAACTGAACTTACAATCCAGGTGAAATATGATAATATTTCTCTCTGTTGTTTGAAAAAACCCTACGGGTCGTTGCTATTGCTCAATAGTTGCTTTTCTAAATGCGCATTCAGTTAGATGGCCGCTTGCGTACTTATGTAAACATTTCCGCTATGCTCGGTCTATATTTACTCTACTGTTTGCTAAACTTTACTTTTAACTTTACGATTTGCAGTTTAGATACATTATACCACTATTCCTTGTAAGTTATTAATTTTTGTTATCGTGTTGGTTTATTAATATACTTATCATTGATTTAAAGTATTTTCTTTCATAAAATAGCTTCATTTGCATAGTTTTCTTTATCACGTAAAATCGACATTTTTACAAACAACTTTTGACTTTTGTCTCTGCTCTTGTATTTAATAACATCCTCCCCTGATCAAGATATATTAATATATGTTATACTGTATATCTGATGCAAACGATTATACCTGACACACTTGTCAAATTGATAGTATTACTAGTATTACAATAATTTATTCAATACTTGTTTAGTACACGTTTTTCTGTTATGGAAGATGAACAATCTCTTTTTGGGAAGATTACAATCAACACGCGAAATAATAAAGAATAAAAGGATTGAAATAAATAATATATAAACTAAAAAACTCGACGGTTTTGTACTGTAAATAGAATTGTACAAATCGTACAAAAATTGTGTACATACTTAATAACCTGAGGAGGAAATATTACACTCAGACTACCTACCCATTCACAACATTTACATATATATATATATATATATATATATGTATATACAGTATAATAAGAGTATATTTCTTAAATAACAAGAAAATGAATAAGATATTTAATTATTATTTAAAAACTATTAATTTTTGTATATAAATATATACATATATAAATGTCTATATATATATATATATATATATATATATATATAATGTATATTTCTATATACATATATATATATAGACATTTATATCATATAATTTAAATACATATCTATAAATTTATATATATAAAAAATAAAACATTCAGATAGTAAAAAAATAACTAGACACTCTCTAATACTCTAGGGAGCAGTAAAGAATCAACGAAAAGACCATTCCAGATATCTGAAATTGAAAAAAGGTTTTTTTTAATTGTTTTATAGAACAATTAATATGTTTTTGAATGTACTTACCAATGCTATTGCAACACCAAATCCGAAACCGATGATAAAGATGACGTGTTCCTTTAAGAATTCAACGGCTCGCGAATAGCAGCCCTTCATTGAGGAAGAGATCAATATATTAGTATTTTATAGCTATTTCAATATTAAATCACACTAGGTAAAAGGGAAAACAAGAAAAGCGAAATAGAGAGATACTAGCATCTACATACAAAGGCTGGTGCTATAAACTATTGACAATTCTTGCCTCAGCAAATCAATTACCTATCATTTCATGCTAGATCTCATATAAATATCATTTTCATTTATTTGAATTATTCTCTGGGTAATAGATTTGACTTGGAGCAAGAATGTGCCGAGCGCGATATTAAAATGAAAGAGGTGAAAATACAGTGCAATATGAAATATAGACGCTCCATTTCCAAAGTATATCATCTTTTGTACCTTATGATAAACCATGGGATTTGAACTCCCACCGGGTTTTGTAGGTGGACCAAACTGGTATGTCTGGCATTTTTCCTTATCCAAAATTGTATCCTTGTATAGATCAACGTAACAGCAGCTTTCAGGAACGCGTGGACGATTCTTATCGTCTATAAATAAGGCATATGAATAATCAATTATGGATTAGAATTCATCTTTGCCTTCATGATACACTGTAAATCGTCGACGTTTCAATATTGATAAAACAATTAAAGGATCATTCCCCTTGTACCTCATTTTTGATTGACAAAAAAATCATTCAAGCAAATATAATAGAAACAGAGAGCGAAATTATTATTTTTGCATTTATTGTAAAATATTCCTAGCTTTATTTTTTGTTTTTTTGCAATATTGTAATCAATAGGGCATTCTTTTAGTACCTTACGATAGTACGTATAATTCTCTCGAGCGCCAGCAGGTAACGCTTTATTTTGATACGTTTGGCATTTCTGCTTGTTTACATAGCGGCCAGTGTACAGTATCACTGCACAGCACGAAGACGGTACATTAACGCGCTCGGCACCACCTAGAAAAAGTAGGCAACAATGTATTGAGCGTTAGTCACCTTCATATACAAAAAATTGTTGGGAATTGGTTGTTCATCTCTGGGAGGACCTCCGTCAGGTGTCTGGCATTTTTTCAAATCATCTGAATTATAGTCCTCTCCTGCTACCTTATAGCAGCAAGATTTCGGGACGTAAACTTTGGCATTACCTAGTTATGATGATTATGATTGACGTTAATATCCAAATGCTTATTTCTAGATACATTATCGGTATAGTGCTTACCCCATCTTATACCTTATACGAATTTGTTTGTATGTTTGAATAATCAGTGTATCAATTAGCAATAAATAATTAATCATTTTTCTAACTACTCGACTCACCTACTTGTCCCGGTTGCTGCCGCCACCAATCTGATTCTCTATAATTTCCCCAACCATTATCATCAACAGCGCAACATCTAAGCTGTAAAAAAGATTAAGATATGATATTAATTTCTCTGTTTAGAATAAAATAAATATAATATAATGCATTATTACGTATTCTTGAGCCCTGTCAAAGCCATAGGTAACAGCTTTATTTTTAGCGATGTGTAAATCAACTCCGTATCTCTTTTTCAAGTTGTGCATCATTGTATTCTTAATTTCATCTCGTAACTTTGTTCGCATTACAATTGCCAAGATTGCAGCAACAAACAGGACGCACGTTATGATAAGAAGAGCAATGAAATATATGATAAGGAATATTTTTTTCAGCATCATTGCACCCAAGCACCCAAGAAAGAAGACGGCAAAAATGACAACACCGCAAACTAAAACCATATATAGGCCAGCCCTAAACAAGTCGATTTCAACGAGAGGTGTTAAAAAGTCTCTATCGACTACCAGCCATATTCCAACTCCTATCATTGCCGCTCCAGCCATCTATAAAATTGGAAAAAGGGAGGGGGTTATATTGTTATTTATATAAATACCAAGACAATGTAACTTACGGCAAAAATTAAGTTTGTTACCAATAGAAAATACCGAACACATTGAGCCACATTTGACAACTCTCTTCCTTTGATTCCCATTTTAAAAAGCTGCAAGTAAACATAGTATTAATGAAAAATATTAGATGATTAATGGAGATAACTTTAACAGGTATACGTCTGAGGCTAACTTGGATTTACTTAGGCAATTTAAATATACTAACTTTAATCAAAAATCGAATAGATCAATATATATTTTATGTATTCTTTAAAATATCGGAAAATTCGTTTTAAAAGCCGATTTGTGCGGAAAACCGCACGAAAACACTCGGTAGATAATTCAATTCACACCTGAACTTTTCAGTGATGGAGATCCGAAACAATGTCGTTGCATTTTAAGACTGTAGCTTGTAGAGGAATACAAAATGGCTGCCATTTTATTTTTGTACAAGCTGCCATTTTGATATTACAAATAACGAAGACTGAAGATATTAGTCACGTTTTTAACCTGTTCTAAAGGTAGATTGATATGAGCGAAGACTTCTAGGTAAAGAAGATCTGCCTGTTTTTAGACATAGGAAGATGTTGCCGTCTAAAACGAATGAGCGTATAAGTTTTTATAAATATCTTTTATTTATATTTTCGTCGCTGGCATGGGTAAATATCACTATTCGGTCTTTTTTCGAATTTATTAAAATAATAGATATCTCTATATTATTATTATTAGTAATAAGATTATTAATAAATGTTCATCTTCATGATAGTGTATGGGAGCAACCCTTATAGGAGTTGGATTATGGTTGATTATCGATAGAAACTACTTAACTCATATTATTGGAAGTTCTCTGTTTGAGGTGGCTGCTTACATTCTTTTAGTTACAGGATGTATAACTTTTATCATCTCTTTACTTGGTTGCACTGGAAGCATGATGGAGAACAAATGCTTAATCTTTAGCTATAGTATATGTCTGATTGTAATTGCTGTTGGATTCTTTCTTGGAGGACTTTTGGCTGGTGTCTTCCGTACTCAAATCGGAAATAAAGTCAAAAGTATAATGGAAGATACTTTAAGAGACCAGTATGGAGTTGACCTTCACGAGGAATTCAATAGGGATGTGACAAGGGCTTGGGATAAAGCACAGGAAAAGGTAATGTATTTTGCAATACTCTAACTGAATTAAATATTATTTCTTGTAAAACTGTAATGTTATTATTTACGTAACTTACGAATGAAACTTGATTGATCGTTCGGATATACATTTTTAAGTAATATTCCAATTCCTTTCCATTAATTATAATTATAATGATAAAACAGCTAAGATGCTGCTCTATATATCCCAAAAGTTGGAGTCACTATCAAAATTCTCTGTGGTACGAGAGAGTTGCATTGGATATGAATCCAGGTAGCATCACCAAATAAATTCCCCATATAATCAATCAAATCGATTTTTTATACAAACAAATATCTACGATTTTTAACTTGTATGATTCTAATAAACGCTTATGATTAGCTTTAAAAATTCGCTTTTCAGCTTCGTTGTTGTTCCGTTAATTCGAAAAGCTGGTTCATTTATAGAGAATCAAAATGGTTTAAAGACTTTGGTAAAAAGTCAATTGCTGAAAAAGAGTTTTCGCACGGTATGATTCTATATGTTATTTGATTCTTATTCTTAATCATTCATTAATAATAGCATTAATATTATAAGAAATATGTTGATGATATAATAAGATGCATGCAATTTTATTAATGCTATTACATAATTTAATATTGGTATAATGTGCTTTTAAATATATTTTTAAACGTTATAAAATATAGAGGGACAAAATCCTTATGTACCTTCATCATGTTGCGTAAGAGACGAATACTATAGAGCTGTTAACGAGAGGGTTTGCATGACTTGGAATATTGGACCACCAGGACAACACGAAGGTGCTTTAAACAGAGCTTTATACTACGATGTAAGGAGTTGAAATATATATATATATATATATATATATATATATACTATATAATTGGAAAATGTTAATTTATGGTTTTATGTAGGGGTGTTACGATAAAGGAAAGGAATTTATTCAAGAGCACACAAGCATTATGATTGGCTTGGGAATAACGTTTTGCATATTAATTGCTACTGGCGTTCTTCTCTCCTGCTGCCTAATTCGTAATCTTCGACGAAAACAAGAAATGGTCAAACATTAATGTTCTCCGTAAATGATTTTTTTTAGAATATTTTTTAACTGTATTTTTTTAAAGACGTTTTGTTAGAAGTTTTGACTAGACTGAGGTCTATAAGTTGGTAAATGTTCTCCTAAAAATTGAGCTGTCAAATCACGTCTTGGCGAGCGTTTTTTTAATAAATTTTCTTCAAATTTACCATAAAAACGGGATTTTGGTTCGGCATGTGCACTTCTCACCGGAATATCAAATAGGCCTTCTTTTTTAATTGCTTGTTTAATTTTCTTATGCACTTCTGGGAGAGGATGCTTACGTTCCCATTCGGCTAGGCGGCAATTTGAGTAACAAGTAGAACAAGTAACGTTATTATCGATGGCTTTGGCAATTAATAGTGGGTGACCTGATCGTTTGGCTACGTCAAGGGGTGTCTCATCCTTATAATTTTTTATAGAAACAGACGCTCCATGATTTATTAAACAATTAAAGCATTGAGCTCTACCATATTGAGCGGCTAAGTGGCACGGTGTATCCCCATTAATATCTCGGGCGTGAACATTTGCTCCCTTTTCACACAACCAATGAACAACTTTCTCCGACCCGCATAAAGATGAAACGTGCAGCGAGGTTCTTCGTTTAGATGATCCAGGGGTAACAGACTCTAAACGATTTCCGGTTTCAAGTAGAAATCTTAAACAATCCAATCGATTGTACCTGGCAGCAATGTGTATTGGCAAATTTCCGTCATTGTCCGGCAATGTTGGATCACAATCTCTTTCTACTAGGCTTACAAGACAATTTAATGAACCATGCTTTGCGGCGTAATGCAATGGCAAACGCCCGCTATGATCAGCGCTATCGAGTATTACTTCCTGTTCGTAAAGATATTCAATTATGTTGCGGTGGTTTCGTTCAGCTGCCAGGTGAGATGCTTGAGCGCCGTTTACGTCAGAGGCTGTCAGATTAGCTCCTTTATCTTTTAATAAACGCAGACATTCTAATTCCCCGTGAAATGCGGATGTATGAACAGGAGTTCTTTCCCATTTATCTTTTATATTCACACAATCTTTAGTATGGTCAAGAAGTAATTCTAAAACTCGTAAATGACCTCCTTGACATGCTTCGTGTAGAGGAGTTTGACGAGTTTGTCCCTCGAGTTGAATAGGCTTTCCCTCTTTCAGTAGTTCTTCTACAACATTCTCCTTACCATAACCCGCAGCAGCATTTAGAGGTTCCCTCTTTGAAGGTGTTTCTTCTTCTTCTCCAATATTCCATGTTGGAAGAGCAGCCATTTTTACGGGTTGGCGATTGTTTACGCAGTGCTATAGCAACGACTAATCGCTCCTGCTCTAGACGCAACACTAACCGATTAAAGTTATTAAATAAGAACAAGTTGATCAATTTATTAAAAAAAAATCTTCGAGAGAAGACTCAAATGCTCTTCAATTGCAAATGAACAATAATAATAGAAAAATACAATATTTATCACAAAAAATTACCTCTCCTTAACACGCTGGAATGTATTATTAGTAAACAAGCGTTTAAGCCTACATAATCAATATCGTTAGATTAATATTTTTTCTGTATGATTTATAAACTATAGTTTAGATAAATTCAAGAGGTCAGTAGTATAGTCCCATAATTTCTCACAAACTTCATCATTATTAACCAATTTGGATTCCTTAAAAGGTTTACCGTCCCTAAAGAAAAAGAAAAAATTACTAAATTTTCAATCATTTAATAGATTACAAACGTAAAATAAGATCCGCCGTAGGTTTCTATCCCTTCTTCAATTGAACAATATATAGGAGTTTGAGCACCCTCATTAGCAGACTTACCGACGAATTGAATGGGATTTATCAGTTTAAAAGTCTATTTTTTTTTTGTAAAAACGTATAATGGTTTATAAAATATTATTATTTGTAATTGTATGTAAATAATTACCTTAAATAAAAGATAGTTTGTAAAATCCTTGATTAGACTAAAATGATTAAAAAGGTTTGTCTTTACGGCGCCAGGATTACAGCTGTATGATGTTATACCCATATCTGAAGAATATACAGTATATATATTTTGGTCTTTACAAAAAACTATCGAAAACAATAGACTAACCTTTAAATCTTCTTTGGCATTCTTTGGTAAACATATTCATTGCCGCTTTACTTCTTCCATACAGATAGAACGAAGTCGGAATAAAATATCCAGTTCTAATGTTAAAATCATCAAACATCATATCAGTTGTTAAATTATGGACAAAGGAAGATACATTGACTATTCTACTAGGTGAACTCTTCTTTAGTAGAGGCAGTAGTAAATGTGTCAGAAGAAAGTGGCTCAGGTAATTGACAGCTGTAATCATTTCATAGCCATCTTTTGTATATGCTGTACTGCTTGATAGAATTCCGGCATTATTTAATAAAACATCCAATCTCTGTTCACCTATAATTCATTGTATTTTAAAATACTAATAAATACAAAGGTATTGGTAAAAAAGTATACTTTTATTAATCTTTTCAGCAAATTTTCTCACACTTTCCATTGATGATAACTCTAATTCCATTAGTACCAGTGTCCCTTTATTCGTATCATCATCTTCAATCTCTTCTTTAAGTTTGATGCCGTTTTTGCTACTTCTATAACCTACAATAACTCTTGCACCCCTCTTTATAAAATTTTTGACGCATTCTTTTCCAACTTCATCAGTTCCACCAGTAACAACGATAGTTTTACCAAACAATTCAATATCGCTTTTATAAATGTAAGATTCTCTTAAGCTTTTATTTAAAAAAAATTTACAAACACAATTCTACAGCTTATTCAAACTAAGACTCAACTATAATTCATATTCATTGGCCTGAGCAAGTTCCTTATTCAATAGAGAATGCCATAGCATAACAGCCATAATTGTTTTATTTTTGTTAATGATATATAAATTGAAATTATTGAATAATTTCTGTATTTTAAACGCTACAGTATCTATTATTCACAGTTGTATAATATTATTCGTATAGTTTTCTATACTTTTATGTTACAGCTTACAGCTCAGATAAAAAAATTGAGTTATAGCTGTTAGACTATGAAAACAAATTATTCTTTTTTAGAAACAAACCAGCTATCTCGTCCTATTAGTCTATTATAAAGATATTTTCATTCACAACGTTTTGTTACATTGTTTTAAAATATCTTCATTTATTGCAAATTATTTTCAAGTCATTGGAAATTTATTCAATTTGCAAGCATTGGAACATAAATTGACATTTAATAATTAACATAACTAATCGAATAATGGCAAGCATAACATGACTACAATTTATTGCATCATACATTTGAAGAGGAAAAGTTTAAGTATACTAAAGCCATTTGAACATCTACCCTAACCCTAACTTTAACATCAGTCGATTCATATAATGGACTAAACCAATAACATTTTGTTGCAAAATCTATTATATGGAGTAATATTGTGTTATGGCGAAGAGAAGATTGGTATTATCTAGTATGACTATCTAAATTAGAGAGGATTTTAGTATAAATTGTCATTTAATAAATAACTTTTCTAATTAAATAATACCTTATAAATAATAGCTAACATAACATTGGTATTATGTGTATTACAAAAGGTTAAAGATTTAAAGTTAATTACATTTAATAGATTAAAAAGATGATCAGCTATATATTTAAAGTTTCACGAGTAATGTTCCATAATTTCTCTCTCACTTCAATATTTTGAGCCAGCGTTGACATCTCACTAACTTCACATTCCCTTCATTTAATAATAATTATTGAAAGGCGCTAATTAAATGCATTAGAATATCTTACGTAAAGTATAAGCCCGCTTGTGATTCTAGTCCTCTTTGAATACAGCAGTAGATTGGTGTTTGGGCTCCCTGAACAGGCGTCTTCCCGTGTTTTAACAGAGGGTTCCAACAATCTAATGTCTGAGTGTAAACGAATAGGTAATTAGTCATTAGTCAATGATTTTTGTTAACACTTTACCTAAGTCTTTATTAAAGAAACTTATTACAAGTCAAGCGATTTCTTTAAATTCTGTCCTAGATAAAAGCCTACAAGGGTCTACAAACAGGACAAGAAATAGAACTTGCCATAAATTAATAACCTTATATTGAACAATTCAATAGCAATTGAAATCCTTCTTTGCGTAAATAAGCGATAGTATTTGTTACATTAGTATTATATTTCAAAAAGGTTAATGATGCTTTTCATACCTTATACATTAAGAAACCAATAAACTCGTTGGATAAGTTGTAATTTCGAAAGATTTCTGTTCTAACTGCCCCTGGATGACAGCTATAGAAAGTGACACCCGAATCTAACAGGAAATTTTTACAATGAATACGTTAATTATCAACAATTAAGAAGTACAAACTGGGATGTCTCCTTTGCCATTCTACAGCATACATAACGTTGGCAGCTTTACTTCGACAATACAAATAGAAATCAGAAGGTTTCCAACATCCTTGAAATATTTGAAAATCATCAAACATCATATCGGTGGCAGCATAATGACCCGATGAAGAAACATTTACAACTCTACTCGGGGAGCTTTTCTTTAGCAAATCAAATAGAAGATGAGTTAGTAAAAAGTGGCTTAGAGAATTTGTAGCCAATATAGATTCAAAACCATCTTTAGTATGCGATTTAAGAGCATTTATTATTCCTCCATTATTCAGGAGAATGTCCAATCTATCCTCTCCTTAAAATTAGCATCAGAAGTGAAAAAGATAAACTCAAGAATGATAAAATACTTACTCTTTCTAAATTGTTTTGCAAATTTTCTAACACTTTCCATTGATGATAGATCCATATTCATAAGGATAATCTTTCCAAAAGAACAAGTGTCATTTTCTATTTCCAATTTAACAGCTTCCCCTTTTTTCATTTCCCTACATGGAATAATAACTTTTGCGCCTCTTTTTACGAAGTCTCTTACACATTCCTTTCCAATTCCTGCAGTACCACCAGTAACAATAGCAACTTTCCCTTCTAATGTAACGTCGCTATCGCATTTTGAATGTTTTGCTAAACTTTTAAAATAAGAATGTACTATTAATTGAGAAAGTTTACTTTAATTTATTTACTTTTGTTCGATTTGGGCCGATTCCCAAAATTCTTTATTAGTAAGAACATGCCAAATTATGGAAGCCATTACAAATATCCCTCGAATTTAGTCTCTTAACGTTTGGTATAACTTTTCTTCAAATTTCTTTTAATAGTTATTCGTATGAAGACTTATTTTTGAGTATTTAAATGGTTGGAAACAGGGACATTAATAAGGTCGTTTAGATTGGATAGGCCAAGTATGTTTATATTCTTAGAAATTAAGAAATATTTTGCCATTATAAATAATGGTTAATCAGTGTCAACGATGACACTAAAAAATAACATTCTTAATATATAAAGTATATGTGTAGTACTCTCATCTCTTTTCGTATAAAATAGATAAATCTCTACAATTTCCTTTCTATTCGATGGTTAATTGATCAACCTAAGTTACATATAGGGGTCATAAGAGCTGGAGCGTTGGTCTAAAATCTAGTTCTAATTTAGGACAATCTATTTATAAGATTGATAGCCAAAATTTGAACTCTTTTTACTAGAGAAATATTTTTAGTTTGTTTATTTTCGATCGTTCGAAAGCTATGTTGCGTTCTAAGTTTCAATGTTAATTTGCCTATATTATAATGAAGATTAACGAATGAATGCTAATTGTTTTGAATAAACATACTTTTATTTCATAATTCAATTAGATAAACTAATTAATGCAATCGATTCTGCAGAGATTTTTGGAACGATAAAATTTTGTTTAATAGAGGACGATTATAAATGGTATAAAAATAATGATAGGCACTGGAAAGGGAATAAAACAACCATAGAGATAAGATTTTATCACCGTTATGAAACTTCTGTTAGTACAATAACCTTTGCTAACACTTTCCGTTCAATTATTGGCCGAGAGACAGTAGTAGTACTCACAGTTGTTGGTGTTGTAGAAGAGGAAGAGTTATTAGCGTAGGCTTTTAGCTTTGATTTGCATAATTTAATACTTTTAATAGGTAGTAAAGCTTTGCGTATAGGAGGAACGGAATTTGTTGTTTTTGACTTTTGTATTGTATAAGATATTGAGGAATCATTTTTGCAGAGAATATCCTCTTCCCATGAACATGTAGAAATTTTCTTTGGCTTCTTAACATGTCTTCCGAAATCCGTTATCGATGTTTGTCTCTTCTTTAAATTTGGTACGTCTATTGGGCATTCTCTATCCGCTTTTCGTTTTAAATATTTCGATTGATTAACAAACTTTGGTAAAGTTTTCGATAAATTGTTACAAGAATCGTTCATCCTTGCCAATACACTACTCGGTTCGAAAACGACAACTGATCATCCATTGAAAGAACGCTCCATAATTAAATACCAAGAAAACAATGAGCGCTGATTGGCTAAAGCTCTGTTTGAAAGTCATTAAGCTAATTGAAAGTTCTAATTTATCGCTTTCTACCTTTGAACCTAAAATTTATCTGCTTAAGAGGTAAACTCAAACTATTCTATCGCAAAAGAACTAGAGAGAGGTGTTCCCTCCTCTCAACGAAAGCCACCATATCCTCTCGTTAAGATAAGGAAAAAAAGTGTATTTCATAGTTTATTTAATAAATTTATTAAAAGACATAAAAAATTGCATTTCATTCCAAATAATCATATAAATTTCAACTCATATCTATATACTTTATATAATAGATTGTTTTTTAATTCCATGTGCTTGAAAAAATATATGAATAAGTAAATAAATATTATTAGAATATTCATATATTTAAATAAGAGTAAAAGAGCATATTATATTATATCACAGATCTTTCTTTCCGTATAAAAAATCTCTGTCGTGAAACATACAAATATATATATATATATCAAAGGTATAGAACATTTGTTTTTTTTTGTTTCTTTTATCTTTTTCTCTTTCTAACTAATGATAAGTAAAATGGCAAGGTAATATGAGTTTCTTTCTTTAAAAGACGGTTGGATCGTCGTTAACTTCGTAAGCGGCAGCAGTCTGACTGCCTGATGAGAATCGGTTTGTATTCTCTCTATGACCGTATGATTTCATTGATGTTTTTGTTACTAATCTTGATTCGTGTCTTGTATCGCTAGTACTTTCGCCTCCGATCACTCCTGATGATACTACATCGCTTCCACCTTCAATTTTTCTGGACGTTGCAAAATCGCTTCCACCTCCTATTGTTCTTGATGTTGCAAAGTCGCTTCCACCTTTGACCGCTCTTGATGTTGAAAAGTCGCTTCCAGCTCCGGCCGTTCTTGATGCTGCAAAGTCGCTTCCACCTCTGACCGTTCTTGATGTTGTAAAATCACCTCCATATCCGACCGCTCTTGATGTTGTAGCGTCGTTTCCACTGCTGAGTCGTTCATGAATAGAGGTAAATTGTTGAGAACTGTTAGAGAAAATATAAATGTTTGTTTATGAACTTCTATAATGTTATTTTATGAATCTCTATACCTTTGATATATTGGATTAGTAGCCGAGAATACACCACCATTGTGGGATCTTGTTGATGCATCGGCACTGTAGGTACTTCGAGGTAGTGTGCGAGCTGTTGCTTCGTCCGCCACAGAAAAGTTCATGTTAATTTCTCCTTGTTCTTGTACTGGCTCGTCGGCCGGAACGTAAACGGCTAAGCTCTGAGTTTCGTACTCCCTAAGAAAATCCGACGAATTGTCGTACATAAGTTCGGTTGTAGAGCCATTTACATGTCCAGCAGGTAAAGTTCGAATATAGGCAGCATTTTTATCTCTAAGAGAGTGTTTATATCTTCCGTAGGTGAAACATATTACAAACATTCCAATTATTGAAAAGACTATAATAAGGGCTGCAAGAACTATTAGGGCAATCCAAGGAGCTTCGTCATAGCTTTCGTACGTTTTTCCCGTAATTGCACCGACAACTGGATAGGCAGTTCTCACACTTTGAATATTTAGTCCAAGAGTTTCCATCTCTTTCTTTATATTAGTAATCGCCACCGATGATGTGAAAGATCTGTTTTAAAAATTCAAATTATTATATAATTCGTAATTCATAATTATTACTAAATGAATAATGCGAAGGTGGAGAGCGACCTTTTCTCTAAAATCTCAAACTGAGTTAGTATCTAAAGAAGATGATTTTGTATGGGACGCCCTAGCAACTCCAATAAAAGTTGAAAGAGTAAGAAGAACGAGGGTTCTGGAGGCTATGCAACGAGCAGAAGAGAAGAAAAGAAGAATAACTATATATTTATTATTATCTATTATAGTAGCTCTCGGTATGACACTTGTTGGTTTTGGTTTTGCTCTGTTTTCGTTTCATATAACGCTTGGTGTAATAGATGACAAAGGATATTTAAAAACAAACTCTACAAAATCTTAGCATTTGTTACTTACTGGCTTACTTCATCACTTTCGGTTTCCAAGATTTTAAAAGTTGTGGGCGATATGGCGACAAAGTACATATCCGTACTGTAAATAAGAATAAATAATTACTCTTTTTAATTGAATAATCAATGGGAGATCTTACTCAGTTTTTTCAACTTTCTCATCACCGCCAGCAAAATAAGTTCTTGGTGTTAGTTTTTCAATTACGATTATCTTATTGGATAATCTCTGAAGAGCTCTAGAAGATTGAACAATTTAATGTTTCACTATTTATACATATTCAATAAGAAACTTACATTTTAGTATCATTCAATCTCTGACTAACATCTTCAACAGCTTGATTTTCCCATACAAGGACTATTCTATGCTTTTCTTCAATTAGATTTATCTAAATTAAAGACAAATAGAAATTAATTAGTCAATTAATTTAATTTAATCAATCTATTAAACTTACATAAGTCTTAGCAGTTGATAATAACTTAACATCCGATTTTGAATTAGACGCACTAACTGAAAATTCAAAGAAACTATCCTCTTTCGTAAATTCCTTTAGATTCGATATTTGTCCATCGTTTGTGTCGATTTTAAAAGGTACGTCGTTACTTAATATTGAGTAAGTCACTTCTTTATTAACGCCCAAATCTCTGTCGATAGTCTTTATCTGTATTATATTACTAGGTGCTGATATTTCCCTAGGAACAGCTGTAACGTAGACGTTGTTCAAGTTCAAAGGACTGTAATCCGGTGTTATAAATTCAGGTGGTGAATCGTTGACATCAAGCACTTCAATTATTACTCTTATCCTATTAAAACCAGTGGCTACAACTGCAAATTAAAAGTATATAATCAATATTCAATTCGTCAATTAAGTAACAATTTTTATGTGCCAAAAAGACATATGTTAAATCTACAGTAACGCTATATGGTGATCTATGTGCATATTGCTATATAACAATAAAAAAGGATGTTTTTGTTATATAGCAATTAAGAATACTATTCGGTAATACTAATAAATATAACTACTATATACATACATTTAAACAACATATATAGATATGCATTAAATAAACATTTAAGTTTATCTAATCAGATAAAAAAGGGGAGACAAGTTCCTGAATAGAATGACGAACAACGTGACTAGTTACTTGTGTGGGTTAAACAATGATTATACGTATAGGTGTATATTATATCTAAAATGTTATAGAAAGGAAAAGTTATGACACACCATCTCGCTTTTTTCGATTGGTACCGGTATTTTTATTTTTATTTTTAATGATGACTGATAGGATATATTTCTGTTTCTTTTCTCTATCCAGCTCTCCATCTAGTTTAATGGTACAATAGGTTTGATTCTTGTTTATCTCTATTGAAAATTTATCTAGAAAAGAAGAATGTGGGAAGAAAGAATGCATTAGTATATATGTTTTTATCATTTAAATTGATGTATCATTGGAATATCTTTTGTTATACTTTCGTCATTTCCGGATTGAATAAGGCATTCAGCAGTTTGATTTGTTTTAAGATTAACAACCTGTAATCTTTCAACTTCTCTGTTTTGTGTCATATCTTCCATTACTTCTTTTCTGTTTGGATAATTAGATATTAGAACTAGTGGAAAGATTTAAACGCTTACGCTACTTACAGATATAACGATTTAGCAAATCCCAATTTACCAACAACTGATGTTGTTGGTCTGGTAACGTTGATGAGAACATCCACCTGATCAGTTTGCATTGGGTTTCCGCCATCTTCAGCAAAGACTTTAAGCTAATGGATTATTGGCTAATATTATAAATTGTGTTAAATAGATTAGCGCATATGTTTTACCATATATTGTAATACGGCATCGGGATCTGCGAATAGAGATTTAGCAACGGAGATTTCACCATTTTTTGAATTTAGAGCAAAGTATTCCAATCCTCCAGAAAATGCCGATAATCTATAGGTAACTTTCGAGTTCGGTGCCTGATGGAGAAATGTTACTGTTAGTGACGTTCTAACATACCAGCATTTAAATAGGTGTCAGTAACGACACCTAGTGATTACTTTCACTTTCGATAGATAAAATTGTTATCACCCAGAAAGTGTTAGTTATATAAACACTTACGTCAGGTTGAAATTCAATGTCGGCGTCTACGGCTCTAACTTTCCCTACGACTGTACCGATAGGATCTAATTCATTAGCAGACCACTTGTATGGACTCTTTTCGAAAATCGGTTTGTTGTCATTGCGTCTTACAGTTATCTCGACTTTTGTGCGATTGCTCTTAGATGGTATTCCTTGATCTCTAGCGATAACATTGAACATGTATGTTCTCTGCTTAGATACATCCTCATGAAGATTTTTGGCAATAACTATTCTTCCTTCCGATCTCCAAATAGAGAAATATTGAATTACGTTCTCTCCTGAATTTTCTATGTCTTCCAAGAAATATTCAATAGTTCCAGATCTTGTTGAACTATCGTCCTTGTCTACAGCTTTTACAGTGAGAACATTAGCTCCAACTCTTATAAATTCATTAACAACTTTTGTGTAGGTTGGACTTTCAAAAATTGGTTGAAATTCATTTCTTTTAACTCTTATAGAAATAGGAGCTCTGGCCGATCTTTCAGGAGAGCCTCCGTCCTTCACCTCAACCATAAACTGATAAAAAATTAAATTTTCTAGTTAATATGCGAAAGTATATCAATAATAAATAAATCATCATACATTGAAATACTCTTGGGAACTTGTCGATAAAGGATTTTTAACAGAGAGAACACCCGATCTTCTACCTATTTGGAATAATCCTATACCAGCGTCATTTCCTCCAATTAGCTCGTATGTTAAATTTTCACCCTATAAAAATATTCCGGTTTTGATTTAATATTATCATTATAATATACTCATTACTTACAGTTGCGTCATCAGAATCAGTGGCTTTAACATTCAAAACAATGTCGTTAACTTTGGCATTTTCACTTATTTCAGCATTGTATGAAGGTTTGTCAAAAACTGGTGCATATAAGTTTCTTCTGACGTTGATTCTAACTATTGCAGTTGTTGATTTCTGAACTAAACTCTGATCAGCAGCCTGAACCGTTATTCTATAGACTTGTCTCTTGTTAGGATCATCGAGTAAACTCTTGATGATTGTGACAACTCCAGTTTGAGGATTAAGGAAGAATAGATCAGTAATATTTGCTGAGGAGTCATCTTCAACAATAGAATATCTAATTTCTCCTGCCTTTCCTTCATCTTCATCTGTTGCTGTTATAGTTATTATCTCTTCACCGATAGATATATCTTCTCCCACACTCTTTACGTATGGTTCGTTGCTAAATATTGGTGAATTTTCATTTCTATTCACGTTTACTTTAATCTGAGCAATTGCCGTATTTTGTTTGTCGCATTCGTCCTGAACAGCTACTTTTATCTACATAAAAATAATAAATTACGTGTATATCTTTTCGTGTACAAACAAAAGAAAGGGAAAAAATTACAGTATAAGATGGTTCGTGATCCAATCTCAAATCTTTACCAATAGTTATCTTTCCTGTACCTGGATTGATTTTAAATAAATTTTGAGCTTTGTCAAGTCCAATTATTGAATATAGGAGACCGCACTATACGATGAAAAAGAAACAAAATTAATCATTCTGGTCTATTTTCCCCCTTATTTTTAATTAATAATTACGTTATCGCTATCAATAACATGGAGTGGTGGGTTGATCTTTATCTCTGAGTTAACAGCTTGACTCTCACCAACTTCAGCCTCGTAGTCAGTAGGTTTGAAAATAGGTGTTGTGGAATTTCTCGATACTGTTATAGTTAGTTCTTTCTTTTGACTTTCTTTCGATGGTTTACCGTGATCATATGCGATGACGCTCATCTAGTTTGTAAAAGAAGATGGCTAATTTAGAACGAATATTTTTAATATTGCAGTATAAGTTTACTTTGAATTCGTTTGTTGCGCTTGTTGATAAGTCTTTTCTCAGACTTATCCATCCGGTTTCTTCTTCAACCATGAAATATTCAATTGTTTCGTTATTTGCTTCTGCTATTTTATAAGACACAATACTATTTGGTCCCTAAAAGTTTAATGAAAAAGTAAGTTGGGTTCCAATTTGTTATTAATTGTCAAACCTCTTCGTCTCCGTCTGTTGCTTCAAGACGAACTATTCTTGATCCTATTGCCCATCGGAAACCAATTGTTCTAGAATAGTCTGAACTAATAGGGAAAACAGGGCTAAGATCGTTTCTTTCAACTGTTACTCTGATAGTTGCTACTGATGATTGAGGAGGTATGCCATTATCTCTTGCAACAACACTAATAATGTATAATTTTTCTGGCTTTTCGGTTAATGGTTCTTTTATGAAAATGTAACCAATTTTTGGATGTATAGCAAATAAGCTGTCTGCTGGATGGTCACCAATAATATCGTAGGAAATCTGGGATTTTGGACCCTTGAGAAATACAGTTAAAGATTAAGATATGTGATTATATAATTTACAAAATAATCCTACTGGAACATCAGCATCAGTGGCGGAAACTTGAGTAATATTTTTTCCAAGAGGATCGTGTTCATTAACAGATACTCGGATATTGGAAGATTTGAACACAGGTTTATTAAGATTTCTTTCAACTGTTATTTCAACCAACGTCTCAGCTTTTAGGTAATTGTATTGTTGATCATAGGCCACAATACGTAACTATCAAATTATTATTAAAGTTACTGTTATGCTATAAATAATTCAACTTATTTAAACATACCGTATATATTTGGGTCCAATCATTTTCGATAGTTTGCAATAAGTAAATATGACCAATATTGTTTATTGTCCTAATGCCGAAATAATCTGAACCTGGTCTAACTCCTTTAAGTTCGTAGACCATTGGTCCGAACAAATCTATAATAGAGATTAATAGATTATTTAAAAATAGCTACAAGCTAAGTAAATTAGTATAAGAACCAGGATCGGTGGCTGCAATCTGTATAACATTTTCATTAACTGGACTATTCTCCGATAAAGTAAATTTGTTAATTTCTTTATCAAACGCTGGTGGTTCATTTTTATCTCCGATTGTTAATCTAACGACAACTGATGATGAACTTCCTCTGCTATCTTCAGCCTTCACTAAAAACTGTGGGAAAGTAATAAATATGTTTTTATGTTTGGTCATTTAAGAGAGTATATCTATAAATTAAAGGCAAACTTCAAATGATTTTTCTGCTACTCCAACTAATAATTTTCTTAATATTATTCGACCAGTATCGGGGTTAATGAAGAAAAGACTATCAATTGTTGATCCTTGTTCTGTTTCAATTGAGTAGATAATCCTATCCTGGAGTGAAAAATAAATAATACAGAATACTATAAGGAGAATGTTAAAGGGATAATAGATTTGTACATTATCTCCATCAGTGGCTTCTATTTGAACGATCTCTTCTCCAATAGGAGTGGTTAATGGCATAGTTTTTTCATAAACATCTTCCTTGAATTGAGGTGCGTTAGGATTTCTTCTAATAGTAATTGTAAAATTAGCATATCCTCTTCTATCCTCAAATTGAGTGTCATAGGCGTACATATGCAGCTGAAAATGATAAAGATTAGATATCTCTCATTCTAAGTAGCAAATTTAACTTACGATATATTTTTGGTTTCCTAAATTATCATCTTTTAGACTTTTCTTTACCCTTATTTCTCCAGTATTTTCATCTACTTCAAAGAAAATGTCTGATGGGAAATAGCCATCCATTCCGTATTTTATCTTTTGTTTTAGGTCTTGATCATTCGCTCTTACAGTTTTAACAACTAGTCCTGGTTTTACTCCTTCGACAATTACAGTTGGATCATTGTCAGCCTCAAATACTGGGAGGTAGAGATCTCGTGGAACTTGAACAGTAACTTTAGCAAAGCTCAAATGACCTCTTTTATCTTTGGCTTGAATAGTTATTTCATACACTTGGGTATTGTCTTCAGATAGTGGTCTTCGAACCGATAACTTTCCAGTATTTTGATCGATATGAAAGTATATGATCGATTTATCATCACCAACAATGGAATATGTAATAGTCTCGTTATCTTTATCTGTTGCTTTTATTTCAGCAACAAGATCTCCTTGCTTCCATGTATCATTAATTGATATTTGATAGGTATCCTTCTCGAAGGATGGTTTATTAACATTACGTTTAACAGTTGCTGAGAATTCTGTTTTTGCTCTTGCATTTGGAGTAGCACTATCGTAAACTTCAATTTTTATCTAATAACATAAAAATGGGTTGAAATCACATAAAGATTCTACGAATTATTTTAATAATTACTCTATAGGCGTTCAATTGTAGACTATCCTTTCTTAAATCTCTTGTTATTGTTATTTCTCCTTGTGAGTTTATACCAAAGAAGTCCGGTGATGGATAATCGCCTACTATTTCATATTTCAATTCTCCCTATAAGATAAAATGAAGATGTTTTATACAAAAACCCATTAATGATAAGAGTATATAAATAGTTTAGATATTATATTTTTTCAACTCACGCTAACTGAAGGCAACGTTGCTTTAACACTTTGGATTATAGTATTTTCTGGTACTGATTCTTCAATTTCAATGCTCTGAACTGGATCAATTACGGGAACTAAGTTGGACGGTTGAACAGTGATTTTTACAGGAACAGTAGTTGTTTGAGGCGTAGGATAGCCGCCATCATTGGCTTTGATTATGCAATCGAATTCCTTTATGGAATTATCAGCAGGTAATAGTTTACTTAATCTCAAGTTTCCATCTCTGAAGTCTATAAAGAAGTATTCTTTACAAGATTCAGTTTCTAGGGTATACGTTAAAACATCCTGATCCCGATCAGTAGCATTTACAGTAAGAATTACATCACCAAGCGCTTGAGTTGATTTTACCGATTTCTCGTATTGAGTTTGCGTAAACTGCGGTTTGTAAACATTTCTTTGTACAGTAATTGTCAAATCTTGGAAAACTTTCTGTGCAGGTTTTACAGTTGCGTAAGATCCAATTCTTAGTATATAATCTAATCCGCGATCTTCTTTCAAGCTCTTCTGAACACTAATTTCACCATTTTCCTTATTTATTTGGAAATATTGATCGGCTGGTGGATAGCCGACAATTTCATAGTTCATTTCTTGAGTAATAGAATCAGGATCACTGGCTTTGGCTATAAAAAATACTCCATTAATCTCTTGATTTTCAGTAATTTTTGTTGTATTTGGAAGATTAACAAATTCTGGAGGATATTCATCCCTTTTGATAAAAATATTAATTCTAGCTTTAACCACTTGAATCGGCTTTCCAGAATCAGTTGCTTCAACAACAATAACCATATTTTTCTCAGGGGTTTTTAGGATCGAATTCCTCAATTTAATAACACCAGAATGTGGATCAATGTAAAAGTACTTTTGATAAACAGTCTCATCATTTATCATAAAAGTAACATTTCCCTATTTTCAAAATGAAACGAAAAGAGTAATTTGATACTGTAGATATAGTAATATAAAAACTTACTCCGTCAGGATCGTTTGCTGATACTTTAAATACAGATGCTCCGATATCAGTATCTTCAGCTATTTCAAAATTATAATTGCTAGAATCGAACTGTGGCGGATTGGCATTACGATTGACATCAATAGTTCCAGTTGTAGAGATAACATCTCTCGGGAAATGTGAATCGTAGACTGATACTTTAAGCTAATTAAATTTCAATGATTTAACATGTATTATCATTCATTAATCAGTTAAAATTATCAAAGTGTTACCTTATATTGTAAATTTCTTAAATTATCATCGGTTAATGGTTTTTTGAGTATAATTTCACCATTACTATTAATAGAGAAAAACAATTTTGCTGTATCATCACCCGAAATTTCGTAAATGAGGTTGCCAGATAAATCTGGATCCGATACAGATACAGATGATATTACCGCACCAACTTTAGTATTAACTGGAACATTTGCATTAATCTCCGCATCGAATGTTGGCATATTCTTATTTCTTTTAACTTTTACTCTTACATTCGTAATTGCTTTTTGCTCGGGTTTTCCACCATCTTTAACTTCTACTTGTATCTAAAAATATTCATTTATCATTAGACAGAAAGCTCTACTTTTTAAATTTTAAAAGACTTACAAGATAATTCTCATCATTATCTTTATTTAGGGGTTTATTTAGTGAAATCTCTCCTGTTCTTGGGTTAATATGGAAATATTCCAAAGCTTTCTCATTACCAATTATTGAATATTCCAATTGATCCTATTGAAATATTTTAATTTATTAAATTTATTATTTTTCGTTTTTCTTCTTACCTTATCTCTATCATCGGCTTCAACTTTAAGTATTACTTGTCCAAGAGGCAGGCTTTCGTTTGCTGCTACATTATACTGATTCTGATCAAAACGGGGTGGGAAGACATTTCGTCTGACTTGAACAGTTGCCGTTGTTTGTGCTCTTCTCCTCGGATTTGCGCTGTCATAAGCTTCTAAGACTAATGTATAAGAAGCAAGCTGTAAAGGATCTGTCTTTAAACTCTGTTTTATTCCAATTCGTCCAGTATTTTCTTCTATCATAAAGAAGCTCGAGGCAATAATATCTCCAACAAGCTGGTACCTAATTTCGTCTTTAAGATCAGCATCTGTGGCTGTAACTGATGAATAAAAGTAGCTATCAACTTCTTGATTTTCGGTTATGAGAGTCGTGTATGGAGAATTCACGAATACTGGCGGTTGTTCGTCAGTTGTTATTGTTATTGATAGAGTTGTATTAACTTTTTTAGGTACAGGTACTCTATTATCCGATGCTTCGATCGTCAACTAATAAATATACATATAACATTAATATAAATAACCTGTTCAATTGAGATTTAGGTATTCTAAATTCTTACCACTAATGGTCTGGTATCTAAGTCTTTTAGCTCTCTTATAAGGTAAACACTACCCGAAGTTGGATTCACATAGAAGAAGGATAATGCTGTTCTTGGGCCTACTAATTTGTAAGAGATAGTATCTTGGTCCGAATCTGATGCACTAACAGTTTCAATTTTTCCTCCGATAGGGAATTCTTCAATAATGTGTGCACTATAGGTGAAGGGATTAAATCTTGGAGCATTAGCATTCCTCGTAACTGTTATTACAACCGTTGTGTACGCTTTCGTACTTGGATCAGCAGAATCATAAGCAGCTATTCTTAACTTATACTCTACCGATAGGTCACTTCTTAAATCATTCAGTACTCGAACTTGTCTGTTATCTAGCCAAAAATATGTTGGAGCCGACAAAATTCCAACAACTTCATACATTATTGTTCCTTTTTTGTCTCTATCGTTCGCGTTGATGCCTATTACAGATGAATTAATTGCAGCTTGTTCATTAATTGTTCGCGTATAGGTATCAAAATCAAAGGACGGAGGATATTCATTTCTGGCCACAATGATCTGTACATTTGTTATAGCCGTCTTCTCAGGTACATTTTGATCAGATGCCTGAACTTCAAAAGAGTAGATTGTCCTCTCTATCTTGTCAAGTTGTTTCCTTAGATATATAACTCCGGTGGATGGATCCAACCAAAAGAATTCTTTTACAGTTGGCGCTTCATCGTTATTATAAATCGAGTATTTAATTACGTCATCCTATTAAAACGGAAATATAGGTTTTATAGTATAGCATTTTAAAACAGACGCTTACCTTATCTGAATCTATCGCCTCAATTTTCGTAACCGAATCTCCAACTGGGAAATCTTGAGAGATTTCCTTCGTGTATGGTGTATTTCTCCATTCGGGGCGGAATTCATTTCTCGAGATAGGAATGTCAACATCGTAGTAGCTGAAAGTATCTGGGCTTGCCGAATCGTAAACTTTAATTCTCAACTGTGTAAACAATCAAAAAAGGATTAGCAATTTAATATTGTATTGTTTAATAACTTACCGAGTATGATAATAATTTCAATGGATCGGATTTGAGGTCTTTAACTATAACTATCTTACTTCTTCCAGTATTGGATATTGGTTCAACTGAAAAGTATTTTTGAGCTGGATCGAATCCAATAATTTCAAATTGAATATCCCCTTTTCTATCAGGATCGTTGACTTGGATTTCGAGAATATCCGAGCCGTTGGCAGAATTTTCTGATATTGGTTTTGGTATAATAACATCCTCAAATATTGGCGGTGAGTTATCCCTCTTAACTATTACTGATATTGTTCCGTTTACTGCTCTTCCCCTAGGATCATACGCTTGAACTTGTAACTAATAAAAATGAAATATAAGTTAATGAATTAATTCCTTATTTTCTAAGTCTTTATATAAAGTTTACCAAAAATTCTTTTTCAATTCCAGACAAACTCTTTCTAATAGTCAAAGTACCATTAGTTTCATCTAAGAAGAAGTATTCCCATTCAGAATTATCAGGATTTAATGGTCTATACTTAATTAAATCCTGGAAATTTAAAAAAAAAAATAAGTTAGCGGTATTGAGTAATGTGTTTAGTAAAACGTTAACTTACTCCATCGCGATCGGATGCGGATATTCGGAGAATTATTTCGCCAATTCGATGTTTATCTAGTATCTCCTTTCTATAGCTACTTGGATTGAATGTTGGACCATTTATATTCCTTCTCACATTTATTATAAAATCGACTTCTTGAATGTTATTCGGATAAGATGTATCGTAGGCTTTTATTATGATTTTATAGCTTGTTAGTTGAAGGCTTTCCTCTTTTAGTGATCTAGCAACGACAATACGTGCTTCACCCTCTCGGAGGATGTCAACACGGAAAAAAGATAGAGCGGGATGAATATTTTCAATTTGAAAAACAAGATTCCCCGCTTTGTCGTTATCTGTTACAATTATTTCTCCAACAGAACTGTTAACAGCCTTATCTTCATTGATTGTAAACACATACTCTTGTCTATTGAATCTTGGGAAGCTAGCGTCTCGTTTAACCGAAACTGTTACTTGAGCAACTTTAACCGATGGAACTGGTAAAGCTTGATCTGATGCTTCGATCAATAACTGAAATTATTAATTAAAATAATTAATAATAATCATTTATCTATTATTTCTTTACATACATTGACTGTTTTAAATGTTCCTGTTCCCAAATGTTTTTTCAAAGTTACGGAACCAGTTGTTGATTCAATGAAAAAATATTCTTTAGCCAATTCATCTCCAACAATGCTGTACTTGATTATATCACCGTCGTCATCTGTTGCATTAACCGAGAAGAGACTCTCTCCCAATGGAGTATTTTCGGCTAAGCTAAATCTGTAATTATTCTGTTTAAATTTTGGTTCGTTTACGTTTCTTTCAACATTGATAGCAACGGTTGCGGTTGTTTGACGGTGACTCTCTGTTATTGATGCTACTGTAACTTTCAACTACAAGAGAAGAATTCAACATATATCATTTTTAATTTTATATATGTAAGATATTACCAGATATAGCGTGCGCCTATCAGTTGTTAAATCTGTTCTAACGCTTATTTTACCCGTCGTATCATTGATATTAAAGAAAGTTGGCGCTGGAGATATTCCAACAACTTTGTAAATTAATGGATCGTTATTATCTGCATCATCAGCTCGAACAGTATAGATTTCGCTGCCAACAGGACGTCTTTCATTAATTTTAAAGTTATAAGGTGTTCCTAGGAAAGCTGGAGGCTGGTTCTCTCTGATAACTGTTATGAAAACAGTAGCAAGATCACACTTTTTCTCAGAAGATATCGAATCGCATGCTTGAATGAGCAACTGAAAAATTTACAATATAAAGAAATATCTTGTAACCAAAATTGATATTGTTACCTTATATTGCATCTCATTAGTTAAAGTAAATGATTTTTTAAGTAGGACTAAACCGGTAAACGGATTAACGTGAAATACTTCCTTAGAGTCATCTTCTCCAGTTAGTTCATAAATTATATTATCACCATCGTCATCTTTAGCGATGACTTGATGAACAGACGATCCCAGTTCAGTATTTTCAGGCATTGACTTTTGAAACTCAGTGTCTTCGAATTTTGGTCCATTAGCATTTCTTACAACATCGACTTTTACGGTTGTAAATGATTTCTGTTCTGGATAATTAATGTCGATAGCTTGAATTCTTATCTGTATGAATAGAACAATGAATTGATAAGTTAAATGAAGTTACTAGAATGAATATAATATTTTTTTAATACGAGATAGGTAGTAGTTTTTAAGTTGTCTTTTGTTAGCCGTTCTTTAACTTTTATTTCTCCTGTTTTCTCATCTATCTTGAAGAAGGACGGAGCAGGATAATCTCCAGTAATTGAGAATCTTATATCTGCATTTCCTCCAGATCCTCCAACGCTGTCTGGGTCGTGGGCTTTAATTGTAGTAACAAGTGTATCGATTTTAGATGTTTGATCGATTGTTTTCTTTGGATAAGGAGCACCATCGAAACGTGGTGGTGTTGAACTTCTCTTGACAGTAATATATAAGGTCATTTCGTTTAGTTTTCTTGGTATTCCATCATCTGCAGCCTCTATTCTCAGTCTGTAAGAAGTGGCTCTTCCAGGATAAAGTGATTTCTTAAGGTTCACTCGACCAGTAGTAGGATCAACGTAGAAGTATCCAGGAGCATCACCATCACCCAATACGCGGTACGAAACAGATTGCTATAAAAATATATCACATCTATTAAATCACTTCTTTTGTCGAATATCTTTGACATACTTTATCATCGGCATCAGTAGCTTTTACGTCATCGGTAACAGTATAACCGAGGGGCACCCTATCACTTACAGTTACTATTAGAGTTTCAGAATTAACCCACTTAGGCTGATTTTCATTTCTATTAACTTCAACAGTAACAGTAGCAGTACCTTTATCATTAGGATACACTCTGTCATAAGCTACAACTTGAATCTAAAAGATAAAGTTAAGTTTTCATTAATACTGGAGAATATTTTTTATATTTTTTACCAAATAAGAGAGTGATAAATCAGCTTTTAAACTTCTTCTTAACATTATATTTCCATTATTTTCAATACCAAAAAAATATGGCGATGGTACTACTCCATTAATTTCATATTTTATTCGATTCTGTAAAATAGAAGAATAAATTAATAAATTAATAATTTCTCTCTAACTTCTTCTAAAATATCAAAAAATGAAAAAACGCACACACAAATAAAAAGCTAATATAAAAATATTATTTGAAAACTAAGGGAAGGAATTCAAACATCATCAGAAATAATGAAAAAGACAAAATTTAATCAATACAGTAGTAATGAAAATAAATAAAAAAAAACACAGGGTTTTAGTTGTTTTTTTTTTTAATAATTGTTTGTTTCTTTTGTTTGTTTGTTTGTTTATTTGTTTATTTTTTTGGCAGTAGAAAAAACTTAGTAGTAGCTGTTTTTTTTTTACAATACGTACCAATGTCGTATTATCCTAAAATATATATATGTTAATATAAATTTATACTAATATATATATATATATATATGTACTATATACATTTATATACACATTCATTTACACTCTTTCAACCTTTATTTCTCTCATCTACTTCTTATTAAAATCTTCTTTATTAAATGAAGTACTTACTTGATCTTTTAGGTCTGTATCTCTGGCCACGACGCTTGTGACGAGTTGACCGGAATTAAGAGACACACCGATATTTACTTTGTATGGTTGACCTGTAAACGTTGGCTTTGCAAGATTTCTGACAACTGTTATTATCACATCTGTCTCGTCTGTTCTTTCTGGTTTTTTATTGTCTTTGGCGGTAACTTTAAACTATTGAAAGAGTATTTTATGTAAAGTAATTAAATTTCTGTTTGTTAATAATTGTGTAACCTGGAATGTTTCCGTATTAGAATTATCTTCTTGTAAGGATTTCTTTACATAGAGAATTCCCGATTCTCCTGTTATACCAAAATATCTCTTTGCTGGAGTATCGTTCTCGCTTCCAGGTATAGAGTAGCTTATAATGTCGTCAGGATCCCGGTCTCTAGCTCTTACTTGAACAACAGTTTTACCTATTTGCAAGTTTTCCTCGATTGTCTTTTCATACTGCTGTCTCTCGAATTTGGGACTATTTGCATTTCTAAGAACTGGTATTCGAACAGTTGTTGTTACCCTTCTTAGTGGGTTTTGACTTTCGTAGGCAGCAATTCGCACTATGTAAAATGGTGAGCTATCTTTACTTAATTTATCTTTAATTCGAATTCCTCCAGAATTCGTATCTACAATAAAGTAGTCTGTGGCAGGTGCATCTCCTATCATTTCATATCGTATTGACCCTTGCCTATCTTGATCAGTGGCCTGAACAGAGAAAATTTGACTTCCTATTCCTCTATTCTCTGGAACTTGAGGCGCTGTATAAGGCCCTCCAGTAAACATAGGAGCGAATTCATCTCTTCTGATCGTAATCACAACTGAGGTTGATGACGATTGCTTGGGTACACCATCATCAGTTGCTACGGCGAAGAACCTATACTTCTTCTCAGTATATTTCGTCAAATCTTCTTTAGTTGTTAATTCACCAGTCTCAGAGTCAACAAAAAATTTTGATATAACATCAGCCTCGCCGGAAATTGAATAGCTGATTTTGTCATCCTAAACAAACAATTGTATTATTATTAAGTAATGGGAATCTTCAGTTTCAAATGAGATATACCTTGTTATCATCGACAGCTTTAACTGTTAAAATTGAATAGTCAATACCGACATCTTCATTAATGGTTTTGGTATAAGTTTGCTGATTAAATCTTGGAGCTTTTGTATTTCTTTCAACGGATACTGCAACTGTAGCTGTCTCTCGATTGCTAGGATAAAGACTATTGAATGCTACAATTTCAAGCTGTTTTAATTAAAAAGAAAAAAGTCAATATTTAATTCTTCTTCTTTAAAGGAAATATATGAAAATACTGACAGTATAAAGCATAGAATTTAGGGTATCTTTCCGTAAATCCGTAGATACTCTTACTTGAGCAGTATTTGGATTAATGGTAAAAAATTGTGGTGCTGGGAAAACTCCTACCAGCTCGTATTCAATTTTTCCTTCATTATCTCTATCGGTAGCTCTAACACCTGGTTGAATATTTAAACCAGATCCTACTGTTGCAAGATCGTTAATAGTGGCTTTATAATCATTATTTTGGAATTTTGGTGGAGAAGTATCTCTACGAATCGTGACCGTAACTCTTGCGTTGTCAAATTGAGGAGGAGTGGACTGATCACTGACTCTAACTTGAATCTGATTTAAAGGAAAATAATAGAATTATGACATAAATCTACAAAGAAGACGGTTTTATGTTTAAGATTTTACGGTATCAGTATTGTGAGTTAAAGATTGAAGATTGTATTTGAGACTAATCGATCCAGTTGATGGATCAATATGATATCTTTGCATTGCATCTTCTGTACCAGTTATTTCATATCTGAAAAATATTAAAATGAATATACACATATTTTATTAACAAATATAATGTTACCTTAGTACATCATCCGTATCCCGATCATTTGCTTTTACTTTAATTATTTCTTGACCAATTTGATATCTATCATTAATCAAAACTCTGTAACTACTTTGCTCAAATTTCGGTTGATAAACGTTTCTATTAACTCGAATGATTAGAGTAGAAATTGCAGAGGAAGTTACAGGTCGTTTATCATCTATAACTTTGATGGCAATGGCGTATTCGCTGATTTGATCATTTTTCAATTTCTCAGCATCATTTATACGAACTTGACCAGTCGTATTAACAATGTAGAAAATTTTGCTACTTTCAGAAGAGTCAACGAAAGAATATACAAATTGACCTTGTCTATCGTCATCTCTGACTTGAACACCGAAAATTTGAGAGTTATTCCTTTGATATTCATCTATGTTAACCGATCTTGGAAGGTTAATAAACGTTGGTACTCTGTCTCTTACTACGCTAAGTCGAACCCTTGCTGAAGCCGTTTTAGGTGGTAATGCGTTGTCGGAAGCAATAACGTTGAACTGAAAATAAGATATTTAGTTTGAAATTTTTCGCTCGTAACTATTTGAAGTATTTAATTTAAAACGATTTCAAAACACCTACATTAAATACAGTTTGCTTATCTGGACTCCATACGTGTTTTAATGTGATTGAACCAGTTGATGGATTAATAAAGAACAGTTCAGCATCTGTGCTATTGTCAAAAGAGAACGTTATGACATCACTCAGATCTCGATCTGAGGCAGAGACTTTAAGAATTTCCTCTCCTAATCTCAAGTTTTCAAGGAAAGTTCTATCATAATTATTTTGGGAGAATGATGGATAATATTCGTTTCTTTTAACTTTTATCAAAACTTCAGTTGTGGCAGTCTGCTCTCTTACATCTTTAGATGTTGCTAAGACTTTGAGCTGTTGAAATTAGACAATTAAATATATTATATTGATATATTTAAGCAAAGTTACTTTATATTCAGTTATCTTTGATGGATCATTCAGTAATTTCTTGCGAATAAGAATATCTCCCCTTCTCTCGATAACTCTAAAGTATTCTGGTCCCGAGCCATAGCCGGTTAATTCATATTGTAAGTTAGCCTTTAAAAAAAAGAATTATTTTCAATCTTTTTAATACTAATCATAAAAATTCATATGATAAACATACTCCTGGACTAGCTGAGACTTTAGTTACAATTTTACCAACATTATCGTTTTCCGATACCTCGACATTATACAGATCAGTCGAAAATTTTAATTCTCCCTTTTCTCTTTTAACTGAAACTTGAATTGTTGCAGTCGAAGTTCTTGGTGGTTCTCCTTTGTCAGTAGCAGTAATGACGATGGTATAACGGCTGCTGTTAGTTTCTAAAACGGGCTTTGCCAGTGTAACCTCACCCAATCGTGGGTGAACGTGGAAATATACTTTAGCTTGTTCATTTCCAACAATATCGTAAACAAATTCATTGTTAGGTGCAGTGACATCTTCATCGACAGCATTTACCTGAGAAATACTCGAACCAGGCTTAACATCTTCATTAATCTCCACAAAAGAGTTGGTTCTTTCAAATTTTGGTGAAACTAAATTTCTTTCAACAGTGATTTCAGCTGTTGCCGTGCTGGATAAAGATGGAGTTCCACCGTCCTTAGCCAAAATTCTTAGCTGAATAAACATTAATTTTATACATTTGTATAGCTTGGTCTAATAAGCATAAATTAATATCATACCACATAAAGCATTTCTGTATCAGCCACAAGATCGACACCTGGCTTTAGGAAAATCTCTCCGTTATTTTTCATATCAAAGTATTGCGGAGCTTTTCCATCTCCAATAATTTCACGAGTAACATCGTTGAATGGAGACTAGATAAAAAAAGAATAAAGCAACAAATTAGTATTCGGCGGGTGGATGATAGTCAAAGGGAAAATTACATTTGTATCCTCGTCTCTTGTAGATATCGATATAACGGATTGGCCAGGTTGAATGGTTTGTTTAATAGTCTTTTTATAATTATCAGCGTTGAGGAATGTTGGGGCTTTCAAATTTCTCACAATTCTTATACGAACGTTGATTGAGTTGGAACTTTTCTTTTGGTGAGGATATCCCTCGTCAAATGCTACAACAGTAATATCGTATTGAGTTTTCTTCGTTGGATCGTCCATGACCGATTTCTGAACAAAAATACCCCCAGTTTCTCTATTCACATTGAAATATTCCGAGCTTGGTTCTAACATGTAATATATTTTGTTGTAAGGAGTTTGGACATCGCCATCTGAGGCTCTCACTGACGTAAATTGTTGACCAAGAGCCAATGTCTCAGAGATAGAACTTTGGATATTGGTGTCTGCAAATCTTGGGGATTTTTCATTCCTATTAACGTGAATTTGAACTAATGTTGAATCAACTTTTGGTGGTGTACCACCATCCTCAGCTTGTATTCTTAGCTTATAATCAACAGTTGAATCATATTTAAGACTTTTAGATAACTGAACAGCCCCGCTATTAGGTAGAACTTTAAAATAGACAGGTGCTGAATCGTCTCCAATAACTTTATAGGAAATGCGTTTGTATTGACTCTGAAAATCATTCATTATATAAGAATTGAATAAAAGAAAGAGAACAATGAATATATACCAAATTGTCGTCGTCAGTTGCCCTAACTGTTACTAAAGTAGTATTAATAGCAGTTAACAGTGTCATATTAGCTGAATATGTTCTTGATTGGAATCTAGGTGAACGCTTGTTCCTATTAACGCGAATTCTAACGTTAACTTCTTTACTAGATCTTTGATTAGGAGTTCCTGTATCTCTAGCGATGACTCTTATCTAGAAGGAGATGATAGTTTTAGAAATAAAATAGATCAAATTTAATAAAATTTACCGTATAATCCTCTCCACTTAATCCAATTAATGAAGAAGCTAAATAAATAGCACCACTGTTCTGATTAATACGGAAAAGATCTTGATGTGATGAGCCGGGTGCTATATAGTATCTAACAGTTCTATATAACTGAATTTCATCTCTATCATTTGCCGACACTGTAGTTACAACATTTGATCTTGAATGTTCTTCATCAATCGTTACCGTATATTGATTTTGATTAAATACAGGTGAATAGAGATTTCTTTGAACATTTACAGTGTATAATTGTTGTGCTTCGCATGGAGGTTGTGCATTATCAGCTACTTTTATCCATAATTTATACTCCAAATCGGTATCGCTTCTTAGATTATTTCGGATGTAAACACTTCCTGTGTCTGCATCAACTCTAAAGTAATTTTTAGCCTTTGAATTTCCTTCTAAATAGTATGTCAGTTGCTTCATAGGAGTTCCAACAGGGTCATTATCATTAGCTTGAATTTTAAAAACCAAAGTATTGGTTTGTAAAGTATAGTTTATATTGGTGGCAAAGGAGCCGCTAAAACGTGGACAATTCCTATTTCTTCTAACTTGAACTCTTACGACAGCTTGATTAGAACTTTGTAGCGGAGGGATACCACGATCTTTTGCAATAACTTCTACTTGATAATCTGACGAGCCTGATAAATCTCTTGTTAAAGGCTTTTTGACAAAAATATCACCACGGAGTTCATCAATACCAAAATACTCTTTGGCCTTATTGTTCCCTCTTATTTCATATCTAAAATCCTTATGTGGCGATTTGGAATCGTTATCTATGGCCGTCACTGTAGCTATTACGTTACCCAGATTTTGCCATTCAAAAATTGTTACAGTTTTACTTGTTTCAACAAAAATAGGTCGATATAAGTTCCTTTCAACATCAACAATTACAGTTGCTGTAGATTTACCATTATCTCCATCAACAGCTTCAATTTCTAATTCATATTGTAAGGCAGAGTCTTGAGCCAAGCTTCTCGATAGCAAAACTCGACCATTAGTAGAGTTAACAGTAAAGTAACGTATTGCGTTATCTTTCCCTACTAATCGATAGGTGATATCTTTATACGGACTCTCTGAATCTCTATCTGTCGCTTGAACTCTGGAAATTGACTTATCGCTGCCGACATTCTCTTTAATAGAGACTTTATATTGTCCACTATTCGTAAAAACTGGAATGTGCTTGTTTCTTGCAATTCTTACGGAAAATGTTCCGGTTGCCGATGCTTGTCTTGGTGGGGAACCATTATCAGAGATTTTAACTCTAAGAGTAAATTGATCACTTCTAGAGCAAGGTTCGACAAAGAAGGAACGTTTGACGAAAACTTCTCCATTTCTTCCATTTACTCCTAAACAAATCGGTCCGTCTCCACCATCCAGTGCAGAGAAAGTTACTTGATTATAGGGAGAACTTCGGTCCTTATCGGTTGCTGAGAAATTTCCGATAACAGTTCCAACAATAGTTTTTTCCTCAATTCTTTTTGAAATTCCAGTGCTACCTAACCATTCAGGATTTCTCAAATTACGATTAATTGTTACTTTAAAAGCGGTATTTGATGATTTGGCGGGAGTTCCACCATCTCTAGCTTCAACTCTCAACTGTAATAAGACAGAAATAATGGAATAAATAGAATATATGTTATTAGAATATTTAATTTTAAAGACCGATTACAAACCTGCATAGATGTCAATTGAGTTTGTGTTAAATCTGTCTTAATTAAAATTTGCCCAGTTTCATTATTTATACTAAAGTAATCAGTGGCAGAATCATCTCCAATTAGTGAATATGTTATTTTCTTGAAATCGTTCTATAGATGTGGAAGAGAAATGAAATAGTTCTTTAATTATAAGTTTTATAAATACCTCTGAATCGCTATCCTTTGCTAGAACTTGTAAAATTTGGGTATCAGTTTTCCAATCTTCAGGCACAGTTCGTTCATACGGAAAACCTTCGAATTTGGGAGCAAATTTATTTCTAATGATGTTTACTCTTATACTTCCATCTGTATTGACCCTTGGTGGTACAGCAGAATCACTACATTGAACCCGAATTTCTAATCTCTCAGATAATCCTTCGGCACCGATCAGTGATTGTTTTAATTTAAGTCTACCCGTTAATTCTTCTAACTCAAAATAATTTTTAGCTTCTTCTGGAGATGTAATTGAGTATTTCAAAGTGTTATACGGAGGCGCAACATCACTGTCTCTACATTTTACGACTAAGAAGGTCGGCTGGTAGACTGGCCAATTCTCAACAATTCTTAAATCGTAAGTATTTGGTGAAAAGGTTGGTCTATGTAAATTTCGTCGAACTTCCACAATGACAATAGCTGTATCTGTTTTTGGAGGAGTCCCTCTATCTTTTGCAACTATCCTTAGTCTATATTCTGTTGCAGCTTCATTGTTGACACTTCTCGTGAGTGAAATACTGCCAGTGTTGGCATCTATTCTAAAGAAAGCTGTAGCTTCACCATCACCAATTAGTTCGTAGGTAACTGGTCCATAGCTTGTGTCTAAATCCCTTGCTGTTACAGTCAATAATTCGCCATTTCTTTGATTTCTATCAATCGTTTTGTTGAATGTACTCTGACCAAAAGATGGAGAAAATTCATTTCGTCCAATGTTGATAGTGACCTTAGCCATGGACGTAGCCGTTTTAGGATTAGGTGCTCTATCTTTAAGCACAACGTCGAAAGGCTAAAAAAAATATAAATGTAAGTACAAAGTATTAATATTCATCCATATCTAAATTTACCCCGAATTGTTTTAGATCGCTTAAAATTAGAGATTTCCTAAGGAAAAGAGCTCCTGTGTACTGTTCAACACCAAAAAACTCCGATATACGAGAGTCAACATTTTCGGTTAAACTATATTCCAATTGATTATAAGGAGCACGATCATCGTCATCCCTTGCTTGTAATCTTGTAACAGTATTACCGACAGGGAAAGTTTCTAGTATATTTTCAATATATGTATTCTTATTCCATCGAGGTATTTCAAGGTTTCTCTCCACTGTTACAACTACTACACGAGTAGCTATTTTTGCAGGAGATCCTCCGTCCCTTGCTTCTATTCTTAGCTAAAAAATATCATTAAAAATTGTTAAATATTACAGTAGCTTTTGTATTTCACAATTATCTACATAATAAACTTCTCTATCGTCGTTTCTAAGGTTCGATTTAATTGATATAGTTCCGGTTTCCTCGCTAATTTTGAAGAAGGTAGGACCACTTTCATCACCGATCATAAAATATTTAATGGTGTTGAAGGGACTCTGCGAATTGTTTATTACCTAATGAGCATAATTTTGCAAGCAAGTTTAATCCTTACCTGATTATCCTTATCAGTAGCTTGAAGTCTCAAGATATCGCTATTAATTCCCCTCTTCTCTGTTATAGTTGTTGAATATTGATCTTCAATAAATTCTGGTGAATGTCTATTCTTGTTAATATTTATTATAACATCAGCATTTGTTGAACTGCTTCGAACCGGATAACCGTTATCGTAAGCTTCAATTTTTATTCTAATTTGATCTTCAACTGCATCACTCAAAGGTTTAGCAAGGCTGATGGCCCCATTTCTTTCGTTTAAGAATAGGAACTGACTGCTCTCGCCTATTATCCTATATCGTACTTCATCACCATCTTGATCAACAGCCTGTACATTGACTAGGGTGGATCCAACTCGTCTATTCTCCAATACAGACATCTCGTATTTAGCTTTTTGAAATACGGGCTGATTCTTATTACGAAGAACCGTAATTGTAACATTAGCTTTAGCTTTTTTATCAGGATTTGCATTGTCATAAACAAAAACTGATAACTATAGGTAAGAAAATGGGATTAAATGATGATATTGATCTATTTTGCAGCAGTATACTTACAGTAAAAGTAAAATCTAAACTCAATTTTAAGTTTCTTTTCACCATAACCTGACCTGAACTTGAATCAACACGAAAATAAAATGGAGCAGGATCAAAACCATCAATTCCATAAACTAATGGCCCTTCTCTATCATCATCCTTTCCTTTTAGTTGGATGATAAGATGATTTAGTGGAGCCGTTTCTTCTACTTCAGTAATATAGGGAATTCCCTCAAAATATGGATCCTTCACATCTCTCTTAATAAAAACTCTTACTGTGGCTCTATCAGTTTTTGGTGGAATTCTTTGATCAGAGACAATAACGTCAAACTGAAAATTTTACCATGCAAATATGATAAATAAATAGATATTGATAATTGAAAATACTATCCAACCTCATAGGTAGTTGCTGTATCGGTAAGAAGGGATTTAATCAGAGATATTTCTCCAGTTGACGGGTGCAAATAGAAGAAAGACGCATCTTCTCCTTCAGCAACCGAGTAAAGTAAAACATCCTATTAACATGAAAAACATATAATTAGAAGAATAGCAATAAATATTTTCATCATTACTTTGTCATTATCAACGGCCGATAATTCCAATAAAATTGTTCCCTTAGGAGTCTTTTCATCCAACTCTCTTCTCTGAAACAGTCTTGAGGAGAATTTAGGCTGATTTAAGTTTCTTATAACAGTAACATTCAAAGTAGTTTTAGCGATTTGCTTGGTAACTTCAAACTCTCTTTCCGCTTCAATATGAATCTAGAGACAAGGAAAAAAGATTAGCCTAATAGATTAACAATAGAGAAAAAATTGAAAATCAATTACCAAATAATACGGGGCAGCTGTTTGATCATCTTTAAGACTTTTCTTAATTTGTACTTTTCCATCACTTTGTCCAATTTTGAAATATTCTTGAGATAATAGAGTACCAATTATTCGATATTTTACATTATCAGATGGACTTGCTACAGCAAGATATATCTACAAATACATTAAAGAAAATGTAACGCACATTTAAAGATTAAAGATAAATTTCTTTTACCGTTTGATCGATTGCTCTTGTTTCTTGAATTTCTGTTGTTAAAGTGTTACTACTGAATCGTAGTGTACCTTGATTTCTTATAATACTGACTTCTACGTAAGTAATACTAGATTTTGGTACGGGAGCTCTATCTGTTGCTTTAACTCGAATCTATAACGGAATAGACGTGTTTAATAATCTAAACAACAATAGAGAATCTATAACAAACTCTGAAAAAGTTTTTTGTCGTCGTAAAAAAATCCTTAGATGTTGTAATACGGCCTGTATCTGGATGGATGTAGAAAAAGTCTGTAGAATTTCCATCTCCAATAATAGTGAAAGTTATTGTATTGTATGGAGCCTATATAAAAAAAATTGTAAAATCTTTGTTTAGAAGATAGTTTGCTTATTATTAAAAGAAATTCTAACATCATTATCATCATCTGTAGCTGTTAAAACGGTAACTTCTGTTCCTGGAGCTACTGTATCTTTCAATGAAACAGCTATATTGTTTTCATTGGAAAATTTCGGTTCGTATAAATTTCTTTGGACGTTGATAGTAAGTACAGCTGTTGAAGTTTTAGGCGGCGTTCCTCCATCTGATGCTAAAACTCTCAACTAAAAGAAATTGGAATATTATTTTAGTGAGGATACTTTCATTAAAAGAAATCATCGTATCTTACTTGGTATGATGGAGCTTTATCAGATGCTAGACTGGATGCGGATTTAATGCTAACTTCCCCTTTAGGTTTAACTTCAAAGAAGGTTTCTGCATTACCATCTCCAATGGCTCCAGTTGTGACAACGTTGAATGGTTCTTTGTCATCCAGATCTTTAACATTAAATTTTTTAACGATATATCCGTCTTCAACATTTTCCGATATAGTTTGTGATTGAACAGCTCCATCAGTAAAAGTTGGTTCATTTTTATTTCTAGATACTCGTACTTCAAGTATAAAATCTTCAGCTGCCTTTTTAGGATTTGTTCCTTTGTCTGTTGCGCTAATTTTCACCTGTGAAATTAATGTTGTTAACGATTGTTTAATTGGTTTTTATTATGAAATACCGAGTAAGAATCGGCGCTATTGGTTCTTAAATCTTTAGCAATGTAGATTTCACCACTACCTTCTTGAATTTTGAATAGGTTAAAATTATCGTTTTCATTAGAGATGGCATATTGAATTTGATTATCCGGAGCCTATGGATAAATTATGATAGAAAACTTCAGATTTTCTCATGATAATAATACTAATACAAACATTTTTATCCTGATCAGTTGCAGAAGCTGTATAAATAGTCTGACCCAAATTAATGGTTTCTAGTATAGAGATAATCGCGCTCTTTGGATTAAATGTAGGTGCATTTAAATTCCTTTCCACATCAATTTCGGCTACAGTAATAGCAGTTCGTGGTGGAGTGCCACCATCTCTAGCTTCTACTCGAATTTTATAAGATTTTCTGTCATGGTCTTTTAAACTTTGTTTCGGAGTTATTTCTCCAGATACTTCATTTATAGAAAAGTAATTATTGGCATTGTCATCACCAATAATACTGTATTTGATATCTCTAAATGGGCTCTGAAAAATCAGGATAAGATTTATTAATAACAGATTTTTGAGGAAATTTATGAATCGTTAAATAGTTATACCTCTGTATCAAGATCAGTTGCTTGAACCAAGATTATTCTTCCCGAATGTGCTTGATTAATTTTCATCTTATACGTGGAAGATTGGAAAACTGGTGGTAATTTATTTCTTGTTATATTGACTGTTACGAGAGCTGGTTCAGGAGAAGTTCGACGATTCGGAATACCATTATCCGTAGCGATTATTGTAATCTGAAGCAGGATTTGAAAGTTAACAACAAAAATAGTTTAGAAAACCCAAATACCAACAGTCATTGCATCGCTTCCTTGATCCAGCAAGAGGCGTTTTAAGAATATTCTACCATTGCTCTCTTCTACATCAAAAAAGTTGTTATTGGTAGAATAGCTAATTCTATTGTGAGGATTCTTTGTATCAGCATCTCTAGCAGAAACTGATCCGATAGTTGTACCAATTCTGAGAGTTTCCTTAACTTTATATACTTTTCGAGTTTCAGAGAAAATTGGTGAATTAAGATTACGATTGACTTGTACTGTCAATATTTGTATATCAAATCTAGCTGGACTTCCCCCATCTTCTACTCTGATTCGAAGCTAAAAGGATTAAAATTTTGCAGTTTGAAGTTAAAATTAAAAAAAAAACCTTATAAATGATAAATATTTACTCTGTAAGTTACTGTTTGACCAGGTGCATTTACCAAATCATTTCTAATTGATATAGAACCACTATTTTCATTTATTTTAAAGAAAGAATCAGCAGTATCGTCACCAATTAAAGAAAATGTCATAAAATTATATGGTATTTTAGTATCTCTATCTTCAGCTTTAACGGTATAAACGACAATTCCTTGCTATAATTTACAAATAGAATAAATTAGCGTCTAATTTGTAATTTCTATACATAGAATTATTGATTTTTAAATAATCAATTGATTTACTTTTTCCGTTTCATCGACAGTTATAGTCTTCGGGATATTAGTGAATTTCGGTGAATACTTATTTCTCGTAATTCCAATAGTTACAGTAGCCGCATTTCTACCTTTTTTTGGCGGGATGCCAAGATCAGTAATTTCACAGCGGAACTAAAAGAAAACGAAATATTATTAAAAACTTTAATTATAGAAAAAAGATTCTTTTTTTTTAAAAAAAAAAATATATATATAATTTATTAAAAACAACAATAATATAAAAATGAAATAATATTGTCTTCTTTCTATCTTCCCAAAAGACATGCTATATGTGTGAGAGAGAAAATGACAACGTTCTGCAAAATATACACCTGCAATAGCATTGGCTAGTAAGCGTAAATATTTTTATTGAACAGTGCTTCGTTTTAGGATTTGTATTAAAACTAAGGATAAGATATTTTCTAGCTAAAATATGTTATAAGTTTTATAAAGCATTCTTAGCGACGTTCGCTTACAACGTGGGTTTTTTAGCTAAAGTTTGCTTATGATATTAAAATCAAACCTCGATATCCTGCGAGCAATTAAAAAATTAAGTAATTAAAAATGTGCAAGAGATTGACTACGATATGAATATTCAACAATTAAATGAACAATAAGACACATCAACAACGTTTAATGTAAATATGAGGAGTGCAGTTGTTGTTGTTTTTCAAGGGTACTTTAGAGCGAAGTGGTATAACAATGATTAAACATTGATTTTATAAAATACGAACCGTTACTTCTAAATTGTTCAGCTGTTGAACAGATTTCCTTAAAAAGATTTTCCCAGAAATTGGATCAACGCTGAAATACTCTTCTGCTTGGAATTGGTTTGGCGAAATACTGTATCTTATTTCGTTGTGGGGAGCCTTTTTTTAAGACGATAAAACATAATTTATAACAATTCGAATAATAATTTTACATTTACTTACAAAAGTATCATCATCAGTTGCTCTTAGTTGAACTAGTTCAGTTCCAACAATCGTTGTTTCAACGATCTCATAACGAACGTTGGTCTCAGTAAATGATGGCTGATTTAAATTTCTTTCAACTGCTACATCAACTGTTCCTGTGGCCGATCTCCTTGGAGTACCTTTATCTTCGGCTACTACAATAATCTGTAGTGATTAAATAGCATTAATTATTCGATAATTTAAAATATTGATAGTTATAAATACTCGATAAGTTTGAGATGGATCGGTTGTTAGGAAATTACGAATTCGTATATTTCCATCTGTTAGTCCAATTTTAAATAGTCCAATAGATGGACCTTCACCAACAATTTTATATTCAATATCTCTAAAAGGCGATCTGGAATCTTTATCTGTCGCTCTTGCTGACGTGACAAAATCATTTATATTTGAATTTTCTCTAATCTTTTTGCTATATGTTCCATTATTAGTGAAAACGGGTGCATTTAAATTTCTATAGACCCTAACTGTAACGCTGCTATTACTAGCAGCAGTGCAAGGAATAGGTTCTCCTAAATCCGAAGCAGATAGTTCAATCTGAGTGAAAAGATTAAAGGTTATTGATTCTATTGTATTAAATATATACAGTATATCTGTGTGTAAAAGTTATCCTTACTTTATATACTTCGGCTTTGTTTGGATCATTCAATACGGGAACTTTTTGATAGACTTGACCAGAAATAGCATTAACGGTAAAATATTTACTAGCTTCAGAATTACCAATTACTTTATATCTAATATCTTTGTGTGGACTCTGAAATAAAAGAAATAATTAGTTTTATTGTTCCTTTGTTACACAGTGGCAACAGTTTCGCATACCTTCGAGTCTCTATCACTTGCTCTTACTCTGGCAATTAATTTTGTAACAGGATCAGTTTCCATAATGTTCGTATTGATATTTTTATCATTCCAAGTAGGACAATTGAGATTCCTATTTACTGATATTTTTACTAGCTTTGTCTCAGACAGTGGTGGAACACCATCATCGGATGCTATAACTCTTATCTATTGCAGAAGTATAAAATAATACTATAATAAAAAATTCATTCAAATTATTTAATCATTACTTCATAGGTTAAAGCGGAATCGTCTTGTAAAGATCTTCTTATAGATATTTCACCAGTATTGGGATTAATAGAAAAGAAGTTAGAAGCTACATCCCCTCGGAAAATTTCATATGTTACTTTATTAAAATCGGAGTCTGAATCGGTAGCAGAAACTATTCCAATTTTATTGCCAGATCCAGTTGTCTCGTCAACAGAAAAAGAATAAGAAGGTTGAGAGAAAGTTGGAGCTCCGGTATTTCTTTTAACAAAAACCTTATACCTAATTCGATCGATAGATGATTTTGGTGGATTTCCTCCATCAACAGCTTCAATATCCAACTAAAAAGAAAGCAACACAAATTATTGTACAATAAATCATTAATTGAATTTACAAATACTCTATATACTAACATTGTATACTGTTTTGGAATTAGAATCTTGTAATAGAGACCTTCTGAGTTGCAGTTTTCCAGAATTAAAATCGACTAAGAAGAATTGAGTATCATCCGAATTTCCAACAATTCGAAAATTTACAGTATTATATGGCGCCTTTAATAAATAAATATAAATAGAAAGAGGAATACATATGCTGTTAGGCAAAGACTTACGGTGACATCACTATCAGTACCAGAGAAAGTAAAAATAACTGATTTGTAATCATGTGTCTCGAGAATAGTTGTGTTAGCAATACGTGTTGTTGGATTTGTGAATATAGGCACTTCAAGATTCCTATTAACACTAACAGTAACAATAGTAATTGCACTCTTTGATGGAAGGCCTTTATCGCTTGCAATAACTCTTATCTACAATAAAATTAATAATTAAATTATTGTTAATGCTTTTAAATATAGATTATGGTATAATTTACTCTATAAACTGTCTCTTCTCTAAGGTTTATAGACGCTTTTAGCGTTATAACTCCTAGATTATCAATTTCGAAATAATCGCTTGCCACATCATCACCGGTAATTGAATATGTAATAGTATTAAAAGGCTGTGTGGTGTCTGAATCTGTTGCCTGAACTCTGATTACTCTTGAGCCAACTTCAATGTTTCTATCAATTTTGACGCCGTAATTCGAATCGGTGAACCTCGGTGTATTTTTATTTCGTCGCACGTTGACTGTAACTCTTCCATCTTGATCGGATTTTTGTGGCGGATTTCCACCGTCCCATGCTTCAATGGTCAGCTATTTAAAATATTACATACACGCTTTTAGAACTTGGACAAGATTTAAGTACAATAGGAAAAAAAATCTTACCCTATAAACATCTCTTGAATGAGAGTTTAAACTAGTTCTAACTGAGACATTTCCAGTGAAGGAATCAACATTAAAGTATTCAGCATTTACTCCTTCAGGCTTAAGTCTGTAGGTGATAGTATTGAATGGTTGGAATTTATCATTATCACTAGCAGGCATTTCAGCAATTATAGCTCCTAATTCTTGCGTTTCCAAAATGACAATGTTCTTATTATTTGTAAAAAATCTAGGTTTATTCTGATTTCTGTTTACTGGTACTGTCAGAATCATTTGATCAGATTTTGGAGGATCTCCATTATCTTCAACCAGAATTACAAGATTATATTTTGTTGATGGATCGCTATCTAGTGCATTTCTTACTCTGACTTCTCCTGATTTTGAATTGATCTCGAAGAAATTTTTAGCTAAACTATCTCCGATAATACTATATGTTACGGAGCCAAATTGATTTTTATCATCGCTATCCGATACGGATGCAGTGTAAATTCTAGATCCAACAGAAGTTTGAGATCTAATTGGCTGTACTGTAAAATCACCGGAAGTAAATACAGGGGCATTCAAATTTCTAATGACTTGTACTGTTATTGTTAAATTCGAGCTGGATCGTGGCACTTTACCGGAATCTCTAGCAATTAATACTAAACTATAAGATAAACTTGAGCTTGAATCGGCTGTGAGATCTTTTTGAACAAAAATTCTACCCGTTTTGTCATTGACGTTAAAGTATTCAGTTGCCTTTTCATCTCCAATTAAATAATATGAAACAACATTATTTGGTGGGAATTTATCAGAATCTCGAGCTTGAACGTCTCCCACTATTGTTCCTGAGGGAACAGTTTCTAAAATTTTATAGTTTCTATTGATACCACCATTCCATTGTGGAGATTTTAAATTTCTATCGATTTCAACATTAACGAATACGCTTGCAGTTCTAGGTGGATTCCCCTTGTCGCTTGCTAAGACACGAATTCTATGCAACTCCGCTGGATCGTTGACAAAATTAGTTGCAATTCGAATTTCTCCATTAGTTTTATGAATATTGAAAAAGCTCGAAGCCTTATCATCACCAATAATATCATAACTAATGGTTTTGAAATCATTAACTGTATCTTTATCATTAGCCAGTACTGTTGTTATCAATCTACCAACGTTTATTTCATTTTCTCTTATAAAGGCCGAGTATGATGAATTAAAGAAGATTGGAGAATTTTCATTACGAAGAACTTGAATAGTGACTTCTGCTTCTTCAACAGATTCCTTTCTTTCAGGCTCGCCTTCATCAAAAGCTTTTATGTTAAATTTATATTGAGTTCTTAAAGCGGTATCAAGTGCTAGCGACCTCTTTAGGTATACTTCTCCTGAATCATCAACTTGAAAATATTGGTGTGTACCAGCATTGTTAGGCATAATTCGAAAAGAAATAGTCTTGTGAGGTGCATATTTGTCAGCGTCCGTTGCAGTAAGAGTGAGAATTGTATCTCCCAATGGCTGGTTATCTTGAACTGTTTTATCGTATTTTTTTGGATTAAATACGGGAGCATTTAAATTTCTTTCAACAGTAATTCTAACAACAGCGTCTCTCTCATTTTCTTTACCCATTCCGTCAGTTGCTCTAATTCTTACTGTATATCTTCTGTCTGAGTCATCTTTTAAATTACGACTTAGACTCAGGGATCCACTAGGTGATATTTTAAAATATCCTTGAGCTTTACCATCGCCAATAACTCTAAGTCGAATTGAGTTGAATGGATCAATTGTATCGGCATCGCTAACAATTAATCGCGCAACTTCAGAATTCACTGGGAAGGTAGACGGAATTGTTCTTGATATACTCGTTTCCGTAAACTTTGGAGCATTTAAATTCCTAAGTATTGGTACAACAACTTTAGTGGTGCTTGAAAGGGGAGGATTACCCAAATCTATCGCCTCAACGGTTAACTATTTGTTAATATACAAATTACAATTAATCACTTACTTCAAGTATTTGATTTAATAATATAGTAAATAGCCAATGAAAACAAACCTCGTAACTCGAAACGTCATCTTTATCATCGCTCAATGGTCTTCTAACAATTACTACTCCCTGATCCGGATGAACCAAAAATAATCCATTCCCGGAAGGTGGTACGGAAGATTTAAGCTTATAACGTATCCTGCTATTAAATGTCTAACAAAAACAAAAACAAATAGTCACGTTAAAGGAAATTGCCTATATATTGGAAAAAAGCTGGGAAAAAATGTTGTACCCCTGACGGATCATCATCTGTAGCTCTAACTCTAGTAAGGTCTGAGCCAACCGCAATATTTTCTTTTACGCCTTTCTCCACTCGATATAAGTCCTTTTCAAATTTCGGTACGTTATCGTTTCGATCCTTTTAAAGAAAAAAAATTATTTGTATAATCGATCTCTTTGAAGCTTCAATCGAAGAATCAATTATTATTAGGCCTATTATTTACCAAAACACTTATAGTGACGGTTGCTGAATATAGATAATTTCTGTTATTTCCAGCTTCCTCAGTTGAAACTATAACTGTATGCCGACGTGATAATTCATAATCTAGGTTGACAGCTGTTCGAATTTCTCCATTTGTTTGATTTATCTTGAAAAGGTTGTTTTCATTACGGCTGAATTTATAAGTTACCGATTTATTTGTATCGGCGTCCCTTGCCTTTAGTTAAGTGAAATTATTATAAATAATTGAGAAAACTTGGTAAAAAAATATCAATACAAACCAAAACAGTAACAACATATGCATTATCATCGTTTTCATTTACAGTGGCTTGATAACTAGTCTTATCAAATATTGGTATTTCATCTTCAAGATCGTTGACATTAACGGTTATATAAACTACAGACGATCTTGGTGGTGTTCCTCTATCAATGAGGATGACAGGGACCTTATGGATTTTTTTAGTTTCATAATCTAACGCCGTTTTTGTATACATATTTCCTGTGTTTTCATCAATACGGAAGTATTCGTTATTTTCAATTCTGTAGCGAACTTGTCCATTTGCTCCTTCATCTTCGTCATTACCCCAAATTCTACCGTCGACAATAATATTACTCTTACCCTCATCAACAAACAGCTCTTTCACAGTCTCTCCTAGCTCAGGTGAATTATCATTAATATCAGTCACGGTAACAACTAGGGTTGTTGTTGCGGTCTAGTAAAAAAAAAATGGGGGAAAAAAATTGATTAGAATTATAAAAAAACGATGATTAACGCTGATTGAATTACGTTATATAAAATATTTAATGTACAGAGAATGAGAAAGAGATGAGTTTTGTTTATATAAAACTTACTGCATTTATATTCCCGTCCGTAGCTGTTATTCGTACAGGGATGGTCCTTAGTCTTTCGTAGTCCAAACTATTCCTCAGTCGAATTTCTCCAGTTTGACTGTTAATTGAAAACATATCTTCAAAGTTTGTTTTATAGTTAATCCTAGCGTTAGGATCAGGATCTTGAGCTTGGATCGTAAAGATTATGGTATTTCTTGGAGTAGCTTCGCTCACTTCTACTTTGTACTTCTCCGAAGGGAATCTTGGAATCGTATTAATTGCGAATAAAATTCTAAACTCTACAGACGTTGTATCAAATCTAAATTAAAAAAAACAACCATTTCAGTGCTATCTGAATTAATAAAATTGAAAATCAATTACAATCTATCATCTGCGGGTGCATTATCTTGTGCCTGAATGAATAAAGTGTAGGTTTCTTCTCTCTTGACAGAACGGATGAGAGATATGTCACCAGTGTATTTATTGATTTCGAATTTCCCATTACCTCCAGATGTTATAGAATAAGTAACATTTCCAAAGTCTCCAGAATCGACATCACTTGCGCTAACAGTATAAACTACCCTTGGCTCAGGATTCTCTATTTCTTTAATGAATACAAGATTATCTGATGTAGAAAATCTTGGTTTGTTATCATTAACATCAACAACTTTTATGCTGAATGATTCAAGAGTCGTTTTTCCATTTGGAACATTTAACTCCCTGGCTTGAACTCTAAAACTTATGGCATCGGGTAGTTGTTCAAAGTCAACTTGTTGTTGAAGTCTTAGATATCCTTCATCAGTAATACCCACTATTCCAGTATCTATTACATTCAAACTAAATTTTGTAGCACTATCTCCTTCAACTTGATCGGGATCGCTAACCTCTATCTTGAAAGCTTTACCCTGATCATCCATAAGAAAGCTTCCGACATCAGAGTTTTCTCTAATATAAGCAGTAGTTTTATCGTCGACACTCTTAATTACTGGTGCAAAATCATTCTTCTGGTTGACAACTATATGTAAAACAGCAGTTTCAAATCGTTTTTCAATTGAAATTTCTTGGGCAAGAATTGTTATAGTGGCTTCTTTGAAGTCTGTTATTCTGTCAACTGCCTTCTTTTGGGTAACTGTTCCATCAGATGAAATTTCAAAAAAGTTATTATAAATCGACGGTTCACCGGCCACAAATTTATAAGTGATTTTATTCGCTATTCCCCTATCTCTATCTATTGCTCGAATAGAATTAGGACGAACGTTTAAATTTGGTCTGAGAACTCCACTCTCAAGAGTTATTGTATACTTGACATCAATGCAGACTGCGTCTACTTGAACACATCCTGAGGCGATGAAGACAGGTCCCAGATCGTCACTGTCCTCTATTTGAATACGAACAGTTTGATAGCTTGTTAATTTCGAAGTATCCGAATTATCCGATGCAGAGACATTTAAATAGAAACTACGATCGCCAGTAATTGCTAAAGCCTCATAATCCAATGCTTTGGCTACTTTAATTATTCCAGAAGATAAAATCTTAAAGTGATCTTTTCCGTCATTCCTAACATTTAATGCAGGTTCAATATTGTACGTAATTTCGCCATTTTTACCGGAATCTTTATCCTTAGCAGCAACTTCTAATACAGTATAGTCCACTGGTACAATCTAGGATTTATAAATAAATTAAAAATAAACAACTAATGCCTTTCCTTGCGTTAAAGAAAATTACTGACTTCTTCTATTTTTACATTATAGTTGGCGTCCAAAAAACGAGGAGCATTATCATTAACATCTCTTATTCTCAGAGAAACATTCAAGTTTACCTAGAAATTGGTAAAGAGAAAAAAAAAGAAAAAAAAAATGACTATTAGTAAAGTTGAATTTTTGTTGAGATTTAAGAAATGAAATGAACTTTTCAGATTAAAAATAAACGAGGGAAAGGGATGAAAGGAAAAAATATGGAAAAATAATCAGTTCAGGTTAGCTCTCGTGTTTTTCATTGGGATCAAAGCAGCCCGCTTGAGTGAAACTTGTTCAATTATTATTTTAAGCTTTCATTTAGAATAAGGAAAATATTAGAAGGGAAGAAAAGATAAAAAGCACAAAAAACAAAAAAGATAACACAGTAACGGCAAATTACTACAAACTAGAGATAGAAATATAAGCAACGAAGTAGGAAATAGTTCAAGCAGAAGGAAAAGAATAGGCTTATTGGTTTTCTTTTGATATGATGCAATAAACTGTTTTTTATAGCAAATCTATTTTATTTTGGTACCTTGCGGACAGATGACTGAGAGTTGAAAAATCATTAGTGTTAGTAGAAATAAACAATAAAAAACTATGTTAAAATCTAGAACTACGTAGAAGTATATAGTATTTTAAAAGTATCACTACGAATTATTCAATAAGAAGAATATTTATCAAGTAATAATAAGAATAATATAGCCTTTTATGTTAATTTGTCTACTTAATTAATTAATTAATATATTCAGGTTAAAATAGATAAATACTTACTCCTTGATCATTTGTTGTAATTTTTGTGCACACTATTGTAAAATAGTACTCCAAAGGGTAGCTCTGGAATAATGGTTTAATCAATATAATTCCTTAATTTAATATAAATTGAATTTATCTTGAGAATAAGAGAATAAAATCAACCTCTCGGTCTAATCCTTGCTTCAATTTAAGCATAATACGATTATCCTCCATTTCCAGTGTAAAAAATCTGGTAAATTAGTATATTTACAAATACAAGTATTTATTTAAATGGTAATCAATATGTGGATTATCTTACTCTTGAGGATTAAAAACTGAACCCGAGTTTTGCTTCAGATCCATTTTTATGTTGTCATTTAATATTCCATGAACTTTGATTTCTGCTTTATAAGCATCAGAATCTCTATTTTGTTCAAAAGTTGCTTGATTAGCTTCCGTAACTTCAACTCGAAGACGCGGATCATCTTTGGCGGTGCATACTAATAATTTAATTACATGAATATATAAGACGTTCCGTAGAGTAGACTAAAATTTAATTTAGCATACTAACGTTCTTGAGCTATCGATGGAACTGCTAAAAGTAACAGGATCACCGAGATTCTTAGGGAAAACATCCCTCCACTTATTGCACTTCCTCAAACTGTTCTAAACTTTTAGTCCATAGAGGTGAGGTGGATGAAAAATAGAAGAAGATATATTGAGGAGAGGATAGGAAAAACAAGATTTATATCATATTGAACAAAAGAGAATTTATTACCTATATTTACAAAATTACCCCATAATTTAGGAGTTAAAAAAAAATGGTAATCTTATTATCTCTCTTTATTACTGTCATTATTGCAATTATGCTTAAATTAAGTAAGAAAACTAAGAGATGGCTATAAATTGCATTAACAATTACTTTGTTCATATATATATATATATATATAAATTTATATATATATATGTGTGTGTGTGTAATGAGAGATTATCGATTAAAATTCAAGTCAACAATGGTAAAACAGCTGAAAAATTCATAGGCCTAACCATGAAAAAAAAATTGTTTAGTAACATCAAAAGAGATAATAATACGCATTCTTGCATTTACTTTTATTGTTGTATACAGTAAATAATTTTCTACGCCTAGTTGCATTCTGCATTGCGATGAATGAATTTAGCCCAGATTCCTCCTTTTTGCCAATGTAAATTCATCAGAAAATATTAAAATATTAAAGGACTATTCTATATCTAGTTCATTATTAAAAAGTGACAGTTCCGTTATAAATAGGGCTAGATCATTGATAATTTTTTAATAAGTAAGACAGAGAATGAACTAGAAGCGGAAAGTCATACATATTCTTGTGAATAATAGATAGTTAAACGCTGAAATGTGACTAATGGACCATTTTTGAATATTGAATGACCTTAAAAAAATTTTTTTTTTATTTCAACTGATTTAATATAGTAATTATTTATATATACATTTTAAAATAACGATCATATTCTAAAAATAGCTTTTTTTCTAGAGTAAAATTGTATTGTACATATAAAATATATTTTGATACAATATGTTATTTACTTTCGGTATGTTTCCTTTTCAGAAACCTTAAGGTCAAAGGTCAGATGTTGTTCTTTTGTAACTGCATAACTTGCCTACCTCTACAGTACCCTTTCTCTCTCTCGCTCTCTCTTGCTATTAAAAGCAATGACTATAAAAAAATTGAAAATGTTTTATTACTCTTGTTATGATTATTAATCGGAGTTTACTTTCGAAGATAGAATTGAAATAATAAACTATTGATCATGTGTTTTTTGTAAAATACTGTCAAAAATATTTCGTGACTTCCTCTACCATTTCCACCTACGCTAAGTGTTGAACAATATAAATCATTGGTATATTTGATACAGATATTGTACATTTAGTAAAATTTTCATAAACAAAATGGGATTATTAAGAAAGAATGGTATTTAGATAAATTTTAATTTATAGGTTGAAAAATTACTTTGTATCGACTGGCACTTGACAGAAGTTTTAAGTCGATATTCTTTGGTGAAAATTCAATAAATAAGTAAGGTTAAGAGCGTAAAAATCCAACTAATGGCAGAGAAAAAAAGTAAGAAATATACTCGTTGATTTTTAAATAGTTTGTTAAATTTACTTAACAAGTCAATTACAAAATAGAATCAACAAAAAATGTATATTGAATTGGAACGTAATCTAAACTAAATTTCTATTCAAAAGCTTTTTAAATCGTCTATATTCGGTTTGAATGTATGCTTAGTCCAAACACGTTCGTAAGATTTTAAGAAAAAGTCCCTAATCTATTAATCTTACGATTACACTCGGAAAAAAAAATCAATGAAATATACAAATAATTTTGAAAACAGTTTGCGAAAAAAAAATTGAATAAAGATGGGGAAAAAAATAACGGTAAATTCCCCTCTAACCAATCTATATAGTTAATAATAGGGAAAACAATGAGTGATTCATTGCACAACCTTTCTTTTTTTCTATCTATATATATATACAGTGTAAGGTATATAAATATAGATATATAGATATATAAGATACATATAGGTTCTTATAGTGTAAATCTTTTACTTATGACCTAACAAATATCACTTAGATATAATACTAGATATTCAATATACCTATTAAGAACATTCAGATTATTCATAACCTTGACTTTGATTCTTTCTACAAAAATTTGCTAATCGATAGTATCCCTTTAACACAGACTATTCTCTCTCGCTCTCTCTCTCTCTTTCTCTCTCTCTCTCTCTTTTACTTACTGAATTTTTAAAAAATTGAACATTCGAGCAGTATTTATCTCCTATCAACTAAAATCCAATGTTAGAAATATTCTTTTTCGTAAGTTGAAAATATATCCAAAAAAAGCTAATTAATAAACTAATCAAAACGAAGCTTCTTGCAGCGCGAGCTGCACGTGCTAGTTGCAGTTGGCCATTACTGCATTCCAGTTTGCCAGTCAATACTCGATTGTATTGAACGCCGCTTAATTATTGAACGTCACGTGACCCGTACCGAACATGTGTGCTTGCATTAAAATGTCCTAGGTACAAATTTATTTATATATTTACATATAAGTAGCAATACCTTCTTGAATATTGCTTTTAATAAGTTTTAAAATTGACCTAGAAAACATGATAGCCAACAGAGAGTCGTCTTTAGTAGGTGAAGCTCAGTACAATTGCAAGACTAAAATAGACCGACTAGACATTGATTGTAATTCCTTTAATACCTTTTACATTCCTATCTAAAATGCCGGTGGGCTTATCATCGACTCTTACGTAACGTAATTAAATGCAAATTATAAAACCCGTTAAAAAACAATAAGGCAACCATGTACAAACCTGATTGGAAAACTTAGGAATCCAGTATGATTGTTAAATCGATCACTAGTTTTCTCCAGCTTCGTGGGCCGGTTAATATAATAGGCGTGCGAATTTTTCGGCCTTTTCCTCAACGCCGACTGGCACATTGAAGTCGCCAATTCATGGGTGGTGGGGCGTAACATAATCAACAGAAAGGAATGCAAAGGAGCGATAATATGATATTGTAAAACTTAAACTGTAGATTTAAAAAGTAATTATAATGATTGATATCAAAAAATACTTTATTATTTTAATATATTAAACGTGTCTTAAGTAATGGAAAAGTTACATTTTATGTAACTTTTGACAGCTAAAAGTTAAGTTAATCGTATTTTTGCACCTGCCCTTTACAACTTCTTCATCACATTTGTAGCAATTTCCAATTTACCACTTGAGTTAAAAAATGATTTTTTTGTCTTACGTTTTATATGACACCCAGCGCCACCTTTCGGATATATATGTATGTAAGTGTTTTACTTCAAAAACTAATAATGATACTGTTGTAATTAAATAAAAACAATTACATTATAATTTTATTAGATAATAATAAACAAACTTTGAACAAAACGATTGCAGTAATAGTAAATACATACTGTATATTTTAATATCTACCGTATATAGTTAGTTAAGTATTAAATCAAAAAGATAACCTGGAATTATTGGAAAGAAACTATAACGAATTGTTTAAATACTATAGTAAGTATCTTCTATCCTTTTCTTTTCTTGTTTTTAAGTGAGAAAAGAGAAAAATAGAAGAAAAAAATTAATTGCAAATAAAAAATAGAAACATAAAGTGATTCTTTTATTTTAATATCTGCCCCATTTGCCTATTCTGATCTCTTATTCTTGTATCAGCTCTTTCGGCCTTTGAGGTTATTGATTCCAGCTGATCATTCTGACTATCAATTTCATTTTGTAGACCTAAGGATAAATTTTTCAAACGAGAAATTCCACCTTGCATTAAGTCTGTTGAAAAGAAAGATAAATAGTAAGGTTAAGCGATGTAAATTGAAACATTGTATGTAGATTAACCGTAAATAAATATGTAAATAACTGTTCAAAATGACAATATTGTAACTATACTGGAAGCTTCTGTAAAACAGAAGCCGTAGCGTCAAGCTAACTACATTTAAATAAAAAAGAGAACCAAAACAAATCCAGCATAATGAGTATTATCTTCTCTCTTATAATTCTATACAAATTTTTACCTAAATTTTCATTTAAAACTGCTTCGTGCTTCGCCATTGGATTTGATTGATCGAAGATGTTATCATTCATATTCATATTTGTTTGACGCTGTTGAGTTGATATACGTTGATTTTCATTTATAACCTTCTGCAATTTGCTTTCTTCTTCGCGTTTTCGCTCCAGACGTTGACGTGAAGCTTCTTCCGTTTTTTTTCTTTCTTCTTCAGCCGTCTTATTAGCTCCAGTAAACCAGTTTTTCAAACCACCAAAAACGCTCTTAATACTATCTAAATGCTTTTGAGTAGCTCTGACATCAGTATTCACTTTATCTAGATTTTTCTCAATATTGTCTAATTGCTCTCCTTGCTGATCTAATTCTTGGGCAGCAGTAATACCTATTTCCTCTGATTGAGCTATCAGTCTTAAGGATTGCTTTGTTGAATTTAATTGTCTAGTCATTGAACCCTCTATCTGTTGCTGAGCAGTACCTTCTCCCCATCCACACACTCGTTCTTCTTCTGGTTCATCACTTTTGGTAGGATAGACAGGTCTACCAAATTGGTCGTCCAAATCTCTATTATTCCAGCTCATGATTAATATTGTAATGACTACGTTTATTTACTTCTTACATAGGAGGATACGCCACGTTGACCGTGACCTTCAACTATACCATTTGTCACTAGATGACTTTACTATGTAGTAACAAGTGTCGCCCTCTCTGTTATCAGAGTAAAGTTAAAGTTGTGAAATAATTCGTTTCATCTTTCGCTAACCAATTTTCTTAGTTAATGAAAGACTGAAATGTCGGTAGGACATTGACATTTAGCTACATATAAACCAGATTATATTATCTTTCGACCTCTAATTCACCTTGAAACTATATCTCTTTTAAAAGCATTTCTCGTTTCCAAGAAATAGATAATTCTAATGAATGTTCTCTTTGCAAAAAAATTGAATGGTAGACTAATCAGGCGTGGATAATTATTATGAGCAAAATATATAATTTCCTGACTTAAATCGCTGATCTTAGAGTTACTTATATCAAAGACAAACATAGGCCTAGCTCAAGTTTGAACGATCGAAAAACTTTAATTAAACCATTGCCATTATAGATTTACCCCCTAATCCAGACGCTTATTGTTGCAGAAAGTAATTATACGTCAGCCTTTCGATTATACCTGTCCACAAAAGGGACAACAGTTGTTCTTCCCGCTTATTTACAAGGAGTTCAGAATACTTTATATTGCCAATCCGCCTACTCAATAGAGAGTTAAGGACTCAATCAAACTTAAGAGAGCAGATTGAAAACTTGAAGAAATTTTCACCAAAGCCATGGCTTTTAAGGATGTATTTTACAGGCAAAGACACGGATATAGGTAAGTTTTATTAAACATTACTTAATGAATTTAGATAGATCGTAATCACCTAAACAGAAATCTATTCCCTAAATCGAAGGGAACGTTAAGAGAAAACAAAGGAACACAACTACCCGAGGCAGAGAAGGAAGGTTTAAAATTACCAAATATCAAACCTCTGACAACTTATAGCGATTATACAAAATCTATGGATTTTACACCTAGAAGAGAAGTAAGAAAATTACCGTTAATTACACCTGATTTTATTATTGCCTCAGATTGGCCTTCGGAAAGGCTACATAGTAAACTTTGGAGACAATATATTAAATAATCCATTTCTTTGCTATCTTCTTTCAAAAAAATTGTTACACTTGTATATTATTGATATAATCCTTTTGCATTTGAATTCACGTCTATCTTAGAAATAATACACAAATCATTTATTATAAAAAAAATAGAAATGATAACAAAAGGAGTAAAGTTTCGTAAATTGGACGGAACTAGTGTTTTTTTATAAAGATAAATTAAAATTACTACATTAGAACGGAGATAAAATCTCCCATTCCACACGACCTTAGAACATTATGTAAATCGGAAGTTGTTTTACTGTCTTTATTTCTCCAGTTGATTAACATTTTATAAATCATTTCCGTACGATCGTGTGAATATCTTTGTTGGTATTCTGATACTTCATCGTCTGTATAGTTTAAGCTATTTAGCAGTAATCGCCAATCTCGTCTTGACGCTTTATCAGCAACTTGTTGAAGAACTGAGTCAGTGGGCTGTTCAGAAAGGGAAGGACGTGTAGAAGGTGCACGTGGAGACGGCGTTGGTCCACCTCTATTAGTATTCTGTGAGAGAAATATTTAAAATTATCAATTTATCAGCATTGCCAATAGTATTTCGTTATTAAGGTAAATACATGAGGGTTTTCCCTTTCAAACTCCAAATTGGCACGATCTAAAACTTCTGGCGGAATTATATGATAAATAAAAATATTTTGAAGTGTTTCCACAGGCAAATTTTTTCCCCAGCTAACGAAAGCATCTTGTTCGATATATCCTGTGTTTAAAATATTACAATATTTATACACATATTGAATATGCTAGTAAAATAATTAATAGGGTGAAGTTTGCTTAATCTACCTGTATTCTCAGGATCTAAAAACAACATAAATGTTTCGGCGCTTCTTTTTACTTCTTTTTCATCCTCATGAGGATAAACACTTCGCAAAACAGTAATTAATGTATCTTTATCAACTGGATCTGAGTTGTTGAATAAAGTGAAGATAGCTCTTAACAAAGCATCAAATTTAAATTTCTCTACATCGCAGCACTCAACAACCCAGAGATTCATTAGTAAGAATGCATGAAAAGTAATCATTTCATTTTCAGAATAGGCTGTTTGCAGAGATTTCAAGACCTAGATTCAAAAACTAAGATGAAAAGCTGTTAGTGCAAAATGTAAAAGTGTTTGTGTACATTTGTTGCCAATAAATCATCTTTTAAGTTTAGTCTTTCTATAGCTTGTCGAGGTAAAACGCCATTTTCGGTACATCCTAATTGCTGAAATCTCATCCACAATCTTTCAACCTCAACAACAGCCACTGTTCACAAACAAAAAGTTTTTTAATTTAGGTAATTAACTACTTGTAAAACTTTCATAAATAATGTCACAAACAATTGCAAGCCCGGCTATGTACTGTGATCCATTCTGGACTTCTCGGATGAGTACTGGGAGAAACTTTACTGCCTTCTTCTCTAAATTTTGTTGCTAAACTTCCCATTATATTGGAACGAAAGAAAAGTACCAGGTGAATAGTGGATAATTATTTTAATAAAGTGCTTGAAACGTAGTTTTTGCGTTAAATGTTTAGCACAAGCCTTTGAAGTATTAATTAAATTAATATAAATATTTTTCACAAGAAAAATTCCCTCAAATAGCAAATATTATTTTTCAATCACTAAGAACGCGCTAATATTGCCTAGCACGTGATCATAGTATCGCAGAAAAATATTTAACCTTGGTATTCGATTCAGCCAAAATATTTCTCCCCTGTTTATAGGTAGTAATTTGTTGTAGCAAAGTCTGATTGCCAATCGAATACTGTTCGGTTCGACGAACGATCTACGGTCACGTCCCACTTCAAGGAACCATTTGGATTAGTTTTCAAGAAGTATAAGGAAATTAAAAGGTTAGTATTCGATATATTAAGATATTCCATCGACATAGATTTGAGAATTAACTTGCGTTTTTGTCTTAAATCAGTTTTTAAGATTATGGAAAATTCAACTACTCCTGATTTGTATTCGGATGCGCAATTAACAGTTAATAAATTGAAGTCAGCAGTTGTTTTACTTAACAATATCAAAAGGCGATTACAAACTAGCACTCAGTTGGTGAGTTGATGAGTTTTTTAGGTTTTTCTTTAAGCGTCATCTCTTCTTCATTATAACACAACAGGTGAAGACACAAATTCACTCGTGTATGTCCAGGCAATTAGAATCGTTACGTAGTCGAGAATTGTGGTTACTTAGTCAAGTTGACTTGGTATCAAGTGCTAAGAACGAAGTTTTAAGACAACAAAGAGAAACAATAAATGAGCTATGTTCTAAAATAGACTCAATAGTTCAACATAAAAACATGGACGAGACAATGCTACCAACTCTATTAAATGAGTACGTATCTCTTACCGTTTTACATCTTATTTATATTTTAGCTAATTAGCTGCTCCTATTTATAAGAATAAAGTAATTTTTCATTAAAACGTTTAAAAAAGCAAATTTAATTAAAAATTACTGTTCTCTGGATTGAAAATCATCTGGAAGGTTTTTCATATGACTATAATTATCAACTTAGGGCATCTGATATGGATCTTACTCTGGAGCAGGACGCCCATATGGCCTTCCACGTAGATGTTGACGGACTTCAAGAAGCTATTTTTAACTTTGGGAAAATAAGTGGGACACCGGAGACTCGTTCGTTTTTATCTGAACGTACTATTTTCCAATCACCATCTCTACCAAACACTTTTGAGGATTATGAGGATGTTGATCAACAAATTCTTTATAAACCTCTGAGGGAACATTGTCAAGAGATTAAAGAAGAAATTCATATTTGTTTACCAGATATTCCTGATAGTCAATGGTTATCATCAACTTCAAAGATGTCTAGAAAGTCGGACAGACCAAATGGAGAACCTGTGTCTCTTGGTTCGTGGCTAAGTAAGGAAAGAACCTCTGGTGATGTTTGTAATTGGTTAGAAACCTTGAAAGTGTCACCTGAAGTTGAAGAAGAGGCAAGTTTGGACTTTGAAATAATTGGATCTACTTCAGATTGCAGTAAATCATCAGGTAAACATTCTAATCTTTCATAATCTGCTTCACATATTTAGAAAAAAAACTTACATTACATTTTTCACAGATGATGATCAAACTGAAATTCAGAAATTAACACTAAATCATATGACAGAGATTCTCGAATCTCCGGCGTCATTATGGTTGTCTTCTTCTAATACCGAAGAGATGGATGTTTATGAAGAAAATCCTTTTTCACATATTTCAAAAGAATCAAAAGATTGGCTTTCTTGTTCATCAGCTGCCCTATTACAAAACTGTAAATCGAATTGCGCAGAAAAGAAAAGAACATTTGACATTGAAAATTTGGATAAAATGAATTGTATTCAAGTCAACATTGGTGATGATTTAGATAAAGATGTTGATGATAGATGCGCCTGTGCTGAGAGTCTACAAGATTTTCTGGCAATCACAACAAATAAGACAAACTTGAAAGAATGGCTGTCCAGTGGTTCATCGAAAACCTTACCAGATTATTTAAATCCTTGGTTAAGTTCCTCATCCTTTCCTCCTAATATAGAGTTAGACGATAGTATAAATAATTTGAGGAAATTTCAGCAGAATTTTAATTGGATCCTTGAAAGATCAGAAGATAATTGTATGACAAATATGGATATTTCAAAGGAAAAAGACACAGAAGTAATAGAAAAGTCGGACGAAATGAAAAAATGGTTAACATTAGGATCAGCGAGAGAATTTAAGGAGCTATTATCTTGATTGAGATTTTTATCCTATGTATCACTAAGTAATGCAGATTTTATTTAAATGCGTAGATTTAATATAATTTTTAGATTTATGTATATATCGTCTTAGCTCATTATTAAATAATGTTTATTATTTCTTCTGGTATGCGTCATTGTGACGTATCTAAAAATGATCGTTTATTATGATAATAAAACTAACAAATCAATTCAACTTCAGCACTTTTCTTTCTTATTTCTTTTACGGAATTTAAAAATTCAGCACTTCTGCACCATAACTTGGGCTAACGACGTAGAATGTAGCCTTTCTCTCGTTTGCATCAAATTCACTCTAAACAAGAAAAGGTACAAATTCAGGACAAATTAACAAAAAAAATAAAGTTTCAAGTTATCAGGCCTATTAACCTTAACTTTTTTGATAATATCACTGACAACTTTCGACTCGCATAACGTAACAGTACAACCTCCAAAGCCGCCACCGGTCATTCTTGTTCCATAAACACCTGTAAAAGACCAGTATTACCTTTATGTAGTAAAGCTTTTTTGCATAAAATATTATGCAGAGGCCTTAACCTTTTATCGTGGAGACAATGTCGACCAGTTGGTCAATTTCCGAACACGAAACTTGGAATTTATCGCGTAATGATTCGTGACTTTGGTACATCAACTTTCCAAAAGAGATTAAATCTCCTTTTTCGAGGCACATTTTCGCTTTTAAACATCTATCATTTTCAGTGATGACATGATGAGCCCTATTGTATTCCAATTCAGACATCTTTTCTTTTTTTGCTATAAGGTTACGTAAATAAGAACGTTTTTAATTAGCAGCCAATTGTTTAATTGAAAGAGAAGCTATTTACACTCTAGTTCCATTATAGTAGCATCTCTTAAACTTTTAACATCAAGTTTATCAGCAGCACTGTAGCATTGCTGGCGTCTTTCGGGGTATTCACTACCAGTTAATATATGACGAACATTGGAGTTAATAATCAAAACGGCTGTGTTTGGATCAATTAAAGGAACTTTGAAGGTTTCTAAGGATCTATATAAGTATATTTATTAATTATGTAAAAATATATAAAGTATACTTTACCTGCAATCTAGTAATAGAGCGTACCCTTCCTCGCCTAAAACAGATATTGTTTGATCCATTACTCCGCATGGCATATTAGGAAAAGTGTGTTCAGCCTTTTGGCATATTTCCGCTACCTAAACAAGTATATGCTTATTATTTAAATGATTATTATAATCTAACTAACTTTTGGTCTGTCTAAATTTGTTTCTCCAATTAAAGATTTTAAGAAGCAATATGTTGCAACTTCAAGAGAAGCAGAGCTTGATAGACCACCTCCAAGTGGTACCGAACTTACAATAGCAGCGTTAAATGGTAACAGCTGACCATCAAAATGAGCTACAACACCTTTTACATAGTTAGCCCATTTAGGTGAGCCAGGTTCCAAAATAAATTCGTCGGAAGGCAAATGAAAAGTCGTTCGCAAAGGACCATCAATACTCACGGCGGAAGTTACAATAGTACATTGACAGTTTTTAGATGGTTTACCAACTATAACAGTCCGGAGTGGAAGAGCCTAACAGAAAATAAATAATTACGTAATATTTTCAAATATTGTAAATATATGAAATTAATACTTATTAAAATTTCATATATTTCATAATTTCAATGGAAATCTTTTAAAATAAGAATTCAGATAAAATTAAACAACAGAAAGAAGAATCGTCTTCAAATATTATACTTTCTCCAGTCTAAGTATTGACTTACCTTACCATTAACATCAAAGCCTTGTTCGGATTAGATACTCTTTCAATCATAGAGATATATTACTTATTTCGTAAAGTGCAAATGCTATTTGAATTTTTATCAAATCTTCACCCTGAGGGGGAGTTTATCTGAATTCTTAGTATTACCATTCTTTAATAGAGAGAACATTGTTATAATTATAGCTATTGTATCAGAGTCACTATCTCTTTACAAAGTAGAAAAAGTTATGTAGTCTTAAATATGTTGGCATAATAATAATTATAATATCGCTCATAAAGAAACCTACCATTGGTAGCACGAATCCGTCATTATAATCTGTATGTTCACCAATTAAATTTACTCGTCCCGGTGCAGAGCCTCCGTGTGTTGCTTCTTCATCAAAAGATGTCTTAAATAGGTCTTTAGCTTGCTTAACAAGGTCTTCAAAAGTGGGAGTTGTTTCCGCCATTTGTTCGAATCAAAGTGTGCAGTATAGAGTAAAATAGTAAAAAAATTAAACGTTCATATGATTCAAGCGAAGGCCTCGAACAGTTTAATATTAATTGACTATATAACTTGAAAGAATATTTTTTTTTGAGAATTTAGAACAAATGCAATGACATTTAAAATTTCCATGTTTCTCTTTATCTTGAATCTCCTGCCTATTTCCTATTCGCCTAGAAATGGAAACGTTTTTCGTTGTAAATTTAACAAATATAGGATTGTGAACATGGCTCTTCTTATTAATAATAACTGTAGTGTCGTGTGAAATAATTTAATGTCTAACTTAACAGCCAGATGGTGTATTGTATTTGTAAACATGAAATTTTCTAGTATCGTGTGCAAAAAATATTGAATAAAAGGGCGTAGTTGAGTATTTGAGAGACATTTTTGTATATGTACAATTTGAGATCATCAATTTAAGACAAAATGCCGAAGTGTCCGACTTGCGCTAAAGAAGTTTACTTTGGTAAGTAACATGCGAAATAGGCTTATATTCCTTCCTACTTAGCCTAGTGTATCATTTTGTAGTTGTATAGACATGTTTAGTACAAACGTTATTAATCACATACAAATTAGTATAATAAGTAAATGAAAAGTAAATGCATAGGGTTATTATGCAGTTGTATATATTTAAGCTGTTTTTCTATTGATATGTAATAAATTAGATAACATACACAGTCATATATACTTTATATGTGAATATAATTGGGATGGAAAATTCCTTTAGTTGATATAAATTATTCAATGCACTCATAAATAGGACATATTAATGGCTGTGAATAAAATAATTTAAAGCATTTCTTTCACGAAAAAAGACCCTTCAAAGTAAATATAGCACGTAACATGTTAAGAATTCTATTGGTATTCGATACTCAATTGAAATTCAGCTGTTAAACTAAGTGAAAAATTGATTATGACACAGAAAAAATTAAGAGAGAAAGATAGCGAGAGTGAGAATGAGAGAGAGAGAGAGAGAGAGAGAGAGATCGAAAGAGAAAGAGAGTTTGGGGATAAAGAAACATATAGAGAACAGAGAGTGAAAATGATATAATCAATTTTTGCTCTTTGCAGGATTATTAAAATCAATATATTTATATTGTTGATTAACAACTTTATCAGTTACAACACAATTTAGCTTTCAATGCCGTTTTATTTTTAGTTAAATCAAAAACAGAAACAATTATTCAGATTTGGTAAAAAGCTTATGGTAATAGAAAAACTACAGCGGTACACTTCTTTGAGAATGTTTAAAGTATTAAAGAGAATGTCTATTGGTTGATTTTCCTATAGGATGAGAGTTAGTGAGAGAGAGAGGCAACACCCAACACACAAACTTTTTTATGCTGTTCTATACTTTTCATATTAAATTTTTATATTTCAAGATAGATTAATAAACAGCCCAAGACCTATTCGTTGTAGTACAAATAGATATTGTATGCATAATTGACAGGATTTTTAATGGTCCTATAAAAATGTATGTTAAATAGGCCTGTATTTACTAAAATCAGAATTTATGCCTTATCTAAAAACATATATAGAATCTTATATTTTATATTAGATACCTGTTTTATTAATCCATTGTTTTATTTACATAGAGATATAGCATAAGCTTATCAAATTTTTAAAACATTTTATTTATCTTTCAGCTGAAAAAGTCACCTCTATGGGCAAAGATTTTCATCGTCCTTGCTTGAAATGTCTCAAGTGTGGCAAGACGTTATCTTCTGGAAGTCATGCTGTACATGATGACAAACCCTATTGTCATAAACCGTGTTATGCAGCACTTTTTGGACCAAAAGGTTTCGGACACGGAGGAGCTGAGAGTCATAAGTATTGAAAGAGAGAGAAAACCTTTGGGGACAAAAGAAATATTGAAAACTATTTTTACTTTCGACTAGTAGTAACATAAATAAAAATTTAAAATACAAAAAAAAGACAAACAAAAAGAGTCTTTAGAAAACGGATTTCCTGCAAGTGAAGAGAAAAGGCTCTGCTTTTTCTTTCTTTCAAATGTATTCTATATCATAATGCTGTCTGTAGTTTGTTTTCTTCTAAGTAAACTTGAAAAAAAAGTTCTAATTCTATAAAATTAACAAATAGCAATATATTAATATGTTTATATATTGTAATAAAGTCATTTGGTTTCGATTTTTGAAATACAAATTGATATACTATAGAAATATGACAACAATAATTTTATTCAAATTATTAATGAGCCCTAGTGTAATGAATATTTAGACTAACAAATTTAGTACGAACATGAAGCTGTTAGCTTTAAGATTTATAGTAATGCTATAAAAATAGATTTTCTGTCAGTTCATCTTATTTTATACTAAAATATTCCGCGGAAAACAAATGAATTGTTTTTAAAACTATAAATCAAATTATTAACAATACATGTAAAATGATAATAAAAGAACTAATTTTCTCTTTTATTATTCAAAGATGCCTCTGTTATTCTCGTCTAAATACTGTTATATTAAACATATCTCTGATTAAAAATACTAAATAAATATATATTTACACATATGCCTACATTTTTCGAAAAGCTCCTGTCAACAGAATAGAAATTTGAGTTCAAATTGCGCTATTCACTATTTACAAACAATGAATAATATAGTTGGATTAAAAGCTAAAACCTCTATTTGGAAAGGTTGGTTTGATTGGCTACCGTATTTTTTTAGTAATTAAAATTTTTATATTTCGTTATTAAATGAAAATTTCAATAATGCTTTTATCTACAATTTCGTTTTGTAGAAAGAAAAAGAAAGAAAGATTTAATATGGGAAGATCGAAAAGATAAATTTGATAAAATTGATGAAAAGAATAAATATCGCAGAGATATATATATAAATTGTAGAATACTATTCGAATATGATTTAAATATATCATTGGCAAAACGTATTGAGTTAATCAAGTGGGTTAACTATCTCTTGTATTCGTAATTGTTTAAGAATTTTTGTAACATGTTTGTATATAAATAGAGAAATAGGTATACTTTGTTACATGGGTGGTTTAGAGGCTGGTAATGCGTTGTCAATCTATATTAGCAAATTTCTAAAAATGCTAGAATCAAAGGATATTGATCATAATATTAAGATAGAAATTATCCGAATGTTAAGTACGAGTGTTTGCGATAATAAGACTGTTCATGAAAGTCTGATGAATAATAATGCTATTAGTCTATTTATTGACATAGTAAAGGAAGGGGATAAATTGGCGAGGTGGATTTGCTATACTATATTACTAATGACAAGAGATAATGATGATTTATTGGTTTCCCTACCAGATTTCCCTGATTTTTTTCAAACTATTAGCTATGCTGAATCATTAAGCTGGGAAGGCTGGCAATATAATATAGCCCGTGTTTTACTGCAGATTGCAGGTTGTTTGACATTAATAAAACTCTTTTATACTATTATTTTAAAGTAATAAATTCATTAATTAAAAATAGGCCTACAAAAACCTAATTTTGATCTTTTACGAAGTATCGAAACAGATTATGGGTATTATGACGAAACGTTAGATAAAAGAGCAGATGGCAGACGTCGTAGACGTCATAAATATCGTAATACCGATGCAAAACCTAAAATAGATAATGATTAATCATTCCAAGAATTGATGAGAAACTTAAACAAGTTTACTATATAATGTCTTAGTTTATATTTGATATATTAGATATATTTGATGAGTGAATTATATTTTTATTAAAAGTAATGAATTTATAAAAAAAACCTAAATTTTAGTCTTTTTTGTCCAAGTAGAAAATGAAAAACAACAAACAAAAAAGAGTTAATCAATCTTCATCCTTTTCACTTTCATTATCAACTAATCCTTGCTTTTTTAATAACTTTTGTTGTTTTGCTGCTCTTAATTTCTTTAGGTCATTAGCGTATTGTTGTTCAGCCAGTAATTGCTTTTTCTGAGCTTGCAAATAACTTTTGTGCTCGTGTAAAGCTCGTGCTTTTCTTATTAAAAGTAATAATTCATGTCTAAGACTTCTGTTTTCTTCTTTAATTTTAGCTGTATGCGAGTTCAAGCATGCTTCTGCATCCCTAGACGCTTGTTTTGCTATTGTAGTGATATGTTTGTCGCTAGCAGCTTGCTGATGGTTCCTTTCTTGTAAGAATTTAGCTTTAAGTTGTGAAAGCTTTTTTGAATGTTCTGCTCTGACTAAAACAACTTTTTTTTCCAATCTTTTAATCTCTTGCAGTTGTTCGTCCCTTAAATTTTTATATTCTTGTAAATCGCCAAGTTCCCTTTCAGTTTGTTTCAATATCTTTTCTTTTTCCAATAAAAGTTCATTTAATTCTATAATAAGAACAAAGATATTGCTCTAAATGTAAAAAATATGAGATGTAAGCATAAATGACATACTTTGTTTTTGTCTAGCATACTCTTCCAACATTTCCTTTTTTTGCTTTTGAAACATTCTAATTTGTCGTTGATTCTCATCCGTTAATGTAATAATCTCTTCTTGTCTTTTGCTTGTTTTCTTAGACATATATGACATATATTGGTGCTGTAAATATATAATTTTTTTCTCTTATGAAAGGTGAACTATATTATATTTTTATTTAATAAAAAAACACATACAGTTTCATAGCGAACAACTTTCGCCTCGTCTTCAAGCCATTTATTTTCATTACGTCTGGTTAATAGACAAAGATTAAAGCCGTGTTTTTTAGTATAAATATATGATTATTAACTTACAAATCTTCTACCTTTTTCTTTAATTCTTCTAATTCCACTTTTAAACCAGCGTATCTACAAAAGCGAAATAATGTATCACACGGAATTAAGAATATTTTAACAATCGTACTCTTTCTGTAAAGCAACTTCCGCATCGGTTGGTTCAGAGCTTTCTGCTCTTGCAGCCTCTTCTTCCTCCTTTTTTTGATCCTTTCCACCTCTTTTACCCTTCGCTTTAGGCGGCATTGTTGACAATCAAAGAGTCACAATAATTACCTTGGAAACAGTTTCAAGCACGCGCGCCATCTTGCGAGCTGAATGTGAACTGACATAATACAGTTAGACAGTATATAGGACTGTGACACCCAAACAGTTTTGATCTATCTAACTCAATGTAAATTAAAACAAATGAGTGAATCTTTATAGTTTAAGTAATTGAAAAATATTTATATTTTACATACTACACATGTACATATGGTTTTTTCTTAAGTAAGAATATTTGTAATCAATAAAGTTGTCCGTAGATTTTTTTTCTGATTAGTTGCTACAGACAACCCAAGTTAATTTTAAGTAATACTGCAGAGAGCAACTCTGTTATGATTAATTTAAATCAGAAAATCAATCGTAGCGACTAAACGTGTTTGTTACATTAAACAGTCGATCTAATAAATTAATGTAAACTATTTATGATATTTAAAAAAAAGCCAGCTATGTATTATAAACAATTCTAAAAATTGACCACTTAACACTAATTGTTCAGATAAATACAGATATGCTTTTAATAAAGACTTAGTTCAATTTTTTTTTAAAAAAAAAATTGAACTATTTCCGTATTTATAACAGTTTACACTTGAATAGACTGGCAAGTGTTAAAAATTGTCTGCTATTTAACTATTCATACATATGTATCTATATATATATATAAGTAAGCAGCATGCGTCTATTCTGATTTTATCAATTTTTGCGTGTAATCAATATCCAGGAACGTAAGATGAAACTTTCTCCTCTTAAAACACAATCTGATATCATTATATATAGTTCAAACATCTAAAATAAGAATGTATAATTCGATTGGCAAAATCTTTTCACTGTTATTATCCTCTTCCTTCACCTACTTTCATGTGTACTCGACAAGAGAAAAAAAGCGAAAATATGGAATTATATCGATGTATTCATAAATCTACTTTTCAACTATTGATTAAACGTAAACAAACAATAGATTACTAACGAATAAATTTAATAGAAGAAAAATATGTGAAAAATTTTCGAAATATATATAAAGGAAGGGTTAACAAAATGTTAAGAAAGTTTTATTCAAAGATTCAATTGTAAAGGTAACCTTTACCAGTCTATATAGGTAAAAATTTTAGTCAAATATCCACTGGCATGCAGGTCATTCGATAGAAATAATAATAGAAAAATATGTCTAGAGAGGATTTCATCTATTTAATTATATTAACAATTTCAATTCCTTTAAGTTATTTATCAACAAAATTACAAAATGGATTTGCTAGAAAACTGTTAACAACTTTTTTTGGAATAGTATTTGCAATTTTAGTATCCGGCTATGAATTTTTTCATTCTTTTATTGTTGTTATTGGAAACTGCGTTATTTTACATGGATTTAAAAGATTTAGGTTGGTCTCTATTTATTATCTAAGAATATTAAGACATTTAATAATTATTTATTAAAATAATCTCCTTAATCGATTTTCTTTTGCATTAACTACAGATATTATCATATTGCAAGCTTTTTCTGGTGCTTTGGATACCTAGCCCTGTTTAGGGGAGCTCACTTACTGGGCCTTCAAGAGAAGTCTATTTCAGGCCATTCTAATGCAATACAGCTTTTCATAACCCTAAGAGTATAATATTATATTTGAAAATATAGGATAAAAAAACAAATAAGTGCTATTCTTCTCTCAGATGGCTGGTCTAGCTTTTGAGTTATGCGATTCTCAGAAATCAAAGAAGGAACTTATTCGATCTTCCAAAGACGAATCCTTAAGATTAAAACTAAAATATACAGAAATATTCCCAGGGTTCTTTGACACTCTCTGTTATGCTTATTGCTTCTTTGGATTACTTTCAGGTAGTTAATTAAAGTCTGGCAAGAATAAAATTAAATTACGATGCTATTTATAGGACCATACTTTAAATATCGAACTTACAATGATATGATCAATCAAGATAAACCTATTAAAAAC